CATGACCAGGGACTTCGACTATGCCGCTGCTTTCAAGAATCTGGACTACTGGGCCGTCAAGAAGGACTTGCATGCCCTGATGACCGACTCGCAGGACTGGTGGCCCGCCGACTTTGGCCACTATGGCGGTCTGTTCATCCGGATGGCCTGGCACAGCGCCGGAACCTACCGTGTCTTCGATGGCCGGGGTGGCGGTGGTGAGGGCCAGCAGCGCTTTGCGCCCCTCAACAGCTGGCCGGACAACGTCAGTCTGGACAAGGCTCGTCGTCTGCTCTGGCCCATCAAGCAGAAGTACGGCAACAAGATCTCTTGGGCCGATCTGCTCCTGCTCACTGGCAACGTCGCCCTGGAGTCCATGGGCGTGAAGACCTTCGGGTTCGCTGGTGGTCGTCCTGACAAGTGGGAGGCCGACGAGTCCGTCTACTGGGGTGCCGAGACGGAGTGGTTCGCCAATGCCGAGCGCTACAACCCCGAGTCGGAAGCCGACAAGGGCCGCCAGAGCGATATCAATACCCGTAATCCTGAAAGTCCTCTGGCCGCTGTCGTCATGGGCCTGATCTACGTCAACCCCGAGGGCCCTAACAGCGTTCCCGATCCCATTGCGGCCGCTCGTGATATCCGCATTACTTTTGGCCGCATGGCCATGAACGATGAGGAGACCGTTGCTCTGATTGCTGGTGGCCACACCTTTGGCAAGACGCACGGTGCCGCTTCCGCTGATAATGTCGGCAAGGAGCCCGAGGCTGCTGGCCTTGAACAGCAGGGTCTCGGCTGGGCCAACGGCCATGCCTCTGGCAAAGGCAAGGACACCATCACCAGCGGCCTGGAGGTGATCTGGACCAAGACCCCCACAAAGTGGAGCAACGACTTCCTCGAGTATCTCTTCAAGTTTGAGTGGGAGTTGACCAAGAGTCCCGCTGGTGCCAACCAGTGGGTTGCCAAGGATGCGGACGCTTTCATCCCTGATGCCCACGACCCCAACGTCAAGCACAAGCCTCGCATGCTGACCACCGATCTTTCTCTGCGTTTCGACCCTGCCTATGAGAAGATCGCCCGCCGCTTCCTGGAGAACCCGGGACAGCTTCACGAAGCCTTTGTTCGTGCTTGGTTCAAGCTGCTTCACCGTGACATGGGCCCCCGCTCGCGCTGGCTCGGTCCTGAGATCCCTAAGGAGACTCTGATCTGGGAAGACCCGGTCCCCGCCGTGGACCACCCGCTCATTGACGAGTCGGACATTGCTGCGCTGAAGAAGGAGATTCTCGCCTCCGGCCTCGCCCCCACCAAGTTCCTCTCGACCGCATGGGCCTCTGCGTCTACTTTCCGTGGAAGTGACAAGCGTGGTGGTGCCAACGGTGCCCGCATCCGCCTGGCTCCCCAGAAGGACTGGGACATCAACAACCCGGCCCAGCTCCGCGAGGTCCTTACCGTCCTGGAGGGTGTCCAGAACCGCTTCAACGGCTCCCAGAGCGGAAACAAGAAGGTCTCCCTGGCCGATCTCATTGTCCTGGCTGGATGCGCCGCCCTCGAGAAGGCTTCCGGCCACCCTGTCCCCTTCACTCCGGGCCGCACCGATGCCTCGCAGGAGCAGACCGATGTGGACTCCGTGCAGTACCTGAAGCCGTATGCTGATGGCTTCCGCAACTACGGCAAATCCACTCCCCGCGTCCGCACCGAGCAGTTCCTCATCGACCGTGCTCACCTGCTCACCCTCTCCGCTCCGGAGCTGACCGCTCTGATCGGTGGTCTGCGTACGCTGAACCTCAACTACGACGGCTCCGCGCACGGTGTCTTCACTCAGCGCCCTGGCCAGCTGTCCAACGACTTCTTCGTCAACCTGCTGGATATGAACACCGACTGGAAGGCCATCACCCCTGACTCGGAGCTCTTCGAGGGCGTGGACCGCAAGACGGGCCAGAAGAAGTGGACCGCTACTCGCTCCGATCTGGTCTTTGGCTCACACGCCGAGCTGCGCGCCCTTGCTGAGGTGTACGGTAGCTCCGATGGCCAGGAGAAGTTCGTCAAGGACTTTATCGCTGCTTGGGACAAGGTCATGAACCTTGATCGCTTCGACCTGGCTACCTCGGCCGCCTCGGGCCGCGCTCGTCTGTGAAGTTTGTGATTTGCGATTCAAAAGATGCGCACTGCGCTCTGTCAATGTTACCAGACTGATGTTTTAAAATGAAGATGTGATTGTCTTGTACTTAGCTAAGACTGCAATGATTTTCTGAACACTTTTTCACCCCGCGTATTAGATTTAGTAAAGTCTGAAAAGCCGGAGGTAAGTCGGCATTGGAAATCGTAATCTAGTTACCCGAGTATCGGCATTTGAATAAGGAACTTAACGCAGTTAATATCATTCACAATGACTCAAGAATTAGGAGCGAATGCTAGATTGTTGAGCCGCTAGGATGCCAGGGCCGAAGCTATGACAGATATCAAGTTTGGGATCGAAGAGAATACTTCCATTTACTAGTTATCATTGTTTGTATTTACAAGGAATTGATCTCGGCCAACATTTCCTTTTGCCATCCCAGCCATTCTTGCTAGGAGGGTCCAAGGTACTGCCAAATAGATTTGACCGAAAAGTCTCCTTCGTCTTGAAACATCCACTTCTCCCGTAAGATGAATCAGTGGGCCATAGTGCGTCAGGATCACAAGTGCTTCCCCTTGCCGAGCTGCTACTAACTTAACATATTCTCGTGGGACAAGAACTGGCCACGCGACGTGTGTATGAATACTCCAGTTCCTGGAAGGTCCTGCATCAACGGCTGTCATCACAGACTGTCGCGCCTGGACAGCCTGTTGATAAATTTGCAATTTTGGCGTTGTTCGTTTCTGAAGTTTGGATACGTGCAAATAACGTCTTGGAAATAGTTCCGAAATGCTTATATCCACATTGTAGAGCCGGATGATTTAAGCTTCTCAAGTATGAATTGATGCGGCGCGTGGCGAAATATTGACTCTGGTCCGGCCGTCGCAACGGGTGAAAGTGCTGTCGAGAGGCCCAGGACGGCTGCACACCTTATTTTGGGTCACTCTCTCGAGCGTCACCATCCAACGAAGTATAACACGCAGATTATGTGCAAGGCAGATGGCGAATTTTGATGTGATTTCACCGCGTCTACTAAAACAATGTCGTTGGTGGAAACGCTGCTCAAATCTGATCCCATGCTGGAAAATCTAGAATGCGATTATTAAATGTAGAATTTCGATAGCTTCTCTGGTATACATTAATGATGATGTCAACAACCTCGCCAATGCACAAGGAGAGTCTCCTTCTAGCAAAGAAAACAATCGAGGTTCAGGGCTGAGCAGAGCCCACTATGTCACGAAAAAGTAGGTAATACCGTTGAACGGGAGCGAAGATATGCTTCGCGTGCCCCAGGGATTCCAGGGATTTGACAACAGCAAGACTGGATTCTATTGATCTACGACTCCGGAGGGTTAATAACACTCAAAACACTTAAACCACTCTGGCCTTTCTGGTGGTAAAGGCGGTGCTTGGTCTTCAGCGAATAGCGTCACAGAGAAGTATATCTTCTCCAAATGCAAACTAGCTAATCATGCGCATTATTTTGTATTTGGACGTGTACGCAGTCTGGCGGGGGCGAGAAAAGGGGAGTCGAGAAAGCCGGAGGCATGGCTGATTTTAGGAAGCCCCTGGAATTTTAGGCCAAAATGCCTTGACTTGCTAGAACCTTTTTGGGCGCTATCGGGTAGCCCCAAAAACAGCCGCTAGGGAGTTATTCATGCATCGGGTTGCATGTGTTAGTGCTGACAGGCTACCAGTGCTTGGTTACAACTCGTTCCTGCAGCTACAAGCGCATTCGTCAGGGGGAAGAATAAATGGCCGGCAGTGTCTCCACCTTCCCCACAAATTTCCCGTGCGATGGAACTATGCACGGAGAAGTCAAGGATCTAGGCCTATGCACGGAGAGGTAAACTGCCTTGGCCTATGCATGTAGAAGTCAACAATGCGACTACGCGCGGAGAAGTTAACAATCTAGGCCTGGACAAGACAAACCGCACTTAAGGGTTCTGTTGCCGCAATTCCGCGACGCTGATTCAAAACAACCGGCCGCGTTCTGGGCTGGCTAGCCCTGAGTGAGGAAACGGTTGAGAGAGAGACTGGGTCCGTGTTTACCTGTACCGATTCCCGGGTCTGATGGGGATGTGCCGCGTGAGATCGGCGAAAGCAAATCGGTATTCAATTTCTACCCTAAAGGCGCTATTGGTGAATCACAGCCTCAGAGCAGCTTTTTATCTTCTTTCGGAAATTAACGTCGCAAACAGGCACAAGAAGAGACCCAGCGCCAATTTCCTTCTCTCACGAAAATGCCACATGCTCATATGCTTCCTCCCTGCGGAACTGAGACAATTTGAAGAATTCTCATGTCAATTGATCGCGGCTTTAGGCACATCCCATTGTTGAGTACCTAGCGCTAATTGGTATTTTATGGTATACTCGCCCCCAAGTCACACCTCCGAGTCAGACCCGAACAGCGCAGACCCCTAGCACCTGTAGCTATTGGTGGTTCGACTTTTGAGGGGTACGTTGCTCCCGCTTAACATTTCCCCCCAGGAATGTTGCTCCTCAGCCCAAGGAACCAAATACGAGGCCTGGCTATCCAGAATTTATGCCAAGAAGCGACGAAGACAGCTTCTGAAATGCGTGGGTAAATACCAATACTCCGCTTCTCCGTGACTGATCTAGCTTCACCTCCGATCCCATGTAGTTGCAATCATACTCCCTAGGTGGCATACGTGCGTGTGATTTTGAACTTGAAAAATAAAAGCCACAACGCCACCGGAATGAGAAAAACGTTAAAGTGCAACGCGGAATGAGGAAGGAAAGCTTGTCCACCCTTGATATCTGTATATAATCCCCTGATCTGGCCAACCTCGAGGCTAGATGGAGACTCGGTTTATTCCAGCATCACCACTTCTTTTTGCCTTCTAAATCGTTGATCTGTGGCGTATTGCCCCAACCATCAATTACAATGCGTATCTTCAAAAGGCTTGAGGCCGCAATAATTGCCGCGCTTATGGGTCGTACTTTGGCCATTCCCATCCTTGTCCACCCTGGTGGGGCGAATGATCTTGTCCTCACGTCGCAAGATACTCTCAACGAGACAATCTCCACCAACGGGCCTTACCAGGATGGTCCTTTGTCAGCTGGTGATGCTGAGCAGCTCTCAGTCTCTGTGTACAACAATTTCCAGAGCGATTCCGTCAATGTCTATATCACTGGACTAGACTCCAATGGGGACATTGTCTGTCTTACATCTAGTGGAAGTTGGTATACTCCATCAGGAGATAGCAGTTCCACAACTCCCCAAGAAATCACGGAAGACATTGCCATCCCTATTGGTGCTTATGGAACAACTACTTCCTTCACCCTCCCGAGCTTTTTTTCCTCAGGTCGCGTCTGGGTGGCAGATGGTGCCCTGACATTCTGGACTGTGATAGCTGCCACAGGTGTTCTATCTCTTGTTGAGCCATCTGCAGTCAACCCGGATGATCCGAGTGCAAGCGTCAACTGGGGCTTCGTCGAGCTCACAACAGATTCGAGCGGTGTTACGATCAATCTGAGCTATGTCGACTTCGTTGGTCTCCCGCTTGGTATCGAGGTACAGGGCAGTGATGGCACCCAAACAGCTCTCGGTGTGTCAGCAAATGCTTTATCATCCATCTGCAGTGATTTGACTGCACAAGCATCCTCAGATGGACAGCCCTGGAACGAACTCTGCATGACAGATAGTGGCGGCAATGTCCTCCGCGTTATCGCTCCTTACGACTACATAAGCCTAAATCCGGACGCCTTTGATTCCTACTGGACGAGCTACATCTCTCAGGTCTGGTCTCAATATGAGACCACGCCCCTGACAATTGACACCCAGACTGCAGCGGGTCTGGTAAACTGTACAGTTTCAGGCGATACTTTGACCTGCGCGGGCGACAACCGAGGCTATGAACAGCCAGCCGCCAGCGATATCTTTGGTTGCAACAGCGGCCCATTTGCAATCGAGTCAAGTGACAATGACGTCCATCGAGCTGTTGTTCCGCGTCTCTGCGCCGCATTTGACCGGTCGTCATTTTTAGTCACCGGGGGTAATGTGCAGCCGAGCGGCGATTCAAGCTCTTACTACACAACAACACCGACAAATTACTACAGCAAGATTGTGCACCAGTATGAGGTGGACGGGAGGGGATATGCCTTTGCGTATGATGATGTGACTCCTGATGGCGCGCCAAATGCCTCTGGTCTTATTAATGATCCGAACCCCACACTTCTCACAATCACTGTTGGAGGACCAACGTCTTGATATGAATCGCATTGGTACTATATAACTACTTGTACAGTCGGTCAATTGTGCAAGATGCAATGTACATACTGAACAAACAAAGAGAGCTTACAGTGGCACCGCAAAAGTCTGTGACCAACACCGCAACTTTCTGCCACATTATTCTGCCGTACTAAGAACTGCATAAAATAATTAAATAAAACTAATACTTAGTATACTAGCCATTAGCTTCAATAATAGCTTGACGGCGCGGCTTACTCTCTGAGAGGTTCTCTAAAATACTAAGATATAGTTCTTGCCATGCTTGCTCTGTAATCTTGGTAATGGTAACTAACTTTAACACTACCGCTTGGGGTTGTTATGTCTATCTTTTATATCGTTCTCCACATCATCAACCTGCACCCTCCACCCGACACCGTCCCCCCTCTATTCTCAACATCGACATCGATCCCACACCATCTCCGCATCAATCATACGGACCTGTTGAGCCCCACAAGGCCCGCTTTTCATTTCTACCGGATCTACGTCGATTTCTGTCGATCGACAGACTCTCAGAGAGACCTTGATTTATGCCCGACTTCACGACATTGGCCAGTCACGACCCCCGGTACCCCGCCCCTAACAAGTTTCTGCCCGCCGTGCACACAGCCGTCGGAAACATCCTGCACGCAACTGGGCTGGAGGAATTGATCATGAAGACAATGCAGAACACTAGGAGGCAATGGCAGCCACGCTCTCGCGAAGGACGGGCGCACCGATGTGGGAGAGTTGCTATCTGTAACCGAGCTTTCTCTACTAGCAACCAATCCTAGGCACCTTTCACCGGCCTACAAGGAAAAGTATTCTCGTCATTTTAGGTCCGGGCAACCCGGCGCGGAAAATCGACCACATTGCTTCCCCAACGACAGATCGAGTCATCGAGACAAAGCAGCCGGATGACAAGAAGAAGACAAGAACAAGGGATACGCGATGTGGTGGAGCGATTGATTTAGCAGCTTGCGTTGATTTCGATGAGGTGGATGATGTTTCAAGGAGGTTTGCTATGCTGGCGTTAGAAGATAAGCGTGGGAGATCCCCTAAGAGAGGTCAGCAAAAGACGAATGCCTGGCTCTCCTGGGTCTTCCTCTGGAGCAGTGCCAGGCTGCGTTGTTTGCAGCGCAAGAAGACTGAGGCGCTGAAGCTGGGTTTGCCTAGGTTGTGGGGTTAAAGATGATGAGGTCAAGGACGATAATCCTCATACAGTGAGCCAGGGCAAGACGATGAGGAAGATAAGCAGGAAGCTGACCCTATGGAAATCCAGGCCACAGGATTTTGACAGATGATGCGATGGAGCTTTTAGAGACCAAATGGCAAAGGGTGAGACCTTCGTTGAAAGCTTCATAGCTTCCAACGCACGAACTGTACTTTGCCGGAGGAACAAGCAGCGCTGTAACAAGCTCAGCATAGTACCGACCTGGGGGAAAGACCATCATCCAGCTACTATGTATCACAAGTGAATTCCAATCTTAGCAGTGGTTGGCTGATAAAAATACGAATCGTGATCGCCAATTTCGTGAAGTTGATTAAGTACACTTAAAACCATGATTTATGTACAACACCTAAATCAGTCCTCACAGTTTGCTCACTAGGACTGAAGTCTTATATAAACAAAAGGAGAAGGTTTATACTACCTCCACACTTTTCTTGACATAGATTGAGTCCGGAGTCAAGGCGTCCATTCCATAGGAATCTCTGGATTCACCCGAGGCATGCGCGTGCTGCATATTGAACCCCTCATCCTGTACGCGATAGTATTTTGAAGCAGCATATTCGGCGTTGTTATCGGCTGTGCTAATCAAAGTTTGGCCTCGTGAGGATTGGTTGAAGCTGTAGTAGGGTTTTGTGCTCGTTTTTCCTGTGCTTCCATTCCTTTTTCCTAAGCAGACCTGGATGATAGGGCCGTATGTTGGTAGACATGCACATAGAATGGCAACGCCGGCCTGTATTGTCGATAAAACCATAGCTTCAGAAACACGGACAAATTGGGGGTTCTGTGGATTCCAGATGTAATGAAGTCTGATCATACTAACAATACAGACCCTATATAATACCATTAGTTTTTCTTTCTTTTCAGAGTAACTTGATAGATATATTCGCAACTTACCCCCCACCAAGTAAAAGAATGCCACATGTCGTCCATTTTTGCAATGGTCGAAGTTTTAGACGTCTTATCATAAAAAGGGGCATTGATAGTATTAAGACATCCCCGAACAGATTCGTCAATTCCAAAACAAGTGTCGTTGTCCCGCTAGGTATGCAGTATTTAGGAGACCCATAGGCGTCCCAAAACATATGGACAGGCGTGCATTGGAAAACATATACCAAGAGGAACGCTGTCGTCCATACAACACACACAGCAATAGCAACTTGGTTAACGCGTCGGAAGCGCTTTGAGATACCGAAAAGGCCATAGTAGAAAGTAAGAATAGAGAGTTTGACTAGGCCGATGCTCAGCACGAAGGATAACTCTGAAACGTAAAGATTCTATGGAAGCCATCTTGTCAGTTGTGATACACTTTCTTACACAATTCAACATACCAGCATCATGACTCTGGCCTGTACAAGACCACTTTTCCCACTTGCAAGAATAGCAACAAAGTCCAAGCTGCCATCCCCTGGTCCTGCAACAATGTCTGCATGTTGAGTAGTTAGGTATCTCGGATCGAATAGAATCACCCAGACATAGACTTACACTGCATGATCATTGCTGAGTAAAGAACCATCATTACCAACGAAGCCAATATCGTCCAGTCCGACAATGTAGGAGCCTGTCTATTCAAGAATCGCAAGCAGAATCTAATCAGCACTGAGACCACCCCCAATGCTATCATAGAAATGCAGGCGCCCAGGTTTTGCTGACCGCTAGAGCTAATGACCTTCATAGTGAAGAAAGATGATAAAGAAAGCTGCTCAAGGGAAAGAAAGAAGATGGAAAAGTATAAATAATAAAGTGCCTTGGCAAAGGAACCACATCCTTGCCAACTTTCCCCTCTTTTGATGTAAGATAACTCAATTACATGCAGATTAACGAACAATGTATTTTAATTCTTGCCACTGACAATTTTAGAATTTGTATAAAATCTGGTTGGTCGTACACCGCCGACCCACCTGACGGTGTGCCATAAGCACCTGGGGATCTGCTACAACATAACACGACCTCCACTTTTCAGCCCCTCCGTTCCAACGGCGGATTCTGCGTGATTATTAAAAGAAAAGGGCAATTAGGAGCCACCACCTTACCTCGTCCCAGTTCTTTTAAAGACCTGCTGGTCTAAGGCTCCATCGGTAAGTTGGTCAGAGTTCAACGAGATGAAGAATAGACATACCCTAGTTGAACATGATATAGCAACCAAGCCGCATGCAAGAGCGAGGTTTCTGGTGACGTATCTTGCAGTATAGTAGCGGGCCCCTCCCAAGTCCAAAGGTGGGAGCTGATCATACCATGGTCTAGTTTGGAGCAGATGCATGAGCACTATTGGAGCCTGTGGGTCAAGATCTAAAATTACAACGAATACATGTGACTGATGATTATGGTTTGGCCCCAGTTGTGCAGGTCTGCAGGTTACACTGTAGCCCGTCCTACTTATCCTAAAACAGACGTTGACTCTTGCGTCGTTACCAATGGTATGGATGCGAGCTGCCGATCTAGTGTTAGCTACATCTCGCTTCAAAAGGCCCCCAATCCTCGAATCAGTTACAAAATCATAACATTCTTAGTATGCGCAACCTGCCGAGTAGTCGCAATTGTCTGTGTTCCGCTAGTACTGTGAATCTCGGTTTACACTAATAAGGTGCTCAAATAACTGGTGCTCCGGTTTAAGATAAAGAAGACTGTCGTTGTGTCGTGAGATTCTAAAGTCTACGCCAGTTGAAATAGACTCCTTTGGCTCGTCAGGCTACTAATAAAAGAGCTTCGATTTCACAATGCTAGCCACCGGGTGAGGAGATCAGGTTCTTGCTCTGAGTATCCATGCAAGTGACATTAGTAATGATCCCACAACTGTGAAATGGTTAGGAAGCCCAAACAAGGTGTAAGTGCATATAAAACACTTGAGAATCCATTACCTTATGAATGGCCATGTTGGACATATTGGGGGTTTTCTAGCGTCATTGCGGATTATACCTGCAACCTGGTATTATTTCTATAAGTGGACCAAGGAGAAGACATTTACATCATTCTCAATTGTCGCGATTATCAACGGCAAAATCATTAAGAATGATCCACTACCAAGCTTTAAAGCTGTCAGGCCACACATACTCGTTCGCCCCTCAAATTGGCATTTTCAGAACCTTGATTGGAGTTCCTGGGGAATCCGCAGACGGAGCTCCTAAAATGAAGTCGCGTGTAAGATCAATGTCCCGTGCCCGATTCAGCTCAGATATGTCGAAGCTGAACTGTCGAAACACGGCCGCCAAGATGAGGAATAACTCCGCTCGAGCCAAATTAATTCCCAAACAGCCTCGTACACCTCCGCTGAAGGGCATTAGGTATTGCTCAAGTTGATGATTTCCCTCTAACCATCGTTCCGGCCGGAAAGTATTTGAGTCGTGAAAGATATTCTCGTCTAGATGAGTTAAAACTGCTGTCATGCTAACATGTGTACCCGCGGGGATGATATAGTCGTGGCAGAGCAGGTCCTTCTCTGGGAAACTTCGACCGAGACGGTGAATGATGGGTGGACAAAGTCGAAGACCTTCTTTAATTACCGCCGAGAGGTATGGAAGTTGTTCTAGTCTCGCAATAGACGGGAATTCTTCTAGACGTGGGCTCGGAATTGCGGCTTTTAATTCGCCATATAATCTCTCGCGAATGGGCGGGTTCGCACAGACATGATAAGCTATCGCCCGGATAGTATTGGCCCTATTATAATGATGAATATAGCAAGATTTTGAGGTGGGAAGAGAAAATTTACGTTGAATCAGCGCCAGCTCCGACAAGGATGAATGCTTCGTCCTTAAGACGATCTGTCTCCAGCTCCTTTGGCGGCAACTTGCTTTGTAGGAGATCATGGAATATCGTTCGGTGTTTCGCATGTTTATAAGAGTCGTCTTGCCCGCTTCGAATTGCTTCAATTTGCTTCGATAGAGCCTATATCTAGTCAGTCTTCGCCTCGGTTCTAGTGAAAAGGTACTAACCACTCGCAAATCTAATATATTAGTCATAGCTGGCGCTAGAGCTCTGATGACCATCTCCTGCAGAGCGTAAATGAGTGAGTTGCGAGACGTAACCGAAATACATACCGGCAGGGAGTATATAAAGTACAAAATCCAAGGAATATGGTAATTCCAAGCGCTGATTTCTAGAAAACGGTCCACATCGTCCTTTTCTTTTTTACCAAAATCAGATTTGAGGACATTCTGAGGCTCATGAGCGAAGCAGTAGCCAGTCATGATATCGATTGAAACCGCTGCAAAGAAGTATTTCATATCAACTGTCTGGGTTGTCTTGCTTAGTTCATCAAGTCGGTCGCACAGAATTTGAGTTGGTCGTAACATTGTTGGCAGTAGCTCGTTGACAGACTTCTTAGAAAAGAAAGGGCTCATTGCACTTCGCCGCACTCGGTGTAAATCATGAGACTGAGTTCCAACGATCTATTTGTTATCATACTATTAGCACGCTAGATTTTTGGGGTAACAGGTTATACCTACCGCGTTGAAAGGACCAAAGGCATAAGCCACCTTTTTAGGCTTTTCCATCCGACCATTTGTATTGTTGTATACAGTGTCAAAGTAGTCAGGGTCATCAATATGAACCTCTTCCGGGCTGATTCGGATGACAGGGCCTTCTCGAAAATTAGTTAAGGGGCTCTTAGAGTCTAAACAAAATTGGCACAGACCATATTTCCGATGTAGGTCTTTCAAATGCCAGGTATATTGACCCTTGAGGTATAAGTCATAATACCATTCATATAAGTCTGTTATTCTTGCTAACACTGGCCCAGGAATATGCGAAAGTGGGTGGAAAAAGCATCGATAAATAACAAGAGTGATAATGGATAACAGATAGAGGCACGCAATGTATGCGGCGACAGCGATGTACTTGTCAAACATGATCGAGGTTCAATCTTTTGCTTTTTGGAGACGTTGTTTAAAGGGTAAGCTGAAATTCGCAGCAGCAGCTTTAAAGAGTTCAAAGTAATGACTTTAACCGCAATAAAGCGGTGCGATTTCGCCCCCAACGGTCCAAGGGGCGGCTTTAGATGTTCATGGCAAGAATACGAATCGACAGCGGACCAATCGATTCGCAGGATTAAATCATACAATGGTATTACAAAAGTTGTATCAACTATGGACATTATTATTTCGAGTAGAAATTCTGCCTTGGCACTTTCTGACCTAACGTTATATTTCCAACATTTTCTGGTTGTTGTTGCTCAATTAACTGACCATGTGCCGTTTAGTCATGATCAGACACTGGGGCCGCTTATGCAGATGGAGGGCTCGAAGGGAACAAAAAGCCTCCCGATATAATAATATTCTAAACAACTTATCCCATGGAGTACCATAATTCAATATTTCAGTAGGAAGGACCGTGAAAATGGTGTCAAAGACAGCCTTTTTAGCGTCCAGTTTACCGCCAATTCCCATTTTGTCCACATTAGGCAATCTCCCGAATACCTAGTTGGACAGGTAACTATTAGCTATCATTATTGTAAATTATGTTTTCAGTTAACTAGACCAATTGACCGGTACACTAAATCCTTCTGTTGATCATTACTAAAGTTCTGCACAACTAACAATTTACAATCGATTGAATGAGCACTAATGCTAGGATCCCTGCCTCGAAATGTTTCAGGTGTGAATGCCCCACTACCGCATCCTTCAAGAACTTAGCCGATCTTGGCGGGTGCGTTGTGATCGGCAAGAGGAGCTCAGGGGAAGATGAGGAGCTCCCAAAGCGAAAGCCAGACGTAATTTGTCAAGTCAGATGGTATTAAAAGAAAGGGCGATCAAGGGCCACCACATCCCCATCGCCTGAATTGAGTTTAAGACCTGCTGGTCTAAGACTACATGCAATGTCGCAACAGTAAATCGGCCCCAATTCAGGGAGGTGAAGAATAAAGCGAAATTCCTTGTGAAGCATTGAGTAGTACCTATAGTAGCTGGCATGCAGGAAAAATGGGGCCAACCCATGATTATCAGTCACATGTTATTTCAAAACTTGACCTGGAGGTTGAGCGTTAGGTAGTTTCCAATGATATGGATGCGAGTTGCCGATCGAGCGCTTTCCTACATCATCAGTTCAAATGGCCCCCAACCCTAGTAAAAGTTAAAACGTTCTTAGTATGCGCGACCTGCCGCGTAGTCGCAGTTGTCTATGGACCTTTAGGGCTGGCAAGTACCATTTACACCAGTAAAGCCCTCTGTCGCTCTGGTTTGGAATAAAAAGGACTGTCATTAGAGATTTTAAAGTTTAATCCAATTTCACTACTATACTAATAATAAGGCCAGTGGAGCTCGAGGTCATTACTACTGAGGGGGCGGGGTAACTATCTTGCTGTGCAAAGACTGTGGCCCTTCCTGGAATACAGTACCTGATCATTTAATTGAAGAACTCCACTTAGTCTAGTTGTACTAGTATGTAATACTTGATGTATAATAATCTATTACAATCGTGCGTTTTTGAATGTACATATTACTTAAGTGTAGAGAAAAAGACTAGTGTAAAAAGTGGAATTCTTCAATCTGAATAATCAGATACGGTACTAACAACCCAACCCGGTTTGCGTGACAAGACCGGCATAATGCTCATCATCTCATCATTGGCTGCGATTTGAGGACACTGAGACAATAACTGACCTAAGTGACTAATATTTGTTGTGAAAGATGACGGATGGGAACGGTTGAGAGGGCTATATAGGAACATTCTCAGGTAAGAGCTCTTCCACCAAAAATCCTCGGGCAAAATGCCTGCTGCTTGCCTATCCGACATTACACTCACGGCTTGTTCCCTTTTCAGTTCCCAATCCTTCGCTCTGTGAACATCAACTGAAGCGGCGGTAACGTCACGGTAAAAGTATCCTTGAACTCCGTGTCAAACGCGATGCCGTCCTCACCCGGTGCGAACGAGACATCAAAGTCCATCGCAATGCGCCGTAGGACCCCACGCATCTGCAGCAAAGACATTTGCTTGCCAATGCAAGCATAAGGGCCTGAAGTGGGATGGTTAGTTCAGTATTTCACATAAACTTAGTGAAATGCCATACCGATCACGAATGGAAAATAGGCCTGGTCGTCCAGCAGCAAGTCCTTTCCCTCCTCCAGCCAACGCTCAGGCAAAAACTCTAATGGCCGCACAAAGCACCGTTCGTCTCGATGCATGATATGCTGCGGGACGACCACGATCGTGTTGCCCGGAATCCACTCTCCATCAATCTCTAAACCCTCCGGCGGAGTCACTCGGCTCATGCCACTTGGCACAACGGGCTTCAAGCGAAGAGTCTCCTTGATGATTCCCTCTATGTATGGGATGCGTGCGATCATATCATTGTTGAACGTCTCCGGACTCTTTTCCGCTGCCTGGTCTACTTCTTTTTGCAGACGTTTGTAGACTGAAGGGTTGCTGGCAAGAAAGAACATAGCGTTGGCCAGAGTAGTTCCAACAGTGTCGCTGCAGATTCTTTGATAAGGATATGAGTAGTCAAGGGTAGGAAGGGCACAAACCTTCCAGCAGCAATAACTAGTCTTCCTTCCTCTTCAAGGGCTTGATCTCCCGGTGGAGCGGAGCGGTCGTTTTCGTCCATTGCCTTCAAAAGCCAGGATATAACATCCGTGGGTGTCTTGTCGCTTTCCGAGCTCCATTTCTGCTCTTGTGGTCAGCAGATCCTGAATGTCTTTTTGGGGGGTTTGGGTTGGTTTACATACCGATCTTCTCTCACTGATTTTCTCGCTGCAGTATTTCGCGTATTTCTCGTAGGGCCCATTGAGCCCTGGGATACAAGTGAGCAGATGTACCAGCCAAGGCACCGCCCCTAAAACCCCAAGCTGCTCCATCTGCGCGTGTATCGCCGAAATCGCGTAGTGCTCGGTCGCAGTCTCCATTTGGCAGAAGTCCTGGCTGAAGGCAATGTCTCCCATAACATCGAAGCTGTAGAATACGGTCCATTGCTTGATGTCGATACTTTCGTTGGTCCGCGCATGGAGTTGCTTGATAAGCAAGTCAAGTTTGGCTCGGAGGCGAGGTTCATAGCTCGCGATAGCTTTTTGTTTCCTGTCAGCCCTTTTTCCATTTGCGGCCGTACACAAGCAAAGAGCAGTTTCCCACCTTTCGTGCCTAGTCCTCGGTCCCAGGCTCGCCGGCGAAGACGATGAAACTCTGGATCACGCGTCCAATTGAGACTGTTTTTAGTATCGTCGTCGGTGAGCTGGTGGTAGAATGGCGACTTCGGGCACTGCGACTTCGGGCCATGAATGGCTTGCACAGCGAAAGGATTGGAGATGGAAAGTTCGCGAGGTCCTTTTGCTCTGTTTCAGTCTCTGGGCTCGCCGCCAAATAGGTCAAAGCTTTGTTTAATATACCTGTGCGCACGAAATCTCCGTACTTTCGATGCAGTTTCTCTAGCTCTAGGTGATACCTGAGGTTCGATCTCTTGGTCAGTCCTACCGTATAAAAACGGCTCAGTTTTGCGCCCCATGGCCCAGGGAAGCGCCGCAGCCGATGGAAAAACAAGCGATAGATGACCATGCTCGCTGATAGCCCGGCGGCAAAAAAGAACCCAGCCTGCCATGCTGCTCCAAGGGCGGATGTCCAGTCGAGGCCATATCCCTTGGAGAAAATGACAGCCAATCCTGCCCATGAAAAGGCGTAGAGGAGGAGCAGCCTTCCTGTCTGACAGTCTATCTCGAAGGGGATAATGCTAATGTGAAATGCAACTCCTAAGAGAGCGAAGGTAGTTGCGATATGCGCCAGGTCTGGCGTCCAGTTTCGGATCTGAGCAGATGCCATGGTCAGAAAAACCGTTTCTCAATTACAATTTTACAATCTTCCCGAGGTTCCTTAAGGGAGCTAAATAGCCCAGACACTTTAGCTCTGTTAGTATAGCATGACGTAGCCAAATTCCCCCACCCGATCAGCTTGCACTGCAACATGGGGGCCAGGAGATGCACTCCAAATCATCCTGTCATAAGACGCCCAAAATCCTCTATTTGGAGCTATTGAATTCTAGCTTTTGACGATCGGGTATCGGCACTGTTTTTCATATCGTCAATCGGCGTTGCCTATTTGTAGTATGAAGTATGCAAGTACGCCGATATCGTACCGCGAATCGGCATCAGCCAATTTGAAAACTGTCCATACCATATATACCGTTGCTCTAACAGAAGAATGGCTCTAAATGAAGAAGTAGGTAGCTTTCCGAAGCGAATGAGCGGATGTAGAACCGAATACTCGGTACTTAGCCTTTCAAGAGGTCGTAGAGACGAATGTCATTCGGTAAACCGTGACTAATAAGACAACCTTTAAACTAACTTACTACTATGGAGTTTCCATAGTTTCAATACAACTTCTATGGATTAAGCCTCTTTCATACCTCGCCGCACCTTCCGAAACCGAGTTGTGCAGTGAGATCGGGACGCCTTACGGGTCGCGTGTAAACACGTGCAGTGCCCTCTGTTGTATTTGGTTACTTTAATTACCCACCCACCACTAATTTTACAACATAACACTCATTTCGTCTTACACATTCGTACGAATATTCGTAGGTATCTGCAGATTACGAATGCGAATACGAATAGCCCAAATGTTACGGATTTGTATTCGTGCCAACCCCTCCTGTTTTTGCTTGAAATGTCTGATCGCCATAGAGCGTAACTGCCCCTGTATTGGGAATCCAATGATGGCTGTATGTGGATAAGTACCATACCATCAAGTAATGTAAAACAACGGCAATTCCAACTCCAAATGCAGATTTTAATTGGGTCCCTGGTTTCGGCCCTCTTAGAGAAACACTAAACAGGGATGTTACAATACTCCCAATGAATTAGTGATGAATGACGGTGCCACATTAATTTTCACGAAAGTGGGGCCTCTTCTTGCACTTAGCCGCCTCATAATACTGTACGTTGCGTCTGGGACAGCGATCATTGCTCTACATTACGTACCTAGCTGAGAAGGATTCACATCCTAGGCTCTTCTACATTTGTATTTGAGTGAGTTAGTAGGGGTCATGCAGAAGTATTATAAAATGGTTGCTCAGAGGAGTTTCCCCCTCGCTTTATCATCTCCATACCGACAGACATAGGATTTTTGATCTTCAACATGGCAGATCAGCTAACCTGGCTTGTCACCGGTTGTACCTCCGGCCTTGGAGAGGCCTTGGTGCGGGCTATCCTATCAAAGGTATGGTCTTAAGGGCAGAAAATTCAACAACTTGAGTCATCTAGGTTAATCTCACAAACAGGGCGACAAAGTCATTGCTACGGCCCGTGAACGCAAGGGAGTGAGCGGTATTGAGCGCCTCTCTGCACTTAAGGAATCTGGTGCGGCGGTATTCGAGCTGGATATCACAGCCCCGCAGGCAGAACTGAATGAGAAAGCCAAGGAAGCTTGGAATACGTATGGTCACATCGACGTCCTGGTCAACAATGCTGGGTTTATAATGGGTGGGCTCGTGGAAGAAATCAAGTGAATTTACATCCCATTTGCGGTCTTTGGTGGCTTGCTAACCACAGAACAGCGAAGAAACTCTCTTAGGTGTTCTCCGTACAAACGCTCTTGGACCGCTGAATCTGACTAGAGCTTTTCTCCCATTCATGCGTGGACGACGGACTGGTACTTTGCTCTTTACTGGATCTGTCGGCCCGCATTACGCTATCCCGGGAGCATCGTGCTATATTGGATCTAAAGGTCTACTGGACGCAATAGTGCCAAATCTCGCACTAGAGGTCGCCCCATTTGGTCTGCGCACATGCAACCTCATCTTTGGTCATTTTCGTACCGAGATAATGAATGAGAACAATGCCACCCATTCAACACCAAATCCAATTCCTGAATTGGCAGAGCTTCACAAACTGGTCGACGATGCTTTCAAAGCAGGGACTGTCGGTTGGCCAGGTGACCCGAAGAAGGGCTGTGAACTTGTTGTGGAAGCTGTCAGAGGTGAGGGAAGATGTGCTGGTAAGGAGCTACCACTGAGGCTTCCTGTTGGGTCGGATGCTCCCAGTATAATAAGACATGATTGTACACAAAGGATGAAGATCTGTGACGAGTGGGACGGAGTTATGACAGCAACTGAGTGTGATTAATTTGTTGATCGATTCATTGCCGGGAGCTCAATCTCAAGAAAACTTACACGTCTAAACTTCGTCGGTACCTTCGAAAGGAAATACCCACTGATTCTGCAGCATACTAGTCGTCGACGATGAGAGTGGATGTGAGACGGAAAGAAAGTCCGAATACGGCAGCCTCTGTCGAATTATCAGTTTGTGATCGTAGACACTCTTTGGTCAATCCAAGCCGCTGAAGGATATCAAAAAGAATGCCGCTTATGTTTGTACCAGAATCTTCCCCCTAAGATGTTCAAACCTAAGCAGAACCTCACTGTATCCCACGTCTTCAGTAAAATAACCGGTGATGGCCATAAACGACTGAGCGATCGGAGACGCCCAGGATCGATAAGCGATATTTTGTGTTACCAGGGGTCGTCCGCAGAATACCCTGAAGTTGTTCCTGAAAGTAGCTATTAGACGAGGCCAAACGGTCTCCCCGGAAGGATTCTGGGGTCCGACCGTCCAGGGTGTTATCAGTGCTATCTACTACGTGCTCTGTCTTAGAGCCTCGGCCTCACTCTACTCCACTGCATGCAGCACATGCATGATAATGGCCCCCTTTTGGAGTCCATGTACTCTAGGCAAAATTTGGCAGCTGGAGACGCTTTCCTAACTGATGGGGAGGCTTGGGCGAGACGAATCAAACCTTGGAACTGAAAGTCGTGCCGCTGATCGCTCTTAATAATACAAATGTAGTGTAGTTCCTGTCTTGGTAGCATTTCTCCCACCACCGTCGATCACATCATATGTACAATACGCAAGGCTCTGGGTTCCGCTATTCTTCACCGGTAAGTCCTAGTCGACATGTTTAAATGATCTGACTGTCAGGAACCCGCACATAGATAAAAGTAATCTACATAGATTCAAATCCAGACATTTTGGAGGCCTCCGATTCGGCATCATTGGCTGCATTCGGTATTGTGTATACCAAATTCTCGCTTCCGACATTTAGTAGTGGCAAGTCCCACTGGGGGTGCGTCAAAAGGACCCGCTTTCCGGACTCCACCTCGCACCCCCTTCTTATCAAGCAATATATGGCGAGGCGTCGCGGTTGGGGGTCCGACTTGGGGGGGCGAAAATTGACTTTCACTACTGCTCAGGAAGGATCCGCCCCCAATCGTCAGAAAATCGAGCTCGATTTAGGACAGTGAATACGGAGTATGTAACTGTGGGTTGCATGACAGTCTGAACAAACTAGGCGTATGACGTGCTAAGTCCCGAATTTATGTAGCCTTTTATATACACGGGTTCTTTTTGGTAGGGTTATGAGGGAATTCATTATGTCTAGCACTCCACATACTAACTCGGGCAATCAATGACCTAGCTATAAAATGGATTGTATAGCATTCTCTATGACTAGTTTCATCACCTTATCAATCTCCTAGTTGAGTGGCTTCTAGCCAGGAAAATAACTGTCACTGGGATGGGAGGACACTGAAGACAACTGGAGGCTAGTGGGTAGTATTCGTAGAATACCTTGGGCTAGTAACCTTACGCTACTAACCTTAGGCGACCGACCTGCCGGGTCGATCTGCAAACCAATAAATTTCGGCACGGCTCACCTCAAAATAGTGAAGAAAATCCCCACCTTTTTTTAGTTTCAATTTTACATATACATATATGGCCGAACTCCTAAAATAGTTTTGTTCCTGCGCGGGGAATGATCCATCGCTTGTTGATTTACCACTCACTATTGGCTCTCAGTAACTTAGCAGTGACATAATGTTACTTTTCGGGTTCACTAAGATAGTTCTGTTCCTGCAGGGGAATTGATCCTTCACTTGTTGATTTACCTTCATTAGTGGCTCCCAGTAACTTGGCAGTGACATAATGTTACTCTTCAGGTTCAGCCTATGATACTATTCAAAAGAACTCGCCCTTGCTTAAGTGCCCGTTCCTCAAGTTAGCTACTTCCTCTATTTTCAAAAATATATCATCTCCTCTTCATCTTACCTGTGAAATTCAATCATGCAACCACCAGTGAATAATGATAGACCAAATGGTACGTCTCAGGTTCACCAACCTGGGCCTGAGACGGAACCAGTGGCTGTCGTGGGCCTCTCTCTGCGATTCCCCGAGGAGGCTACCTGCCCCGAGAAATTTTGGCAAATGCTACAAGAGGGAAGGTCAGTGATGACCGAAGTACCTCCCGACCGATATAACATCAACGGGTTTTATCACCCCGATCATTCTCGGAATGATACTGTGGGTAATCTCTGAAGAAAAATTTTTACGAAAGAAGTCCTAACAATTAAACAGATTAGCGGTCGAGGGGCACATTTCATGAAGGGGAATGTTGCAGCCTTCGACGCTCCGTTCTTTTCCATGAGTCCCTCAGAGGTAGTAAGCATGGATCCACAGCAACGCCTGTTACTGGAAACGACGTACAGGGCCCTTGAGAATGGTAAGTGCAACATGGGTCAGTTTGGTGCAGTTGCTCATATACTGCGTCTGCAGCTGGGATTCCGATGGAGAACGCTGCAGGCTCAAAAACATCCGTTTATGTTGGAGCGCTTGGCGTGGATTACGGTCGCTTCTTTGAAGCTGATGAAGAAGTACTGGCGACCTACAGGGCTACTGGTACTAACGGCGCAATTCTGTCAAATCGACTGAGCTGGTTTTACGATTTGAGAGGACCAAGCATGACGATTGAAACAGCATGCTCGGGTAGCTTGATTGCCCTGCACCTCGCGTGCCAAAGTATCCGCAACAAGGAATCGAAAATGGTCTGCAAAACCAATGTATCTTTTTGCTTTAACGAAGCTAACAGATCCACAGAGTCTCGTTTGCGGGTCGCAGCTACATCTCGAGCCAATGACGAGCGCCATATCCCTGTCAACGTTGAAGTTTATGTCACCTGACAGTCTCTGCCATAGTTTCGATGAGCGCGCCAATGGATATGTCAAAGGCGAGGGGTTTGGTGTACTAGTCCTGAAGCCGCTTAGCGACGCTCTCGAGAACGGCGATGTGATTCGGGCTGTGATCCGCGGATCCGCGACGAACCAGGATGGTCGCACGGCCGGCATCTCACAGCCGAGCGGGGCGGCGCAGGAGAGTGTGATCCGTGAGGCTTACCGGGACGCAGGTATTGGTCTCACCGAGACTCGGCTGTTTGAGGCTCACGCTCCCGGAACCACACTGGGTGACCCGATCGAGGCCGGTGCCATTAAATCGGTCTTCCAGGAGCATCGCAGCCCTGAAGATCCATTGCACATAGGCGCTGTGAAGGCCAATATAGGTCACCTGGAGGCCACGGCAGGCATTGCTAGTGTGATCAAGACAATCCTTTGCCTCGAAAGGGGCGTTATTCCTCCGATCGCAGGGCTCCACAACCTTAACCCAAAGATTGCGGCGAAGGAATGGAATCTGAAATTCCCCACTGCAGCTCTGCCCTGGCCCACCGAGGGTCTTCGAAGGGCGTCCGTTAACGCCTTTGGGTACGGAGGCGCAAATGCGCATGCCGTCCTGGACGATGCGTACAATTACCTGCGTGAACACGGTCTCGAGGGGCAGCATGCGACTGTTACAAAGCCCCCAATCATCGGATCGACTGGCACTGGCCTGTCTAACGGCCACTCGAACGGCCACTTGAACGGCCACTTGAACGGCCACTTGAACGGCCACTCGAACGGCCACTCGAACGGTCACTCGAACGGTCACTCGAACGGTCACTCGAACGGTCATGTAAATGGCGGCTCCAACGGGTTCTACGCACACAAGGCCGGTGATGTTGCGAAAGCCCCTTACATTTTCGTTTGGTCGGCCTCCGATTCCGGTGGAATCGAGAGACTTGCTTCTGTTTACAAGGAACACCTCTCGGAGTTGGACACTGATAGAACCTCTGCCGACTATCTGCGCGATCTCGCGTACACTCTTTCAAACAGGCGAAGCCTATTGCCATGGAAGTCATCCGTGGTGGCTGAGTCATTAGAAGACCTGAAGGCGAAGTTGGAAAACATTCCGAAACCCACGCGCTCTTCGATCGGGCCGAAATTGCAATTTGTCTTCACCGGCCAAGGTGCACAGTGGGCAAGGATGGGGATTGAGCTATTAGCGATTCCCGAGTTCAAGGACTCTATCCAGCAAGCAGATTCTCATATAAAGGGTCTGGGTAGTCCGTGGTCGATCATTGAGGAGCTGCAGAAGCCAACGGAAAGCTCGAGGGTTGATAATCCTGCCTTAGCGCAGCCTCTGTCCACCGCCCTGCAGATTGCGCTCGTTGAGCTCCTTGGTACTTGGGGTATCGCTCCGTGGGGTGTTGTAGGTCATTCATCGGGGGAGATTGCGGCCGCCTTCTGTGCCGGGGCCATTTCACGAGAATCAGCCTGGACCATTGCCTACTTCCGAGGACTCCTTGCTGCACGAATTGCAGAAACACAGACCAAGGACAGAGGGGCCATGATGGCTGTTGGATTGTCCGAGGACAAGCTTCAGCCATACTTCAATCAAATTGCTCTAATACATGGAGAAGGATCTCTATCTGCGGGCTGCATCAACAGCGCCAATAACGTTACCGTGACAGGGCTCGAAAAGTCCATCGAAGAGCTGAAAGCTCAACTCGACAATAAGGCAGTGTTTGCCCGCAAGCTGAAGATTCCGGTCGCCTACCATTCGTCTCACATGCAAGCAGTCGCCGAGGAGTACAGGAATCTGATACTGGATATTTCTCCGCCCAAAGCAACTGTCGCAAAGGGGGCTCACCCTGCTTTCTTTTCGACTGTAAAGGGAAGGCCCGTTCCCATTCAGGAGCTCTCTCGTCCCGAGTACTGGGTAGCAAATCTTGTTTCCCCGGTCAGATTCTCAGAAGCGATTGGAGAGCTTGCTTTAGCAAGTAGTGAAGATCGTTCAAAGCAAAACGAGTATTATATCGAGGTTGGGTCACACGCTGCTTTGCAAAGACCCATCAAGGACAATGTGCCCGAGTCCGAGAATTTGAAATATAGCTCTACAATGCGACGAAATGTTTCTGGAGCATGGTCTCTAGCGCAGCTCGCTGGTGACCTTTGGGTTGAGGGATATCCAGTCAAGGTCGACATCGTCAACCGCCAAGGATCGAACAAACCAGCGAACATGGTTGTAGACCTGCCCGAGTACCCGTTTAACCATTCGCAAACATACTGGCTTGAGAGCAGACTGTTCAAAAATTATCGGCTCCGCGACCATATTCGGCACGAACTTTTTGGTATTGCCACCAATGATTGGAATCCATCTGAGCCGAAGTTTAGGTTCACCATTAGGTCTTCTGACCTTCCTTGGGTACTGGATCATAAAGTAAGTTGCAATATCTTTTTTCTGCGACGCACGAATAGCTGATGCAAGATAGTTGAATGATTCGATAGTCTACCCTGCTGGTGGATTGGCTGTCATGGCGATTGAGGCCGCAAGATACCTTGTTAAACCAGGAGTTGCTGTGAAAGGATTTCGCTTACGCCAGGTGACTATTTCGTCACCTCTTGTTGTCCCTGAGACCCCCGAAGGTGTCGAAAGCCAAATATTCCTGCGACACCAGAAGAACAGTCGCACCACGGGTCTTCAGTCAATCGAGTGCAGGGAATTTAGTATATTTGTGCACTCGAATAATGAGTGGAGAGAAGTTTGTGCAGGCTCTGTCGTCACTGAATATGAAGAGGGTGCTGAAGACGTATATTGTGGTGATGACACGAGCCTAGACCGGATTCATTACCAATCCCTATATCAGAAGGCTCTTGAGCGCTGCTCGGCAAACACCACAGAAGCACTTTTCTATGAGGCAGCACACAAAGCTGGGTTTGAGTTTGGGCCAACTTTCAATACCCTTCACAATATCACCTTCGACCCAGATAGGTATCAAGCAACCGCGGTCGTTTCACCGGATGAATGGAAAACAAAGGTCTCCGAAAGGATTGCTGATATCCAACCACACGTTATCCACCCCACCACTCTGGACGGAGTATTCCAGGTCGGAACTGCTGCAACCACCAAAGGCGGCACAGACATTGGATCTTCGTGCGCCCCGACTCATCTTCGAGACCTTTGGATTTCGAACGATCTTCTTTCCCGGACGCCATCCACCAAGCTTCAGGTCTTCGCCGAGACCACACTGCAAGCAACTCGCGAAACCGACGTTTCTATAGTTGCTCTGAACTCAGACACGGGAGAGCCAGCTATCGTAGTAGATGGCTATCGACTGACGGCCGTGTCGATGCTTCAGTACGTGCCGTCCAAGAAACGTAATATCTTCTATCGACAAGACTGGAAACCAGATGTGGACCTGCTAAACCGTTCGCAAAAAGAGCAATACTGTTTGCAGAAAGAGAAGATGCCAGTCGAATGGGCAACTTCAAAGCATGTCGTGGTTCTCTACTACCTTTCAAAGATGCTGGAAGAACTTGACGCACAAGGCTTTAAAACTTCTGTTCCTCATTTTCAGAAATATTTGGCCTGGGTATGCCGTCACTTTGAGAACCTGGGCGGAAACAGTCCTCTTCTCCAGGAGCCGTGGAAAGGAATACTCGAAGACGAGACTCGGCGCATGCACTACCTCGAGGAGTTTACAGCCCAAGGACGGGTGGAGAGGTCTATCAACGATTTCTGCAAGCATCTCACCGGTATCGTCACAGAAGAAGTTAACCCGTTAGAGCTTCTCTTTAATCAGGACATTGCAACCGATTTTTACTCCGATGAGATGTTCAGGGTTTCGGCACGACGAATGGCTGCCTTTATCGATCTCCTAGCGCACAAGAAATCGAACATGGACATTCTCGAGATTGGCGCCGGAACTGGAAGCGGCACTGAACCCATCCTATCCGCTCTTAAAGAGCAAGGCACAAGTGAAGGTGTTACGCCAAGATACAGCAGCTATGTTTTCACAGATATTTCGCCGAGCTTTTTCGAGAAGGCCCAGGCGCACTTCTCAGAACATGCCGACCGCATGACTTTCCAGACACTCGACATTGAACGCGATCCGGCAGAGCAGGGGTTCGACCTTGGGAAGTACGATCTTGTTATTGCTGTCAATGTATTGCACGCAACAAAGTGTGTACGTGACACATTGCAGCACGCGCGTTCGTTGCTGAAGCCAGGTGGTCATCTCGTCCTGATGGAGCCTACTGACAAGGAGGATCCCTTGCTGAATGGCATATGGGGAACTCTTCCAGGCTGGTGGAGATCAGAAGAGGAAGACAGATCCTGGTGTCCTCTGTATTCTCAGGGCGAATGGGATAACCACATAAAAGAAGCCGGCTACACCGGCCTAGAGGCTGCCATCACAGCTTTCCCAGGGCCAAGAAACCACATTCTCAGTATCCTCGTCACACAAAGACAACTCAATGAATCGAGGGAGCCCCAACTTCCGAGGACCCTACTGATTGCTGCGGAAACAGAGCTTCAGAAAAGGGTGGCCAACGAGATATCCTCTCACATGAGGTTGAAAGGATTGTCACATTGCGACATTGTTACGCCTGACTTGATTTTCAAACAGACGCTGCGAGCAGACGCCTGCTTATCATTGCTGGATTTCGGGCTTTCGTTCCTATCAACGATGAACCAAAGAGAATTCTCCGTGCTCAAGAGGATCGTTGGGTCCTCAGATAAACTGTATTGGGTGACTTCGGGAGCTGGTGAAACGGCCACATTGCCAGAGAACGCCATGAGTGCTGGGTTTAGCCGGGCTGTCATGCTCGAGCACCCTGGCCTCTACATGGCAAATATTGACGTTGACGAAAACTCTGAATTTGCCGTAAATTCAATTACAGATCTGCTTGAACATTCGTTTGGGGTGTCCAAAATTGAAGACTGGGAGGATAACTACCGCGAGGACAACGGCATGATCTTGATTCCGCGAGTCGTGGAAGCCAACGACGTCAATGACCATGTTTATCGACAGACCGCCAAACTTGAGATAGAAAAGCGGAAGGTTGGCAAGGAGCCGACAGAAGCACTGGAGGTGAAGTTCACTCCAGGACAGCTTGACAGTTTCCGGTTCGCCCGGGATCAAACTCATAGCCTGCCACTCTTGGAGGACGAGCTGGAAGTTGAAGTCAAGGCCACTCCAATTAACTTTGCAGACGTGATGTGTGTGCTAGGACAGGTTGCCTACACATATATTGGTCATGAGTATGCTGGAGTTGTCCGAAGAACTGGTTCAGCAGTAAAGGGCATTGCTCCGGGAGATCGAGTGTGCGGAATAGCTCCTGGCACTTTCAGAACTTTTGTGCGGAATAAGGACTACACAGTTATCCCTATCCCAGAACATCTGGGATATGCTGAAGTCTGGCCAGCAGTGTGGTTACCGGCACTGTACGGACTCAGGCACCTCGGACGACTCCGTGATGGTGAGTCTGTTCTCATCCATGCCGCTGCGGGTGCAGTTGGACAGGCAGCTATTCAAATAGCCCAAATGGCTGGTGCAGATGTCTTCGTCACCGTTAGCACTCCGGCGAAGAAGAAGCTCCTTCAAGACCTATATGGAATCCCCGACAACCGCTTCTTTTCTAGCCGAAAACTGTCGTTTGGTAAACAGATAATTCGTGCCACCCAGGGACGCGGCATCGACGTGATTCTGAACTCTACCTCTGGAGAGCTACTAGCAGAAACGTTCCGATGTATCGCTCCACTTGGGCGATTTATCGAGATCGGAAAGCGAGACATCCATACTTTCCAGAGCCTCTCCATGTCTCCGTTCGCAAAGAACGTCACCTTCTCATCCCTTGACATGCAAACGGTTTACTCTCTTTATCCCACCGTGATTCGTGAATTGATGCAGGAGCTGAAGGAGTTACTTTTTGCGGCTCAGTTGAAACCTCCTCAACCTATTTCCCAGTTCTCGCGAGGGGAGTTTGAGTCTGCCTTCCGCTACCTCCAGACGGGCACTCACACAGGCAAGACGGTCATCAATTGGGAAGCGGAGGCGGAGATCCCAGTGATACCCACTCACGATCCGCACTACTTTTTTGACCCGGAGGCAAGCTACGTGATTGCTGGCGGCCTGGGTGGCGTCGGTAGGAGTCTCGCTAGATGGCTTACCACTCGTGGTGCAAAGCACCTCATCTTATTATCACGCTCAGGCGCTGTGTCAGAAGAAGCTATCAAACTCGTGAGCGAGCTAACTGCAAGTGGTGTCAACGTTGCCACTCCCCCGTGCGACGTTAGCAAGGTGGATTCGCTAAAAGCGGCCCTCGATCAATGTGCCAACACAATGCCTCCTACGAAAGGAGTTATCCAGGGCTCTATGGTGCTCAAGGTTCGTCCCTATCTCTGTATATATTTCAATCTGTTCCCGGGATGTGCTGACAACCCTCTCACTGCAGGACCGATTATTTGACAACATGACTATAGAAGAATGGCAGGCGGTCATGGATCCCAAACTTACTGGCACCTGGAATCTTCACAAGTTGTTGCCTCAGGATATGGACTTCTTCGTCATTCTGTCCACATTGGGTGGGATGGTCGGATCCAAAGGCCAGTCTCAATACAATGCCACGGCCACGTTCCAAGATGCATTTGCCAGGCATCGGTGGTCCCTCGGACAGAAGTGCATTTCCATCGACGTCGGCGTCCTCAAATCAGTGGGGTACGTGGCCGAGCAAGAGAAAGTTGCCAAGCGGTTAGCGAGCATTGGGTACGATGCTCTCGACGAGAAAGAGCTTCACAGTGTCGTGGATTGGGCATGCGACCCTGCGCGTGATCCCACTTCCGGCTGGGACACGCAGATTCTGACGGCCCTTGATCGGCCAAGCGCTATGTTGCAGAAGGGCCACGAGTTGATTCCATACATGAAACGACCTATGTACCGTCACCTTCAACAAACAAGCGGTGCCGCAGCCCAATCTCCTCAGACTGGGTCGGACGAGCAGGTCGACTATGAGTCTCTCCTCAAAGCCACTGAAAACGAAGAAGAAGCGGGGATGGTCATTGCCACAGAGCTTGGCAAGAGACTTGCGCGGGCTCTCTCTGTTCCCGAAGAAGATATCGATACCACGAAGCCAGCCCACTCCTTTGGTGTTGATTCCCTTGTTGCCGTCGAACTTCGGTTCTGGTTCCAGAGTGAGATGAAGGCTGATGTCTCCGTCTTTGATATACTGGAGAATTTTAGTATCCAGGATTTGAGTCGGTTGGCAGCCAGCAAGAGTGAGTACCTGCAGAAGTCATGAGCAGGCCAAGTATGAAGCGAGTTGTAGTATGCGAGAATTCTGTATTTAGGTATTTAGGAGCAAATGGCATAACTTGGAAGTAGCAACAAATTCCTCAAGTCTGGTCCCCAGGGATGTGAAGGCTCACTTGGTTGTGTTTGCATCGCGTGGTCTACTTCTGTACATTTCTGGGTAGCTACTGCCTCTGTCAATGAATTGAAGAGTAGGACTCATGAGGCCAGTTGTGTAGAGGGGGAGCCGAGAAGGGAAACACTGCGCCGAGGAAGCAGCTGCAGGCAATGGATCTTGGGCAGGAATAGACATAGATCTTTAGGCTGGATTAGTATGGACTGAGGATGCATTGTGCAAAGTAGCGACCACGACAGGCATGGCTTTCCGGCTATGTAGAGACCATGGTTGTGTTTGTATGCAATAGAGTATGACCAGACTACATGAGATATACATCAAGAGCAAATAAACCAAGAAAAGAGACAGAACCACAGACTCCAGAAACGCAAACATCACCAAGTCGTAAAAGTCACCAGGACCTATTAGCCAGAACGGATCGTAAATGCCACACCTATATCCCCTGTTCTCATGTCGCGCTGCGAGACGGTGTATATATGACGGACTATACCTCCTCACCAACCCGTCAACTCCGGTGGTTCCATATGCATATCCACAAGGGAATCTAGGCCTCGCCCCACGCTCCCAGGCCTGCGCCGACACCAATGGCACTGCTGCTATCAACACTGCCACCGATGTCCCAGTAATTGCGGCTGGATCCAGTCAAGGTCCGTCGGCTGGAGATGGCCGATAGCTTGCTCTGGCTGGCGCAGCTGGAACTGGGTCGGCGGAGATGTGGCCGCAGTAGAGGTGATGAAACACCGACGGCACTGGATAGATGAGTGCGACGGGTTTGCGTCTGGGACCGAGTGTGTGCGCGAGCGACGAGTGGATGATGTTGGCGGATGATAGCAGCGCGGCGGGACGCGTCTTGTAACGAAGGGTGACGGGCTTGGGAGGATGAATGCGTGTCGGTCATGTAGCCACGCCGGCTGAAGCGGTTGCGAAGGTATCGGAAGACCATCATGACATCGAGACCACGCTCCCAATACTCTTGTTCCTGGTGCACGCGCGTGGACTCGGAGAGTGGGTCGTTCGTTGTGGGGTCGTCATCTTCAATGCCCCACTCGGCGGCGTGTTCGCGGTTCGGGTCACGGAGCGTGGGCATGAAGTGTGGGGAGGGCATGGAGTCGCCGGCAGCGGTGTTGGTTGAAGTGGGAGGAATGGATTCACTTGCCGTCTGGCAGGTGGTGCTATCTGCCAAGCGATTGAGAGGCATGCCAGCGTATTCGGCGCGGATGTCCCTCGTCATGTTCAGGTATGTTGTAAATGCACCTGGATGATCGCAGAGCTGGTGTACCAGCACACCCAGCTCGTGAGCAATGCGTTGAAGCACACGCGTCTGCCACAGTGGCGGATCCTCGTGTTCGGGGCCCGTTTCACGAGCGAGCACCGTCTCCATATCCAGCGCTTCCTGCCGACTCTGCACCGGGGTGCGACCACCATGAGTCTGCTCTTCCTCAGGCAATGATTCACCAAAGATGACAGAAAGAAGAGCATCGTCAATCCCGATAAGATCACGAATGACTTTCCGGGTAATGCGCCGCCAGAACGACTCATCAATTTCAGCCTCAAGTCCTGGAGAGGCAGCCACTGCTGAGGGTGATTCAGAAACACTGCCTTGCGAACGCATACTCGACCGACTGGTCCGGCTATTCTGCCGACGATGGGTCTGGCGTTCGATCTCCTGCATCAAAGCCCGGCTCTGATCCATGCGCCATTGCTCAATCCGCTGCCATCGCTGCCGCTCGACATCGGTCTCGCCCTCGTCGACGGTGTCCAGATGTCGTTGCACGCTGGAATGACGGCGATGATGTAGTTGGTCATGTGACCTTCGTTGGGGATTGTGCATCTCATGCTGCCACAGCTGGTCCTGGACCTGCTGGCTGGATGCCTGGAAACTGCCCAGCCCATCGTGGGCTGGAAGCATCGCAGGTGGCCCTTGGTCAAATCGGGTGGGGTAAGACGGGGGCAGCGAAGGGGGGCCCCGAAAGGCCGGCAGACCATCGTCCAGGCTGTCGAGTTCGGTACCATCCTCGTCGAGTGGTTCGTCCAGGGCATTTTCTGGCTCGTCGTTTCCACGTGCCGAGCGTGTGGCCGTGTCGAAGGAGCCAAAATCGCTCAGGCGTGAGCCCCCCGCAGTGCGCGTGTGCTCTGTCGAGGTCGTGTGGGTTCGAGCGGTCGGGGAGAACAGCACCCATTGGGCTGTATCGTCGTCGGGCTGTTCCGCAGAGGTAGAAGGGATCTCGAGGGTTGGAGGAGGTTGGGGAGTCGAGTAGGAAGTCCTGCGACGAGGCAGTTGGGTTGGGACGCGGAAGGCCATGGTGGGCGATCGAGGGTGATCGCAGGGAGATGGCAGGCTCCCAGGATGCAGAGGGTCCGGTCAGGGAGGCACCGTGCAAAGATAATAGGAGAGACTAAAGAGTCAAAACAGGATGAGAAAGAATCAAGAAAAGGACAGAAGCGTCCGGTCAGACCAGATAAGGCGATGGGATGATAACGGGTGGAGCCAAGTGGTGATGATGATGCAAGCGGATGGGTTTCGGTTGGTTGGACCACCACAGGGGTGAATAGTTAGGAGTACGATTATTATGCCACGTACGGACGCTGACTATTGATTTATTTACGGATTCTTCTTATCATCATCAGCTGAGGATCTGACCTGTCGCGGGTGATAACTGACCAGTCGCTCTCACTCACCCTGATGTCCCGCCTGATCGACTGTACATGAACCCTAACCCCAGAACATACACCGGTACGGAAGGTATGGTATGGACTCGAAAACAAGCATAAATAACATCAAAAGGGTATCTAGCATCTAGTCTATCATGATCTTTATAACTACTTTCCCGCTAGCGCCTCTCCCACCCAGTCCATCTGCACCGCACTCACCCCCCGCGCATAGCTCCGGTTCGTAAACACAAACTCGTTGTACATGATCGCCTCGACCTTCTTGCTAAATAGCACGCTGGACGGGTGGATCGCCACCGTCTGGTTCCCCACCACTGTGCGGTAGCTGCCATCCGGCACCAGCCGCGCCGTGTTGGTTGCGAACCCGCACAGGAAACTCTGGAGGATCAGAACGGGCGATGGGTCGCGCGATGGCGAGTCGTCGATGGCGTCGCTGGGGAGTAATCTGGCTTGGCGGCATTGCATCCGGAGTTGTTTGCGGACGTCCTGATCGAGTTTAGTCAGTAAATAAATAAAGCCGGCAATCCTCGCATATATTGCGACTTACCATCACTGATTGCATCGCCCGGTGCGACACCAAGTGTCGCTCCGCCCACGCCTTGCGGTCGGCGTTCTCTGCCGCGTAGGCTCGGACCGTCGCCAACATCGTGAGATGGTCGCCCTCGCGCCGGTAGAGGTCGCGACGCGCCGCTTCGGCCGCCTCCTTCTTTTCTTCGGAGGTCGTATTGAGGAAGATATTCTCGACGCTCAAGCACGAGATAATGTCGATGACATCCGTCAGGCAGTCAGCCCCATTTTCCCCCGCCGCCAGGAGCACCCGGCCCAGGGTCGGGGTGAGGGGTAGTTTGGCGATGTGCAAGCCGATCGCGCTGATCGTGCCGGACTCTTCGAGGGCATCGATGTTGAGTAGTTGTAATAGCGCTTTCTCGAGCGCTTCGCGAGGCGGGCGAGTCAGGAAGGGGAACCGCACGATGTCGTCGACGCCGCGCGCTTTCATGTTCAGCAGCGCCTGGCTGAGATCGCAGCGCAGAATCTCCGGTGGGTTTGTTTCCTCGAGTGCCAGGTAATCCTTTTCGGTGTAGAGGCGGAAACACTGTCCCGGCGCTTCACGGCCAGCTCGACCTTTCCGCTGGATGGCAGACGACTTGGAGATAGGCTTGACCAGCAGAGAATCCAAGCCCAAGCGAGTGCGGAACTGCTTAATCTTGGCTTTGCCGCAGTCCACCACATACCGGACCCCAGACACCGTGACAGACGTCTCGGCGATGTTCGTAGATAAGACAATCTTGCGCGTGCGTGGTGGTGTGGGCAGGAAGACCCGTTGCTGTGCAGCTTGGGGCAGTGCGGCGAAGAGCGGCAAGACTTGAATCCGTGGGAGTGAAGGGTCCATTCCGATGGCGTATTCATTGATGAGATGTTCTAAGGCCTCCACGGTTTCCTGGCCAGTCAGGAAGACCAAAATATCGCCTGGGATCGGCTCTTTGTAGTGAATCTGGAAGACGGCCTTGAGCGCCGCGTCGACGAAATCATGCACTGGCTCCGGCGAATAGATCATCTTGACGGGGAACTGCCGCCCCTTGATGTGGCAGACCGATATGTCCTTTGGCGTATTCTTCTGTTCCCCAGCCTGCAGTTTGTATCCTTCCTGGAAGAAGCCCTGTAAGCTCTCCATATCGGCGGTAGCACTCATAACCGCGACCTTCAACGGCACCCCGCCCCGACCCTCGAGCTTGCCGGACACCAGGTTGCGCAGGAATCCAAGTACCAAATCAACATTGATGCCCCTCTCGTGGACTTCATCGACCACAATCGCGCTGTACCGAGTGAGAGAGGGATCATGTAGCATCTCCTGGAGTAGCATTCCTTCCGTCAAGAATTTGATCCGCGTGCTCGGCGAGGTCGACGTGTCAAATCGCACCGAGTACCCGACCTTGCTGGCAGGCGACGATGACCCCAGCGGCGTGCCCATCTCCTCCGCCACGCGCCGCGCAAGCGAGATGGCCGCGACTCGACGTGGCTGCGTGATGGCAATGCATCCTCCTACCGTTATCTCCTTCGTTGTGCCGTCCTCTTGTGTGACTGGGGTAGAGGTCGGTCGACACCAGAACTCATTGACGAGAAACTGTGGGATCTGTGTACTTTTTCCGCTACCCGTCTCACCCACCAGCAGCATCACGTCTCGCTCTCGCAGGTCCCGGCGGATCTCATCGGCATGCCCGAAGATGGGTAGTTTGCGTCGGAGCTCGTACAATGCATTGGCTTTTTCTCGTAGGCTCGTGAAATTGTGTTTGGTGTCGCTCAGATGGTTCGATTTGGCTTCGGCTCTCCATTTGGGCCGTGGCTTGACAATGACATCTTTTTTCGGTGTAGGCAGATCTTCAGGCCTGGACACTTTCGTTGCAATAGGCTTGGGGGGATGTTTCACAGTCGGCTCGCCTGCCGGAGGAGAGGCTTCGGCCGCTTCGTCGCGTTTCCGCTTCTTGGTCCGCTTTTTCTTGCGGCCGCTTCCTGCGTCCGTGGACACTGGAACAATTGCCTTGGGCGCCTCTTCATTGTCCGAGTCGGCAAAGACGGTATGGACCTTCTCGGGCATTTTGGCTTGGGTGATCGCAAGATGAAGCGGTGTTGCTAGAAGTTTTTTCGCCGCTTATCTTATCGATAAGAAAGATAACTACACTGCGACAGTAATCGGTCTCTTCCATATTGAGATGACTGAGTGCCTAATCCATGTGTGCAGGACGAAATGTATCAGTGTTAAATCATCTCTATTCGTATGTGTAGAATAAATCACAAATAAACAGGTCATAAATCATCAACTCAATCAAGCCCCCAGCCGCGCACCCGGCGGAAGACAAATGCCCGGTCATTGCGCAGACCAAACTCGGCCCAATCGTCCGTGAGCTTGTTGTAGCTCCAGAACCCTTTCCATACCAGCTTGGTGTTCTTCGATTGATTAGGCGGTGACGCACCGCTGGGGGCAGCCCGTGACGCCGTCGGCGAGCGGAGGGACAGGTGCATCGTGTATATATATTTCGGATCGACGCCTTCCGTCTCGATAAGGAGGTCGCGCGGGTCAGAGAGCGGTTGTGCTCCGAATGCAGGCTTTTGATCGTCGCTTGGGGTCTCGGGAGATGAGACTGGTGAGGCCAAGTGCCACCGCCCGCGAAGACCGTATTTCAGGGCCGCCATGGCCACCGGGGGGACAGGGTCGGCTGTACCGGAGACCGATTGCCCGTGGTCTGTTGACACCTGGCGCTGGTGGTGTTTCTGAAAGGTAGCACGTGCGGCCATCATATTTTCCTTGCTGATGTGCGGCACCACATCGACGGGCTCGGTGGTGGAAAGGAGGGAGACAACTGACCCATCGGGGTAGAACCGCAGGTACCGGTAGTAGGTCACAATGTGGATCGGACTATTCCATGAAACATTTTGGTAGAAAGAAGCAGCACCGGGTCGAGTGTAATTGACCGTACTGATGTAGATACCCGTGAAACGGATCCGGGGGAATGACTGGAACATCTGGCTCCACGAGGACATTGGTTTAGGAATTTCCAATGGTACATTTTCAGGGAACGGAGTATAGCGTGGACCCAGAGTGTAAGTGGGATGGCCGTGCAAGTCGCATGCGAAGGAGTAATGCATTCCCTGGAAGCCGAACTGAGGAGATTGGCAAACCCGTTTCCAGACGTGTTGCTCATGGGCAAAATGATATGCCAGCCGCTTGCACGCCAGTGCCATCCGACCAAAACTGGCCGGATCTCTCACTGCGACGTGCCTAAGAATCTCGACTATGACTTCGGACGGAACATTGGCGATCGGACAAGGCGGCGGCGGTGTGTTTTCAATAATTGGATCCGCCCGTGGAATGGGAGAATGGGCAAATGATGCTATTAGGTCTGGCGTCGACAGCCTTTCCTCTTCCTCTGCGGGGGCTTGCGTTGGTACCGGTGCTGCCGGGGTTGTTGGGGCAGGCTGTGTGGGCTTCTTCCATACGTGGGCGAAATGTTTGTTGCGATACGTCTTATCGACACTGGAATCCAGCTAAACGAGGGCAGTCAGCATTTTTCATTCATTTTCCATGGCGCCAGCTCACTCGATATGCTCTCCGGTAGTGCTGGAGACTATCGCCGAGACTCCCTTCGGCCTCCTTCTCCACTGCCCGTTCAAAGTGCTCCAGTGCCGAGCTGGGCTCCTTGATATTGCGACGGGTGAAATCATCGCTGTCTTCCCCCTCCACGCTCAGCTGCTCGACCTGCTGGGCCAACGCATCCGGGTCAAACGAGGCCGGGGGTGGTCCCTCTTCCTCCACCTCCTTCCGGTCTGATGCCTCATGACGCGTGGGCGGGAATCGTGTCGGTGGCGGTGCAGGCGCTTCTCTGGTGGTCGTCCGAGTTCCAGCTGTGGGCTTTGACCGACGGGCGACCTCCTCCCGCCACTGTCGGCGGAAGGACTCGAGCTCGGCGTTGTCCTCCATGGTTGGTAGTGGTAGTGGGGGGATTTGGGGTGCCGAAGTCGGAGATGCAAGACGGACTGATTGATCAGCGGCCGGCCCGAATCACTGAGACAGAGAGATGAAGTAGGGAGTTCAGAATCCGCAGGCCATCTGGACAATCAACTCATTGAGGGAGTGAGGGAGTGTGCAAGACCATAGAACAAGTGCAAGAAACAAGTCGGCTTATCGTTATCGGCGCCACCGGCTCAACCCGAAAATCTTCTTTCCCGCACGTGTGACGCATTTTCTCTCCTCCTCCTCATCTCCGGGTCCTTGAATGCCGACCGAGCTGCATGCACCTTCGGGCCCTTCAGGCACCTCTGCGCGCATCAGCTTCGGAGACACTTCTGATCCCTCATCCGGGCCGTCATGGGCTGGGGCTGTTGACCACTCTACTACGATGGCGCCCTCCGCACCATCGCCCGCTGCGAGCCCGCCGCGTGACAATATCTCTATAAGCCAGCGGATGGTTTCTGCGTCATGCGGCAATATTCTGACAGGACTACTCGGTGAGTCGGTGGAAGCTATCAGCATGCCCAGAATAGGTTGCTAACAGCCGTGCTATACAGTCACCCCCCTAGACGTCGTCCGAGTCCGGTTGCAGTCCCAATCCCAGGTTCACAACACCTCGCCATACACCTCCCACACCACTCAGACGCTCAAAAATCTGCCTCCAAACCTTGGGATAACCGCCTGCTGCCGGGAAGTGTTCTGGATCGGAGATAATGCATCGATCTGCATGCTAGGCCCCCAAGCCGGCGCAGTTGGTAGCCATACACACCCGGCGATTGACTGCGCAGTGGAGGAAACACAGCGCAAGACGTTTACGTCCACCTTTGATGGGCTTCGTAAGATCGCGCGAAACGAGGGCGCACGGGCGCTCTGGCGTGGGCTCAGTGCCACGCTGATGATGGGCATTCCAGCCAACGTCATTTACTTTGCCGGGTATGACTGGTTGCGCGCGGACGACCGGAGTCCCATAAAGCAGCATATTTCAGACGTGTACGCTCCCCTGGTGGCCGGCTCAATAGCCCGAGTTGGGGCCGCTTCGGCTATCAGTCCCATCGAGATGTTCCGGACCCGCCTCCAGGCAACGCCCGGCCATGGCGCTGGCCATTTCAAGGCTACCTTGCAGGGCCTTCACCAGATGACGCTGGCAAAGGGCTACAGCTCTCTTTGGCGCGGCCTGACGCTCACCATGTGGCGGGATGTTCCCTTCTCGGCTCTGTACTGGTGGGGCTATGAAAAGATGAAGGAGACTCTCGTGTCATCGCGTCCATACGCTCCGCATCAGCCGGGCTCAGACCCAGAGCCTCATTCGGCCACCTCGGATTTTCTCAACAGTTTTGTCTCCGGTGCGGTGTCCGGGTCGATTGCTGCTTTTGTGACCACCCCATTCGACGTGGGCAAGACGCGGCAGCAAGTGTATCGCCACCTGGATGACCATGTCCCTACCGGAGTTGTCAATCGTACTCCCGCAACTCCAATAACGCTGATCCCGGAGCAACTCTCTCTCCCGAGATTTTTGCTGCACATCTTCCGCGAAGAAGGCACCGCCGGCCTCTTCCGGGGCTGGTTCGCGCGATGCCTCAAAGTCGCGCCGGCTTGCGCCATCATGATCTCGACCTATGAGCTTGGCAAACGCATGGCCCGGGAAGTCAACGAGCGGCGACACAGTGATTCCGATTCTGTGTAGCTTGATTCTCCCCTGTACTTTACTGCATACGGCCGTTGTTCGGCGACCAACCCTCCTCCTCCCAACTCTCCCTTCTTGTATTTGTCTTGGCGTTCGTGTTCTGATGATACCGCATAAGCCGCGTGTGTATAGAGTCTCTGCATTCTTGGGCTATCTGGAGCGGGTGGTTTTGTTTTCAAAAGTCGACCCTACTCATTTCTTTTTTGAAAACAGTGTACATAATCCCCAAATCTATCTCTGTCATTTATCCTTTGCGCACTGACTCGTAGATCTGCACCGAGGCTGAGCCGGGCGCGATCACCCGGGGGTGTGCTTGAGGCTCAGCTGATGAGGGCCCCTGATTTATGAAGGACATGGCCCCAACGGGTTCTTGTTCTTTCAAATAACAAACTACACCTTATGGTTATTGCCGATATGGGTCCAGGGCCCCTATCGCCGCGCGGGCCCTTGTTCGAGGTGCTTCAGGTCGCGCCCGACACGAACGTGGAGTGCGTGGAGCATCTACTTCCCCACTTGAACTGACTGACCGGGAGGGTAAACAAACAGTATCGTGGCCGTGCCTGCCATCGGGGCCGACCATCGAAAAGCATGGACACCGCACCACTCGCGCTGCTGGCTGGAAACGGCCTTGTTCCAGCATATCCCCCGGGCGCGCGTGCTGCTGTACGACCACGGCGAGCTGCATGATAGCGACAGGCTGGACGTGCTCGGGCGCCGGTTTCTGCACCAGTTGCTTCACGAGCGAAAACACAACGTATGTTCTAGTCAAATTTTTGAACGAGCTAGTATGTATTGACTTCCAAATAGAACCCGCGCAGACCCATCTTCTTCATCTGCCACAGCACCGGCGGCCTCGTGGTGAAACAAGCGTTGGCACACGCGGCCCGGCCCGAGTCGCACCCAGCCATTCTGACCAGCTGCCATGGCATTGCTTTTCTGGCCACTCCTCATCAAGGATCAACCTATCTCTCTGCCGATGAGTATGAGGCTAGCATTGGGCGTCTGTTGCATCTCAGACAGGCCATTCCGCTGTCTGTCAGAGATCAGCTTCGGCCCCGACAGCAGGGGCTATGGCACCTCTCCAACCAGTTCAAGGCCATGTCGGCGGATATGAAAGTTTGGACTTTCCTGGAGACTGTCGACTCGACTTTGCGTGTCGTGGACACCGAAACATCAAATTGTACGGACTTTCATGCTCCGATCACCTCGATTCGCTCGGGTTTGCTGGACATCGAGCACGAGAAGGAAGTACCCATGGCCACTGACCATGCCGGGACGGCAAGTTTCCAGGGACAGGAGCCTGCGTTGGAGAGCTTTCTGACCAAGCTTGGATCGGCCGTGACTACTGCGGTCATGTTGTCGAGGGAGAAAGACACGCCGCTGGAGGTTGAAAAAGAGGTTACAGTTCAGGTGAATGGTTTCTTCGAGGATCCCTCTTTGGGTGTCAGTGATGAAACACCTTTGAAACTGTGGTCTACGAACGTCTCCTTGGAGGAATACCTAGCCGATGGCCCGTCGGCCTGTTTGCGGGATAGACTGAGACGAGCTAGCAAGCGCCAGTCTGGTGGCTACGATGACTCGTCGCTGAGCAGTTTTGGTAGTCGGCACTCGGTGTCGCATGTTCCTGCTCCAGAGATAAAGCACCTAAATGAGCCTGAGCCTCACCATGAGGAAAGGCCATCGCGACCATCTCTCATACGACAAAGCCGCAGTTTCGCCGGGTCAGGGCCGCAGTCTCCTGAAATTCACATAACCGGACCTTTCAACAGGGAGACGAGTGAAAGTCCTCCCCCACCGGCGGCTCGAAAGCGCCCTCGTTCTGTTATCAGAGCTATTAACCCACTTCTGTTCAAGTCTCACGAGCGGACAACGTCAGACAGTAGCTCCCAGACCGCAGAGTCGAGTTCACGCCCACCGTCGTATGTCTGGATTTTGTACATTCCGACTATGCACTAATTTTTACTTCCAGAAGTTCTGCCTCTCCATCGAGACAATCTGAGTTTTTGTCCATCCCGACATCCACCCGAGATCGCATCAACCAGAACGTCGAATCGTCGGATATCCCCAGATCAGTGCCACGATTTGATCGACCGGAGCCAGATACCGAAAAGCTACTTTGGATCCATGTTCCCTACACACATACTGGATGGGTATCACAGGTGATCCGGCAAGCCTGTCATGATCGCCATGAGCCTAATTTGTATGTTTTTGTGCTTTATTTCTTGCAGCTTCACCCTGTCTAATCATTTATATAGTCTCCGGAAATTTGTCAACGAGGAAAACTGGTACTCGAATCTCAACAGAGCTCGCCATTCAGAGCCTCACGCCCGGTTTGTGCGGCCGAAATGTATTCATTCGCGACACATGGACGGTTCAAAGGGTACCAACGTGGAGGAGGCAGACGATCCCCAGTTAGCCTTATACGTAAGTTTCACACTCCCCCAGCTGCCTAAGATCAGACTGATTTCTTTTTTCTTTAGGTCCCATACGTGAGTCCCAACCTCTTCAATTTTTCATCCCACTAACGAGAAGCCAGCTCCATTGGGATACCTACCGAAATCTGATTCAACGCCGCAAAGTTGTCGAGCAAAGACTAGCCCAGGGACGAACAATCCCCGTGCCAGGCTGGATCTCACAATCTAGTCAGGAAGCAAAACTGATCTGGAAATATCTCGGCTGCGAACCCCCCGTTCATTTCCGGCGTACGCTCGATCAATTCGGGTATCCGAACCTGCGGTCTACCGTGGCCCGCGACGATGACCAGATGCTCTGGAAACGCACCAGAAAACCTGTACGCGTGGATGACCACCTGCGCGAGCACCTAGAGCCACAGCAGGGCGAACTCGATGACTCGGATGCGGATGAGTTCATGGATGGCAAGGTACTGATGGTGGATCAGCTCTGGCTCTGGATCGTCGACGAGAAAACTATTGTGACTTTCTTTCCAAACCAGGAAGCTACAACCTCCGAGGGGAAACTCTACGAACAGTCTAACTTGCACAGTAGTATCTACAATGAGCTAAACGGGGATTTGGCCCGCCGGTTCGATACGGCTGGGGATCTCGCTGCGTTGATCGTGTTGCATGCTGTCACTGTTCTGTTGGATAAGACATTGCATCATGACCTGCAGGTCCTTCGTATCTTCGAAGAGTCGATCAGCATTCTAGTATGTTTGCTTATCTGGAGATCTTTCTACTAACTGACCACGACAGACGGAATCCGTCACCAAATCCTTCAAACGCTTCCGCAATCGCGGCTTCGCCAATCGTCCAGCAGATCACAACCGCCTCCCCAGTGGTAAGATGATGACAGCTACGCAGCGCGATCAGCGCGATCGTAAAGTTGCACAGCGTAACCGCGAGGACCTATCTGTTCTATTAGAACTGCGCGATATCGAGGACGAGCTGTCTACGCTGTTAAAACTGCTTGACCAACAGGAGACCGTGATCAAGAGAATGGCTGAGTACTTCGAAGCCAAGGGATGCGGGAAGATGTTCCTCGATACGGCAATGTCAAGGCTTGGGGAGTATCGATCGCAGATCGGGGAGATGAAGGAGAATTCGCATGAGGCGCAGAAAGCGGTATGTCTGCCCCCTTTGTTGCGCGACCTTTTATTCTGATTATATTGTCTTGCAGGTGGAAACACTCCTCGATCTGAAGCAGAAACAAGCCAATGTTGACGAGTCCAAAATGACTCGGTGGCAGGCAGAGGTGACGCAGAATCAGTCGCGGGCTGTGATGGTCTTCACAATCTTTACAGTCATGTAGGGCTTCCTTCCTTGCTATGAGTACTCGGACTTTTGCTGACGCTATGCCCAGCTTCCTTCCGCTGTCCTTCTTCACTTCGCTGTTTGGGATCAACGCCCGCGAATGGACCGGGACAAAAGATAACCTGTCTCTGAACTTGATGTTCGAAATAGCCGGTACGTCCAACTGTCTTGTGTAATGCCTTCAATTCTAATTCACAATATCAGCACCCACCTCGATAGCGCTCATCGCATTCACTCTCCTAATGGCCTTCAGCGAGAACCTACGCGAAGCCGTCTCAAAATCCCACAAGATAGGCACCGGGTTCCTAAGAGAGTTTCTTCTCCATCCCATTCGCACATTTTTTCGCTGGGACCGGCTGATGTATCGCGCGCCCTCTGTCGTGCTGCCCGAGGACTCGGCCATGCGCAAGCGCCTTGATCAATATCTCGGCTACGAGCATCACAATACGAAGTTTGATGAGGATATTTGGGAAAACTGGCAAGCGGATAAGGATGTCCTTTCAGCGTTGTATAACCAGAAACCGAAACCGAAGCCGGTTGTGGAGCGGGTGGGTGAGCGGATGGAGTCGTTGTCGGAGAAGGTGAGGCGGAGGAGTGAGTCGAGGGTATAAGTTCTGGATCTATATACTGTACATGTAAATTTCGATACCCTTTTCTTTATGCGATCGACATTGTCTTGGTACATACTACTCGACACTGGATATATAAATCTCTAATCCGCTCTCCCTTTCATTAGTAAAGCTAGTTTTGCTTGTCATCTTTCACTATAGCCTGAGCCATCGCACCAACTCGCTGACGGGCCGGGCCACGGATGGAGACAGTTGTCCCTCTGTGCTTCTGGCACGGTTATGCTCACCGTTGTGCTGTTGGCCAGATCCAGCCAATTACGATACAGAATATCAGGGATGTTGTTGGGTGCAAACCCGCCATTGATGTTGTACAGTCATCCGACCCCCGTCGAGACACAAAACCACTCACACCAGCAGCATTGACCTCACGACTTGGCTTTTGGCTGCCGACATTAAGATCAAATATTCACTCAATTGTAACTGTAAAGTGGGAATCATAGATCTCTTCTAGCCCGAAAAGGGGATTAAAGAAGAATTACATTTAGAGTATATATTCGGCTAATTCAATCCGTAACACATAAGTCCTGCAACATCGTTCCTTCATTATAATCCTTCAACGACCTTGCTTTGAGTGTACACGCAAGGTGGTTGACAAAGAGTACCCTCTTCTTGATTTCGAGAAGAGAGAGAAATCGCGGCAAGGTCTCCCGCAGATCCGGGTAGATGGGGGTATTTAGAAAGGTGGAGGTATGTAGATGGCAGGGTGATGAATCGACTCGCGGCTGCGAGGATCATTTGAAGATTCGGTTTGTCAGTTCAGGGCAACTTGTTGGGGTAGTCTCCCTTTCTCTCGTAGGTCGGACTTGACCGTTCAGGCGTCGGGATAGCCTTCGACTTCTTCGAATAGATTTGAGTTTCTTCCCTCGCAAATCTGGGAGCTTGGTTGTGCCTCATTGGATGCCGCCAAAATCTGATGTCAAATGGGACGTGTATGGTGAGAAATGGTCTGGAGATCGTTCAGTTCCCACTTCATTTCCGATTTCGAGCTGCTGCTTCTGCAAAATTGAATGTATCGCAACTATCACTCCTCTCCAAACTAAGCAGCCGGCACAAACGAATTATTCATTGTCGAGCACCTTAGAATCGTCTGCATCATACGATCCTGATCCAAAGGCTTGGGGAGATAATCATCCATGCCGGCCTCGATACATCTTTCACGATCACCCATCATAGCATGCGCCGTGAGCGCCACGATCGGCGTGCGCGGTATATCGTTGATCTTCTCATACTGTCTGATCCGCGCAGTTGCCTCGAAACCGCCCATCACCGGCATCTGAATGTCCATGAGTATCACGTCGTACCGATTGAGCTTGACTTCTTTGACGGCTTGCTGGCCATCTGCTACAACGGTCACGTTGTGTTTGTACTTCTCCAGAATGCGCACGGCGACCTTTTGGTTCACGTCGTTGTCTTCTGCGAGGAGGATCGCGAGAGCGCGTCCGTAACCGGAGGGTGCGCGCCTAGGACGATTTCCCAGGGCGGGGAAGACTCCATTCCAGAGGTCTATTGGTCGGCAGGGCGTTGTGACGTAGGAGGTTATGCCGAGGTCGCCGGCTAATTTGGCCGTTACGGACACGACGGGTGCTACCAGCACCAATGGAATGAACCGGAAGCCAGGACAGTCTCGTATATTTGCTGCTGTCTCGACGCTGTCAGCCAGAATGGCGTCGAAGGCACATCCCCGTTCGTCCTGGAAAAGGCCTGGGGTGAGATCGCCATTGTTGGTGACGACCACGGGGTCAAGTCCCAGTTCGACGAGCATCTGCCCAATCGGCGTTTCAGGTGCTTGGCCGTTGTCCAAGAATAAAACCCGACTGTTTCGGTATGGGAGAAGTTGCTCGCTAAATCCCACCGGTGGCTGGGCTTCCTTCGTGCAACAGGTGAATGTAAACGTGCTGCCCTGGCCCACCTTGGAAGTGACCCAGATGCTGCCGCCCATCAGGTTGACCAGGCGTTTTGATATCGCGAGCCCAAGACCTGTCCCTCCAAAGCGGCGAGTCATCGACCCATCCGCCTGTTGGAATTTGTCAAAGATGAGCCCAAGCTTGCTTTGTTCGATTCCAATCCCTGGGTCGGTCACTGAGAACGCGAAGGCACATTCACCTGGCTTGTACTTTCTGTCCTCCACGCGTCTGATGGCGACCCGAATCTCTCCGTTTTCGGTGAACTTGACCGCATTCCCAACGAGATTCAACATCACCTGTCGCAGCCGGAAGGCATCTCCGATTACAAAGTCCGGAACGTTTCCATCAACAGTGTATGACAGATTCAACGCTTTCTCGTTCGTCTCTACAGCCAGGGCCTTCAAGACACCGAACACCGTAGCCCCAACACTAAACGGGGCTCGCTCAATGATCATGTGGTTGGTTTCAATCTTGGAAATATCGAGAATATCATCGATAATGGTCAAGAGACTGATGGCAAGATTGTGAACCAAGTTCAGAGTTTCGCGCACAGGTTGCCCCAGGTCATCAGTGTCGAGGGCGAGCTCAGTCATCCCAATGATTCCATTCATGGGCGTTCGAATCTCGTGGCTCATATTGGCGAGGAACTCGGTCTTGGTGCGATTAGCCAGCTCGGCCGCCTCCCGAGCTGCCGTGTTGCGTTGGATGCTGTCACGCAAGTTGGAGATCATTTTGTTGATCTTCTGTTTCAACTCGTCCATCTCGCCCGACGCAGAAACGGTGATTAATTTGCTGAAATCGCCACTGGTCGCGGCGTCTGTGATTTCGCCAAAGGCTCGAACCTGAGACGTGAGGTTCTCGGCCATGATATTCACATCGGTGGTGATATCACGCCACAGACCATGCATCCCTGCGACATCGGCCTGGCCGCCCATTTTGCCCTCCACGCCGACGTCCCTAGCGACGGCCTTGTTTTCCTTGGCGAATCGCTCCAGACCATCAAGCATGCTGTTGATCGTCTCTTTGAGTGTGAGGATTTCACCTTGAGCGTGGACCTCAATCTTGGTACTCAGGTCACCTCGTGCAATCGCTTGGGTCACGTTGGAGATCTGGCGGACTTGCTCGGTCAGATTCTGGGCCATGGTATTCACATTGTCTGTCAAGTCTCGCCAGAGACCCTCCACATTTTCGACTTGGGCCTGACCACCAAGGGTTCCGTCTGTGCCGACTTCTCGCGCCACGCGGCTCACTTCAAACGCAAATTGGTTGAGACGATCAACCATGGCATTGATGGTCAGTTTCAAGTCCAGGATCTCCCCATTCACATCCGCCGTCACCTTTTTGGTCAGATCACCCTTGGCCACAGCGGTCGTCACATCGGCGATCTCTCGGACTTGGGTTGTGAGCCTATTTGCCATGGTGTTGACGTTCTTGGTCAGGTCCTCCCAGATGCCTTCGACCCCATGTACCACCGCCTGCCCGCCAAGCTTGCCGTAGAATCCCACATCCTTGGCGATCTTGGTGACTTCCTGTGCGAATTCACGCAGCTGATCCACCATGGAGTTGATCGTCTTTTGGAGTTGGTAGATTTCACCCTTGGCCTGCCGCTCGATCTTCTGGCTGAGATCACCATGGGCCACCGCGGTGGTCACGGCTGCAATTTCGCGGACTTGGTCGGTGAGGTTGCTAGCCATGATATTCACGTTCTCGGTCAACTCCCGCCAAATTCCGTTCACCCCAGTGATGTTGGCTTGGCCACCTAGGATTCCTTCTGTACCGACCTCGCGAGCGACCTTGGAGACTTCCTGGCTGAATACTTGTAACTGGTCCATCATGGTGTTGATCGTCTGCTTGAACGTTGCAATGTCGGGGGAGATCTCCAGGGGATGCAGCCGAGCGCGCTGGGAGAGATCTCCATTGGCGACCTGGGTGATGATCTCTCCAATCTCGCCCAGTTCCTTCTGGAAGGCTTCATTGACGTGAGTGTGCTTACGGAGTTCCTTACGCAGTTGCGAACATTCGAGTTCAATGTCGGCCAGGGAGGACTGGGATTCACGGCGGTGGATGAGCTCCTCGACGATCAGGGAGATGAACTCGCGCGGCGCTGAGATCTCAGGATTCTGTTGATGCTGCAGCGCCGCGCGGGCTTGAAGAAGATCGGCATCGCTGACCCATGCCGGGCGAGCGGTATCCACCAGCGCGGCCATCAAGAATGTCACTGGAGTCGCTCACCACAACGATGTTGGGCCGCGTCGTTCCTCGGGTTGGGCCGGCAGGCTAGAAATGGTGTCAGCGAGCGCGCTTTGTATCGTCAACGCCATGTCATGCTCACTGTGGTTGATATTCCTCAACTGGCAACGACTACAGTCGGTGCAAGGGTGGGACCAACGCAGTCAAGAGGTCCCAGAGCTGGTCGTGCGCATTACCCGTCGCTCGAGGAGTGGCAACGATTTTCTTCGACAGTCCACTAAGCAACGAGGATGCAGGTTCAAATATATGGCCAGTCGGATCAGGGTGCAGATGGAAGCCAAGAAAGGTAATTTTGATGGTGGGTCTCTGAGGAGGATGAAGTGGCAGCGGTGATCAGCACTGGAGATTGAGGGGGAGAGATCAGAGCCTCGTGGGTCGTACCTGGAGGTTGTTGCTGTGGTGGGTGGGTGGTGCAAACCCATTCAGGGAGGACTACCTGACACAAAATAACCCCCTGATCACAAAGGTGATGAGACTGCAGGACAGGGAGTTGTGATGGGGGGGGAAGAGAACAAGGGGAAAGGGGAAAGAAAGGGAAAAGAGCGAGAGCGAGAGACGGGCAGCCGAAGGTAACAATACCAGCCGGACAGGCAAGAATTACCGCGTGCGAGAAGGTGCCCCACACGACGGCCAGTCTAGACTGCGCCTCTTCGGGAATGCTGGCTCAAGTCACGGCGCAGGAGGCATTGCAGTGATTGGGGGCTGATGATTGGAGCATTCAAATTGACAATGTAAATGCGGAGGGAAGACGACTCCACCGGATCCGTGATCGACACCGGGGATGAACCGCGGATGACTGTCGATCTGGAGACTGGTTCGACGACTACATACTACATCAGGACGCCCGGAGAACACTTTCTCCGTCAATAGCTAACGAACAGAGATCGACTGTCATTGAAAGAGGCAGAAATACAACACGATATGGTACACGATGCGCCGGAACCTTTTTCTAAGCCCCCGATAGCAGAGTGGAGAGTGGAGAGTGAGGGAGAGTAGACAGAATACAGGTATAGAAGGGGAGAAAAAGACCACAGTATCCAAACAGGGCTCGGGCAATGCAAGGAGACGCTCCAACAGAGAGAAACGGACGGTGGGGAGGGTCAAGAGGCGCGCTTAGAACATGCCGCCGCCCATGCCACCCATACCGCCCATACCACCCATACCGCCCATGCCACCGGCGGCGGCAGGGCCCTTCTCCTCGGGTGCCTCGACGATGGCGACCTCAGTCGTGCCAAGCAGCGAAGCAACTCCGCTGGCGTCGACCAGGGCGGTGCGCACCACCTTGAGCGGGTCGACAATACCGCTGGCGATCATGTCGACGTACTCGCTCTTGGAGCTGTCGTAGCCGCGGTTGAAGTCCTTGCCGAACTCGTCGGTCAGCTTACCGACAATGACGCTGCCCTCCAGGCCGGCGTTCTCGACAATGGTGCGGGCCGGCCGGGTGATGGCGCTCTTGATGATGTTGACACCCAGCTGCTGGTCGAAGTTGTCGGGCTTGACGTTCCCCAGGCCGTTGGCGGAGGCCTTGAGGAGAGCAGTACCACCACCGGGCAGGATACCTTCCTCGACGGCGGCGCGGGTGGCGTTCAGGGCGTCCACAACACGGTCCTTCTTCTCACCCACCTCAACCTCGGAGGCACCGCCGACCTTGATGACGGCCACACCACCGGAGAGCTTGGCCAGGCGCTCCTGCAGCTTCTCCTTCTCGTACTCGGAGGTGGTCGGGTCGGCCATGACGCCGCGGATCTGTTCGCAGCGCTGGGCAATCGAGTCCTTGCTGCCCTCACCGTTGAGGATAATGGTGTCCTCCTTGGTGATGGTGATGGAACCGGTGGAGCCGAGCATGTCGGGGGTGAGCTTCTCGAGCTTGATGTCAAGCTCGTCGGTGAAGACGGTACCGTTGGTGAGAACACCCAGGTCACCCAGGATGCTCTTGCGGTTGTCACCGAAGCCGGGGGCCTTGACGGCGGCGACCTGGAGCTGGCCACGCAGCTTGTTCAGGATGCAGACAGCCAGAGCCTCACCCTCAATGTCCTCGGCAATGATGACCAGGGGACGGCGCAGGGTGGTCGAGGCCTCCAGGGCAGGAAGGATGTCCTGAACGGCGGAGATCTTCTTCTCGGAGAGCAGGATCAGGGGCTTCTCGAACTCGACCTTCTGGGACTTGGGGTCGGTGATGAAGTAGGGGGAGGTGTAACCGCGGTCGAAGCGCATGCCTTCAGTAACCTCCAGCTCGTCCTCCAGAGTCTTGCCCTCCTTCACAGTAATGACACCCTCCTTGCCGACCTTCTCCATGGCGGTGGAGATGAGCTTACCGACGTGGGTGTCACCGTTGGCGGAGATGGTGGCCACCTGGGCGATCTCCTCCCCGGTGGTGATGGGACGCTTGTTCTGCTGGAGGTAGTCAACGACGGCGTCAACGGCAGCCTGGATACCACGGCGCAGGTCCATGGGGTTGCAGCCAGCCGCGACGTTCTTGACGGTCTCGGAAAAGATGGCACGGGCGAGAACGGTAGCGGTGGTGGTACCATCACCGGCGACCTCGTTGGTCTTGGAGGCAACGTCCTGGAGAAGGCGGGCACCGAGGTTCTCGAACTTGTCCTGGAGCTGGATGGCCCGGGCGACCGTCACACCATCTACAATGGTTAGCTTTCGTCAACACATCGTCAACGGGGAGTGTCCCTACCCTTGGTGATCTTGGGAGAGCCGTACGGCGACTCAATCAGCACATTGCGACCCTTGGGACCGAGAGTTGAAGTAACGGCCTTGGCCAGAGTGTCCACACCCTTGAGGAGGTTGGCGCGAGCCTCGACGCCGAACTTGAGCTCCTAGTAACTAGCTGTGAGCAAGGGGAAACACGGGGGCTTCGGAATGGGCGGAAAGACAGAGCGAATGGCTTGGTAATGTGTAATGACGCACCTTGTGAGCAAACCGCTGCTGCTGGAGGTTCAGTCCAGAGCGATAGAAAGGGGCGCGCTTGGAAGCGGCCGTCAGGACCGAAGCCCGGGTAGAGAGAGCGCGCTGCATGGCGATGGAATAGGGGAGGGAGGGAGGCAGGGGAAGAAAAAATGACAGGAAGAAGAAGGGGAGAGGTCCACCCGATGTAGAGAGGAATTGAGGGAGGATGAACAGAAGGGGAGATGGAGAGTCCGGGGGAGATGAAGCCAAAGATCTCGAAAATTTTCCACCTCTTTCTGCTTCCCCCAGACAGAAAGCGCTAGAAGGTCACGTGCTACGAACCGAGGGTCTCGGAGCAGCGGGTGATACAACAGAGAGGCTAAGCATGTTTGTGAGAGTAATTGGGGACTTGGGGGTTTCATTTTTAATTTCCAGGGCCGGTGGACGTGTTCCCAGGGTTTGATGAAATCATTCTTGTGTTGAATCTATATTTTCAATCTATATCCGTATAACGTGTAGATGTCGGGTGAACTCGTAGGCACCGCGACAGCATCCCCTAACCAAAAATCCTCCTTCATAGTGAACAGAGTTGATTGGCAGGTGGAATTAATCATCAATGCCACCTCCCACTCAGAAACAATAGCCCATCAATGCAGTGAAAAGTGTAGACCTGAATATATAAACCGGGAAGAAGATTCTCCCGATCCAGGAGAGCGCTATACCCCCATAACAAATGACTGTGGAGGGAAGGAATTGATTCTGACGAAAAGCTTCATGTCATGATAGGTCTTACTTGCACACATGCAACTTTGGGAACAGGGCAACGCATGTGTATCAGGAATTGAAATCCACCCATTGGTTAGCTACCCTCGCGCAAAACCCAACCCATCTTGGGTTCGGACATACCATCTCGGGTCAGGCCTACGCGTACGTCAAGGCCTAGGTGAGACTTTCCCCTATCTCTATAACCCACTGTCCATTCTGGGGATTGAAACTCAGGATATAGAGGATCTCTTCCTCGCCGTTATAGTTGTGAGCGAGGACGAGATTTGGCTCATTGTAATGTCCCATAAACTCCAGCTCGAGATTCAATTGTGATCCCGGCTGCAGCAACTCGCGAACGTGGATGATAAATGGCTCCTCGCGGGCTACACGTCTGCTGCCCTCGAGTCTGACGGATTGGAGAAATGTAACGGGAGTCCCATCGCTGTCAACCTCCGTGGCTATAAGTCGATGTCTGTCTTCCTGTTGAGTTTCAACTTTGACTTAGATGTCGTCGAAGGATGAATGGAGGAATTGTTAGACCTAGTTTCTCCATTACCTTCATCATCAAGACATCGGCCTCGCAAAATATGCGAAACTCTGCGAGTTCATCGATGGGCGTCGCTTGAAGATTGCATATAGCAAGTTTAGCCCTGTTCTTCTGACCAACAATTTCGGGAATCCCGTTAGCCGGAGTCACGGTCAGAGAGGACCCCAGAACGAGGCATAGATCCGCCGTTTCCGCATTGTCACGAGCGAGTGTCAAGTCTCGCGGGGGAAGATTCTCGCCAAAGTTGACAATGCTGTCATGCAGAGCTCCGCCGCAGCGGGTGCACTTTTGCCCCGTTCGATGGTCGTAGACATCTTTGCCGTAGGGCGAGACGGTCCGAAAGTCTGCTAGACATGAGAAAAATAACCCAAAGAGAAAAATATCACGTCTCAGTACCTCGAAGATATTCTTTGTCGCAATCATAACAACACTCCCGGTTGCTGTTCCCATGAAGTTCCGATATTCTGTCCTTCAAAAAGTCAATGCTGGGGCAGTACCAACGAGCGTGGGACTTACAGGCAGAATTCCACTTCGTCTGTGAAGACCGTCACAATTCTGACTAACCAGAAACTTCAGAATCCCTCGGTTTTGGAGCTCCACGAGCGCCATGTGCGCCGGAGTAGGGACCGCCTGTAGAGTGTTGGCAGTCCTCGTGCGCGCTCTACCTTGAGCTCTCAGAGTCCAGTTGCCATCTGGACCTCGGAAATCGGGCATTCCTGTAGCCATTCTTCAGCATATTCCTTCCGCATTTTTCAGAGACGCTGACCAGCGGATGTCGAGATGCCGGCGCCAGTGAAAACAATAAAGTGTTTGCTTTTCTTAATCTGGTTCGCTAGAATTTCGGCCTTCTTATTGACTGCGGCCAGTGGCTCGCGACGCTCTTTCGCAGCAACCTTGGGGGCGTTGTCAGCCATCTGACTAGATTGTTCACGCGTCTCTCGACCGGCCGGCCACGCGTCTTGGAGCGGCCTCAGAGGCAAATAAAGAAACAAATAAATAACCCAGTTGTGATTAGTAGGCAAGATAGCCGCATTTAGTATTCGCCGTTCCGACAATGTCAGTTGAGATCATGAAACAAAAATATCACTGTTTTGGGGTCAAAACGTTGTTTTTAGTGAGCGCGTCTCGACGTGGGGTAGACTGCGGCTTTACGGGTCGTTGTACACGGGGATGTTTCATTATGATCCTCCTACTTTCAGGCGCCCCCTGGGCTACGATGAATTCATGCTAACCAAATCTCATTGTCCCATTTGATATTGGCCCTTCCCAGGCACTGTGCAAACTAATGAAGAAACCAACTCAGATCTGAATCAAAAGCAAATGGGATACAACCACGCTATCTCCACGAACAAATTCCTCGAAAAACCAAATGTGTAAAAAAGAGTCGAAAAGAGATCATTTGAAAGAAAAGCAATGTGAAGAAGATCGGTCACCGCAAATTGATCGAAAAGAGGCGAGAATCCCCAGTCGAGGTCAGAGCTTGCCCAGGCTATGCCCAGAAATCCGGAGTTCCGAAATCAGAACTGAAGTCAGAGGGAAATCTATTGTCAGCAAGACCCTGCTGACCCGGGCCTGCATTTTCATCGTGGTTGGCGAATCCGTCCGGCAGTCCGTGAGGCCAGTGGTTGTTGGTGCTGGTAATGGGCGGCAGACTGAGGGAAGACATGTCCGTACCGACTGTGGAGTACTGCGGATCCTGCAGGTACTGATTGCTCAGACTGGCCCAGGACGGGGTCATCATGGGCATGTTGACAGTGGACAGACTCGGGTGCGAAACATAGGGGTTGATATCGTGGCGGACATACCGCGTCGTGCGGCCAGAAACCTGGGGCTGATACAACCAAGGGTCATCCTGGATCCCAGGATGCTCCCTGGCGACCGGGATATCGACGACGGAGGCGATGTCGGTGGACGCAGGATCCGTGGGGTTGAGCAGATCGGAGATTCGAGGGACCTTCAGGCGAAGGATCTTGGTGGATGTCTCGTTCGTCGGGCTGAATTCAGCAGATCCTCTGGAAACAATGGAGTCAGTGGAGTCAGTCGACTCACTCTTTGGAGTGCAAGCATCTTCAAAGCGAAGGAAAGGAGCTCCCACGCACAGCAGACGCTTCTCGCACTCCTCATCGGACTCATTGTCACCTTTAGAATCGCCCGTCTTGACCTTGACATCCTCCTTAGTCCCTTTGCCCTTGGCAGTCGTGTCCTTGCGCTTTGGGGCCGAGTGACGACGGCGGGACGAGGTGGGCTCGAACTCGGGATCAGAATCTAAGCGGGAATCATTGCGGCGCTTTTGACCCCGAAACTTGCTGGCGGCGTCCTTGGTCTGCTTGCGATCCGAGGCGTGCTTGCCGCGTTTTTGATGCAGGGACATGGTAACGGTGTCCTTGAACTTCTTGTCCGTTATGACTGCATAGTCGTAGCCAACCTCACTGTCTTCAGTCGCGTCGGTCTCCTTGGCGTTGGTGTTCTTTGCAGTAGCCTTTTTGCGAGTCCCCGCCTTCTTACTCTTCCCAGCGGCTGCTGAGCGCTTGAGGGGCGGCGGAATCCACTTATCCTCAGCAATACGGCGGGTCCGGAGCTTGGCAAGGTGCTGGATGATCGAGCTCTCAGTGACAGGGCCAGGAATCAGCTTGGCAACCTCGGGCCACGGCAGCTTGATACTCTCTTGATTGCACTGAAATTGCAGGCATAGCAGGAGTATGGTGCTGTCATCCTCTGCGAAGAAGTCAGTACAGCACTTACTATCAACGCCGAGCAAGAAAGGGTTACAAGAAGAGGAGACAGGTACCGAAGCCTAGGGCAAGGAGTCGACTCTTACCCGGATGGATCGGTTGAGCCACCATCCTGCCTCTGAATCAGGGTTTCTCTGCTTCAGACCATAATGACAACGCGGGAAAAGGTTCAAGCACTTACCGGTCCAGCGTTTCAGCTCTCGTTTGGCCTTGGTGTCTTCCTTGTTAGGCTGACCTTGGTCGCGGTTGTCCTTGCTGGCATCGCTCTTGTTGGTCTTGCCCTTGGGAGTCACTTCGCCCATAATGCCAGGTGGGGGGGCGTTATCGTCGTGGTAGATATCTGTTTTCACAAGCAGGATCAGCTTTCAAGGAGACTTTGGTGCCCAGTGGAAGTGCGAGTAAAGTAAGAGCAATCAGGTTGGTCGCCTCGAGCCAAGTCGAGGATCCGCCCCCCAAATCACTCGTTACATAACGCAAATGAGAGAAACACCCGTCATATTTCTTGGACAGCTTACCTTCTTTGGATTGACTGGGCGTCCTTGAAATCTCTGAAAGATAGTGGTGGGGTAAAAAGGATTGAGGATGGATGGAGGAAGAGGAGGAGGAGGAGGAGGAGGAAGAAGAAAATGATGTAGAAGGGGAAGAAGAAGAGTTGGGGGAGTGCGAGATATCAGGCTGCTCAGTTTCCAACTCTATAACGTTTGGAGCACGGCCTGGCTGCTCAAACGAGATCTATCACTTGGTGAATAATTGCTGGAGTCTTTCTATTCTCCAGTTCAACAACTTCTATATACTAGCTTTGTCTAGTGTCGGGTGGGAGGTGATGATGGGTTTCAGCCACAAGCAACGGCGACAGATGATCAATATAAGACCTACGATTTCCCTTCAGCCCCAGAGACTCACCAACGGATGCATTCCTGTTCTTCACTTCTTTAGGGCTGCGCTGTATACTTATCGAATCACGTGCTACAACACGTGACCGTCCTCTCCCGACTCTCCGGCATCCGTTCAAACTCACCCGAATCACCATCTCCATTCCCTTCCACCCCCATTCCCTCCTTCCCTCCACCGATCCAAGATGACTGCTGCCTGGAAAGCCGCTGGCTTGACGTATGTCTACCTCCCTCCTCGAACTCGATGCCATTGCTGACCTCGTTCCAGCTACAACCGCTACCTGGCGATTGCCGGCCGCACCCTGCGCCGGTCGCTCAAGGAAGGCCCCCGTCTCCAGGCTGAGCGCCGTGGCCAGATGGATCTGCGCTTCGCCAAGTGGGAGGTTCGTATATTCCGTCGATCGCAACGAGCCTGAACATTGGACTGATTTGAGGTGTTTGAATGCAGAACGGCAAGCAGGGCGAGGCCCAGTCGCTTGCCCAGGCCAACAACGCCGCCATCGCCCAGCAGGCCGAGAAATAGACGCCCGACCGCGCGCGTGTCTGATATCAGTCGAAGGAGATGGTCAAGTCGACGAAAGAATGGACCCGACCGCGGGTTCTGGATTTTGGTTCCTGTACATGTGTAGCACAGCTGGCCCCCTCGTGTGAAGGCTAGTGCTTAGAAATTGCACCTTGTTTTCATATTCCACTGCATTTGGCAGCCACTTCTTGTACAATACAATCGTAGACAATGGCCGGGGTCTGACCTGCATCGCCGTCAAGGGGGTGAGTGAGTGATGCATCTCTTGCCGCCCGAAGTTTTCTTCGTCCGCCCGACTCCTCGTCTCCCCGCCCACACTCTCGATCTTTCCTTCTCGACCGGCCCTGCTCACCAGTTATTCTCACACTCATTCACAGTGGCAGGCAGCTGCTTCCCCACAGCTGATGCTGCCCAACAACGAGGTCCGCGTTCCTCGGGCGCGGGTTGCGCAGCCCGCCCGGGACATCACCGCCGATTTTACTGAAGCCGCCGCAAGTAAGCCGATTCCGGGTCCTGCTCCGGCTTGCCTTATCGCGTCTAACACTTCTTTTCCGCAGAGATTAAACCCGGGAAGCTCGTCAAGGATGAGCTCTTTACGCTTTTTGAGGCCGTCGGGGCCTTGGAGGTGCGTTCATTCGTCCCGTCACGGCCGCGCAGTTGAAGCTGATAGTTGGGTTGTGCCGATAACAGATTATGGACTCGAAAATGGACAGCGGCTACATTGCCCCTGGAGAAAACCAAGCGCAGGCGCTGGAGGATGACTACGATGTGCGGCGCGAGCTGACACCCGCGGAGGTCGTGGGACTGATGGATGAGTTGCTCTGCCATGAGGTGCGTGCCTTCACGATCCTGCAAAAATGAATCTGACCTTCTGTAGATGGCATGGCATATGGGCCATCCGTTGTCGCAGACACTCTTCACATCCATCTACCTCGATAAACTCCTGTGGCCGGTGCCTAAGACCGTCGAAGATGCCCGATTCGATCGCACCCGGCCCGCAACCGATCTACCGCTGGTGAACCTGGTCCTCCGAGCTTATTGTTTGGCGCTGGTCAAGGCTTGCGACTTTGTCCATTCTCGAGTGGCGGCCGAATATTTCTTTGAGGTGAGTTCGGTGCTCTTAATGCGTACTGGCTCGCATCTAATGGCGTTTCGTGCACTAGGAAGAAGACTTTGTTACCCAGCTTTACAACCGGAACCTTTTGAGTGTATTTGACCCGTCGAATTTTGAGCAACTGTTGGACCAGGCGATTGATTGGATTGATAAAGAAGCTGAGATGGAGGAGAAGCTCCGGGATGCGATTCGGTGCCGATTAGTTTTCCGCCGCGAATTTCTGTTAGCACTAGACCAGGATCTGGATGTCCTAGAGAGCCGCTCGACTGTGAATTTTGTGTCGTGTGTCTCGCAATTGCAACTTCTAACCGAGACGGTGTGTTTGGGGAAGTCAGTACCAGAGGCGTTCAGCCTGAAGATCCAGCGGAAGCTCGCCAGCACGGTGCCTCCTCGACCAATCGTGCACATCAGCCACGAAGATGCGTTAGCTCATCTGAAACGACTCTGTCAGGATGCTATTGATATGCAGCATATGCTCGACTACCACGGTCCGAGCAACTTCAAGGTCAATATCCCCTCTGCTCTGGATTGGGTTCCCGGCTAACCCCTTGCCTAGACTGCTGTGTGGACACTATTATCCCGCAAACCACAGGCGTCGGTTTACATCCGCTGTCTCCTTCAGGCCCTGATTATCAGTGACATGACAATCCTGGGAGCGGTCTCCGTCAAGCAATTCCTGTATGATGACATCGCAGAGCTTGTCTTGCCATCCAGCATCCTGCTGCAGGCCAGCACGGACGAAGTTGAATTGCCCTCTGATCCTCGGTTTCAAATCGCCCAGCACATGGAAGGATTTGTGAAGCGATTTGCTCAGCCATTCGTGGACACCGTACGATGTGCCTGTCTCAACCGCTGTCGCATTCGCAGGACACTCTGCCACACCGTGGTGGATTGGGATAACCTGCAAATGGAGGCCGAAGAGCTCGACGTTCGGCTCCGCGCCCTGACATCCGAACGACCCATTTCGCTCCCAAGCGGCGAACCAGCCTTTTCCTACCCGCTCAGCAGCTGGGTGTATCACCAGAAACTGATACAGCTTCGGCTCGTCCTCCAAATGGGATTCGAGCTGTCCATTTACTCCCCCGAGGAGCTTCCGGGCATGTACTGGTACCTGTCCCATATCTGTACCACCCACCTGAGTCATCTCGACCGAATCCGCACATTCACCGTCGCCGCCCGCAAACGCGATCTGATGGCCACCAGTAGCCGCCCGGGCACTTCCTCTCAACCATCTTCTGCCTTCCACCAATCATTCCGCAGTCTCGAGAGACTGACTACTCACCTGATTGCCATCGATGCATTTTCTATCGCACTGCATGCACTATATGTGCTGCTGGCACGCCACCAGCTTCTATCGCCTGCTTCCTCTCCGCAAGCATACTCGAGCGAGAAACTACGCTACGAGCTTCGCATGAAGCCTTTTATCCCGGTGTCTCTCCCTGAGCTGGTCCCTTACCAAGAATTCCACAAGGAAGCCAACCTGGAGGGTGATTCGGACGTGACTGTTCTGGAGCGTGCCTCCAATGCCATCACGGAGGCCCGCCGGGCGTGGGAAGCCACCCTCGCCAACGGCGCATTTATTGAGGATCCTTCGTCCCGGACTCCGATGCCTTCTACGGCAATTGAAGAGGACTGGAAACGCGACGTCAAGGATACCATGCGCGCGTGTATTGGAGCGAGCCTGGCTATTGAGACGATCAAGAAGGCGCTCTCGGGCCAGACCGAGATGGCGACGCTGGAAGTGGCCATCCCTGACGCGGGCTCCAAGACCCGATGGCATGACTGGTGGGCGGTGCCGCAGGTTAGAGAGAAGAAGAGGAAGTAGAAGCATGAGTAGCCGTAATAATATCATTTCACCATGATCTGAGTGTCCGGAGGGTGTTCTATAAGGTGATTTCCGCATTTGGACAATGAAATCATCGACCGCTAGCGCTCGGACTGTCGATCGCATCTCACTGACTTTTGAGCTTACTGAGCTTACTGAGCTTACTGAACTTACTTGACTTACCTGACTTATCTGGTCCATCCGTCGTGATTGTTTTGGGGTTCGGGAAGACCTGTTATTGAACCCCGAATGATGCGCTCGCTGCCGGCCAGTGCACGCTAGATTCCCTCGACCATCCCATCCATTTCGCCCGTCAGCATCAGCCCCACCACTACCACTGCCATGCCCGTCTATCCCATCCGCCGCCGCCCACGCGAGTGTAAAACCTGCCTGGCCTGTCGTGCGAGTAAAGTCCGCTGCGATCGCAACGTCCCTTGCAGCAATTGCGTCAAGCGCAACTTCACCTGCTCCTATAGTCGCCTGTCGTCCGCCAAACCCGCCCTCTCCTCCGCGTCGGCCACCGAGTCCTCAACGCCCTCGCAGCCTTTCTCATTCAGCACTCCATACCAATCAACCCGAGAGCAACCTCGACCACCACCACCATCGCGTCGCTATGACCCGTATACGGAGTCCTCTGCCGGACCCGTCACCGGCGAAGTGGTGGATATCTCGCAGACGGAGTGGGACGAGATCAATACCAAGATGGTCGCCATGGAACAGCTCCTCGGCAGCCTGCAGTCGCTGTTTAATGCACACCCCGCGAAGAACAGCCACCGGGCATCAGAGGTGGAGACACGCGAATCCACTCGCTCCGAGAGCGTTTATGGTTCCGGCGCGCTGAAAAGCGGCACTGTTCATTTTGGGTCCCGCTCCGCGCTCGTTGATATCCTGGATAAATCGAAGCTCTCGGAGGATACGGCCCAGGCGCTGCCGCAGGATGAATTGCTGACCGAGCTCGTGCTTGGGAATGAGTCGACAGCATACCCGTTTGTAGACCTGTGGTCTTCAGACCCGTTTACTTTTAATATTGCTGGGGTGTGCGCCATCCTTCCAGACGATGAACAGTGTCGTCGGTGAGTCGTTTGAATGGAAACTTTTACCACAGGAGTTTCGACAGCTGATAATGATGTGTAGATTCCTCGGGTTCTACAAAGACATCGGCGCCGTCTTGTATCCCGTGTTGCCTGACCTGTTTGAACTGGAGCGTAACACCAATCGCCTGCTCGAGGGTCGAAGGAGGGAGGGAGGTGTGTATCGACCCAACAACGAGCGCCTGATCAAGCCGTTTGGCATGAGTCTACCTTTCCTCAGCCTGCTGTTCGCCGTGCTTGCCGCGGGATGCCAGTTGTCGGACCTTTCGGGTCGGGATCGTGAATTGACCTCGTGGATATATGGTTCGTACCCCTTTTGCAATGGGCTGGCTTCAGATGCTGATGACCGTGCAGTTTCCTGTGCATACCAATGTCTGCGCATGTTGAACTATGTCTCACGACCGTCAGTAGAGGTCATCCAGACTCTGCTCATTATTGGAAACGTACTGTCGTACAATATGAATGCAGGGGCTTCGTACACCATGCTCGGTATGAGTTTTCTCCCGTTTTCTGTGTCTCTCTAACTCGCTTCCAGGTATGACGGAGCGCTTGTGTATGGTCTTGGGGCTGCATGTCGAGTCGCCAGGGTATTCGTTCGCCGAACAGGCGATTCGAAGACGTCTCTGGTAAGATTTTTGTTGCTGCTTTTGTAGCCCGACTGACACTCCCCAGGTGGGCGATGGCGTTCCAGAACAGCCATTTCTCTCTAGCATATGACCGGCCATCTATCACAATGGTCAGCCAGCCTGAGATCCCGTTCGATCCCAAATCGATGCCGGGACATCGGACGTACTTCGAGACACTCTGTCAAATTGTGTCCCTGGCATTGGAAATCTTGCGGTCCCGTATGCATCCGGAACCATCGCATTCACCGTTTCACGAAATCCGAGAGTACAAACAACGTATTCAAAGGATACTTGCCGAAGTATCGCCGCACCTGCGGTATCGAGAGCAATGTCGTACATTGCGTGAGCATATCGAGCGTACCCAGTTGCGACTGCACTCCTCGTATCTCCTTTCGGTACTGTGCCGAGTATCCTTGAATCCCCATGCCCATCTTGATGACCAGCGGCGGTCGATCATTCGTGATGATTGTATCAGCAATTTGATGGACACGATTGACGCCTTCGTGGAGCTCCACGAGATTAACTCGCATTGCTCCCGATCATATATCAGTCTACAGAGAAGCATCGCTTCAGCATTCCTTCTCGTCGCCAATGACGATAGCCCACAAACATGGGAGCTTATCGATCGGCTTGAGACAGTGCTAGCAGACCATGTATATGCCGATGGCCACGAAGACCATAATAGCCGTACAGACTCTGTGAAGCATCTAGCTTCGTCACTTCGTGCTCTGCGGGAAATTCGCGACGCATGCCGTGAGCCCAAATCGGCACTACCAGCAGATACATCGACCTCCTCATTGATGGGTTTCCCATCTCCTCCGTTGGTAGATGCTGCGTCAGATATGCTGCCGCCTGCTGCTCCAGGAGGCCCTGTTGCATTGCCGATGGAAGACGGAGATATGCGTCATATCCTGGGTCGGGTCCCCGACGTTATGCTGTTCCCCAGCATGAGCGGGATCAGTCCACCTGTTTGATCAGCGTGCCGATTCGATTTAGTTTGCATACTATATAGGCGTCGGGGTATTCTGAGATTCTTTCGTATTGGTGTTGTTGCTCTGCATATAATGAGACATGGACATTCTGATCGCATCACTGCTTGGCCCATTGCAGACGAGTATATAAATCCGCGGTGACGTGAAACATATCTGAATATATGACCGACGGTCTGCTTTTTCTTCGCAGAATGAAATCAAGTCCCTGACAAGTTTTTAAGACTTCTCCCTTCAAGCACGCTCTCCATTATAACCGTCACTCTATAATATCATTTCGGTCGACCCGGGTGTCGCAGCCGATCTCACATCATACTGACCGCGTTGACTTCCGCAGTTGGTGATGTGGGGCTTTGGGGGCTCTTTCGGCCGGCCGAGAAACCCCCGAACAAGTCAGATTCAATCCCCGACAGTGATCCTAGCTTGGAACGATCTCGTTCTGGGTGATCGGACCCATGGTTGCTGCGAGCTATTGCATTTCTTTTATCCATCAATGTTTCAACTGTCGGAGTTTGTTGTCTACCTAATATATTGCAAATGCGTCCATTCTACCCGACGGGGGTTTCCCGACTTGCATGTACTGGACTGCGAGTCTGATTGCATGATGAAACCCAATCCGGTCACAGGTCTCGAACCTTTCCTTTCGATATATCTATCCGTGGTTCAAATCGGTTCTAATCTATTACGATAACATTCTTTCCGGTCCCGATCCCAGAAAGATACTCCTGCCTCATCTCCTCCGCCTGCTCCATCTTCCACTCCTTGACATCAACGTGAAGCTTGTTCTCATGGAACAAATTAATAAGTTCCTGGGCAGTGGCCATATCGCCAATCAGAGACCCAAAAAGCTTGATGTCCTTGAAAATTACAGTGTGGAACGAGAGCCTGATCCCCTCCTGCGGCTGACCTAGCAACACCATCGTCCCGTGTTTTCTAGTGAGAGCTGCGGCGAGGTCGAAAGCTGGTTGTTGGTCCGTCGCGAGAATGGTTGCATCAAGTCCGCGGTAGTTGGATTGCACTACCTTGTCAATCTTCTCAAGTGATTTTTCAATTGGGTCGGAAGCTAGAATTAGAGCGTCTGGGGCGTGCTTGTAAGATGTGACTGCGTCGAGTGCTGATTGCTTGATGTCAATTGCTGCGACTGTGTAGCCCTTCCAAAGGAGTTAGCATGGCTAAGACGAACTAAGTCAGAAAATTTGATATCTTACCATACACTTCGCAATTTGGGTTCCAATATGCCCCAGTCCGCCGATCCCGACGATTCCAATGGAGCCCCCTATGGGCACACCCGCTCGCACGATACCTCCATAGATGCTGATACCAGCGCACATTAGAGGTGCTGCAATCTTGAATTCCATGTCATCTGGCAATTTAACCATGAAGCGAGCATACCTAACGCACCAATAGGTACAGAAAACACCGCGGTGTTTGTTGTCAGAGCTTGGTAATCTTACATCGTATTTAGGATCAAGAAGCGAGTCAGATGGCATAAGGTCGGACCCTTCATGCAAGCCACATGAACATTTCCCTGCGATAACGATTGGCTATTCTGCGTCGCATCCTTGGGCATATCTGGAAGTTATAATCCACTGACCGCCGCTTTGTTGCCCAAAGTTTCCTGAAGATTTCCAAGTTCTGCTACTCCCCTCATGGCAAACGAAACTCCTTGTTCAGCCTGCACCTGGAGTCCTGATCGCCAGAGCTACTGCAGATACAAAAGCCATGTGCACATATTCTATGAAGCAAGCGACCGCGGTGTTTGGTCCCTCGGGTCAAAATATATCCTGAAAGAACGGTCATCCAAGCCGCCCAGCTACGAGTCTGTCAATACCCGCTTCGTGAAAGAGAACACCACAATACCCATACCTTCGCTACTGAAGGACTGGAATGATGAGGATGGACGATACTTTCTCATAGCGGAGAGAGTACCAGGCGAAACACTCGAGAAAGTCTGGCCCCAGATGTCTACCCCAGCGAAAGAACGTCTTGCTCAACAAACCGCCGAGTATCTCAAACAGCTCCGCCAGCTCCATTCATCCAAAATCCAGAGTGTGCATGGTCAGCCAGTTTATGGTGGTCTTTTGTTTCCCGGCTATGGACCTAATGGCCATGAAGTGCCTCATGGGCCTCTCTCGTCTGACGAGCAACTCTTCAATGAGATGACACCAGCTTTGAGGAACCTACCCGATGTCGCTCGTGCGCACCTACGGGAGAAAATGCCTTCCGCACAGCCATACACCTTTACCGATGGCGATTTGACCATTTGCAATATTATGGTAGACCCAGATACTCACACGCTCACGGCAATCATCGACTGGGAAAATGCTGGCTACTTTCCTATCTGGTGGGAGTTTGCTCATGCAGGCATTGCTTATAGCGATGATGACAAGGAATGGAAAGACCTTCTGAGAAGCTACATGCCCGACCACTCTGCTGGGCGGGAGTTCTGGAGGGATATACAGGCTTTGGCGCGGACTTTTCCCTCGCTGGTAGATAGACGCCGAGAACTTCTTCGAGAATGTGGCATTAAAGCAGATGATTCATCTCAGGAGAAAGCCAAGTCTTGAATAATATCAACAAAAATTCCTGCTCGATCCCTACCGTGGGCACATTAGCTCCACTAGGTACCGAACAAAGCTAGACAGCGATCAGGTACCCCCTGAGACGGAGAAAGCCGAATTAGATTTTGCAATTTAGCGGGTGATAATACTTTATTGGTAATCGGTTCCACTGCTCTCACCACATCTTGAAGCAATAGCGTGCAATTTCTACATTGTGACACGCGGAATTCCGTTTTCGCTCGGCCATTTGTTATTTGCCTGTGACCATATCTTCGAAGAATAATAAGGGTCTCTTTGCTCACGAGGCCACTTGTTAACTCGGTGTTGTTCAATTCGATGTATGGATGCAGATTACCATGAAGAAATATATATTTTCGGAAATCCTCAGTTAAATGGCACTGCATCAACGTATATTGCCGTGAAGAACGAGGATGCAGCTGACAAGGCTGATACAGCTTTTTTTCGGCTTATGAAAATTCAAATTTCCGAATCTCTAAGTTTCGATGATCCTGGACACCATACCTAGTCTAACTGACGATTCAGTTAACTGCCAATCACTTTTGACTTTACTTGGCCCCCATCTTGGCTGAATATCACTTCCAATGTAAATGTGCATTGCCAAGGAATCCCATGAGTTTCTTGACATGTTTGCCACTGCATAGCCTTGTCTTCTCCGCATCTAGTATTTATAAGTCAAATCCAAAGAATTAATTCTATCTCGTGGGGAGTTCACAAACGCAGTGACATTCCTGTATGGGAACGGGACCGTGGTATTCTTTTCAGATCATTGAATTTTGAGAGTGGCACGTCCCGTTTAAGTTCTGAAGACATGTTTCAGACAAACCAAACAGACTAAGCTGAACATCGTACGGGTAGTATCGTAGCCACAGAGTATATGCCTAGCCAATTCCCCGATTAGGAATTTGCCCAGAGGCGGAGCAGAGTTAGCGCACATCCTTACTGTTCCTGTAACCCTGGGGGCCACGATCTTCTCAAGAGTTGCATTGGTTCCTCGAATCTGACATCTTCGAAACAATGATCTGTGTCTCCCTGACTAAATCGCGGGATGATCGTGGTGTCTCTTCATGTTATTTATTGAGGCATCCTGCTGTCCAGCCATGTGCCTCTCCACACATTTTACCATCCCGCCCAGCAAAAGAATACAACAATGGGCGCTATCAGTAGGCTTTGTGCCCTGACTGCGTTGCTTCCATTAGTCTCCTGCTGGCTCCCCCAGACCAACAAGCAGATAACGTCCCGCAATGGCACGAACCTGTTCTCGTCATCGAATGGCAAGATCCGCGGCGTGAATCTTGGATCGCAGTTTATCTTCGAACCATGGCTTGGGGAGAGTGCCTGGAGTGATATGGGTTGCGGCAGTACCGGTTGCGAGTTCGACTGCGTCAAGTCTCTCGGACAGGAGGCTGCGGACAAAGCTTTCCAGAACCACTGGGGGTCATGGATCACACATGACGATATCACCGAAATGGTCAGCTACGGCATCAACACTATCCGGGTTCCCGTCGGTTACTGGATGCGCGAGGATCTCGTCAACCGCAATTCCGAGTACTTCCCCAAGGGCGGTCTTCGGTATCTGAAGAACCTCTGTGGATGGGCCAGTGATGCTGGTCTATATATCATCATGGATCTGCATGGAGCCCCAGGAGCGCAGGTGAGGCTTGCAATCTGATGACAAGAGGCTTAAATAACTTACTAGAAAAAGGTCTCTGAAAATGCCTTCACTGGCCAACTAGTCGAGACACCTGGCTTCTACAACACATACAACTACCAAAGAGCCCTGCGGTTTCTCGAGTGGATGACCAAGCTAATCCATTCGACAAAAGAGTTCCGCAACGTTGGCATGCTGGAGATTGTCAACGAGCCTGTCTCAGATAGCGACGACGCCACATCCATGCGAAAGAACTACTATCCTAGTGCTGTCAACGTGAGTCCAGCCTTTACAATAAGAGAAATGGTCACTGACAACACCACCTTAAGCGTATTCGTGGCGCAGAAAGCAATCTAACAATGAGCAAAAACGATCATCTCCACATTCAAATGATGGATGAACTTTGGGGATCGGGGGATCCAAATCAGTACCTCAGCGATCTCCACTTCCTAGCATATGACGACCACAGATACCTCAAGTGGGATACTAGTGTCCCTACCACGCACAATAGCTATCTCAACACCTCCTGCAGTGATGAGCGCAACAGTAACTGGCCAACCATTGTAGGAGAGTGGAGCTTGGCTGTGCCCGACAAAGTCCAGTCTTCGCCGAATTGGGATCCATCTTCCAACAAGAATTTTTACTCAAAGTGGTTTGCGGCGCAAGTCCATGCATATGAGAAGCAGCAGGGTTGGGTGTTTTGGGCGTGGAAGTCTCAGTTGAATGACTACCGCTGGACGTATCAGGGTAAGTGGCTCCCTCTTTTATAGTATAGATCAAGATCAACACCAGACAGAGGCTAACAGTATCCACAGACGCTGTAAAGGCGGGTGTGATTCCCAAGGAGCTGAACTCTCTCCCGGACCCTTGCGTTTGAACGCGGGCTTTCATTCGTGCAGTGGTTTGGATTTGCGCATATCCATTAGATGGTTAGTTCGAGTTTGTTGATCATCTTTCTCGTTCGCTGGGTTTTTGTACATCGTGCAACCATTGTCCTCGATGAGATGGTGGACAAATTGACAAATTTCCCCAGATTCTCAGAAAGAGCATCAGCCAAATGAAGTATATTTCAGCATGAACCATTGCGATAATGATATGTCACGAGTCAACAGATGTACACTGTAGGGCGAAGAGAAAGTAGGCGCTACGAATCAGGCGGCACTTGGGGGTGAAGTCGGCCACCACACCATGGCCCATAAGGGAACTCCTGGGCCACCTGGCTGGATGCTGGCATCTGCAGCGACCTTGCCCTGCCCGAGAACAATCTTTTCCACATCCTCAAACCCCAACGAGAGATAAAGTCGACGGGAGCCCGAAGAAGTAGCCTCGAGCCAGATCGGAAGTTTCTCCGCCTGTGCGGTCTGCTGGTGATTTCGGATGATAGCTTTTGCGAGTCCTGTGTCGAGATATATCAGTGATATGTAAATAATTTGTTGGACACGGTCCGGTTGCTCACCCTTGCCTCGATGCTCGTGCTCGGTACAGATGCTGAAGATGTAGTAGTATCTTTTCTGCCCTCGGAGACCTTTGCGCTTCGCATTATCGGTCATTCCGGAGAACTCAGTCCAAAGTCGCTGTTGTGGCCTTGCAAGTCAGCTCTGTTCCGACTGCAGCACAAGTCCAACCAACCTTGAAGCCTGTGAACCCGATCCGCCAGAGCACGGGGAGGAAGCCCGCCCAAAGTAATGACCAGACACCATCAACATATTTCCCCGGTGGAACCAAGACGGATGCAGCCTTCCAACCGTCGGCTTCGGTAATCAGCGCATCGTTGAGCAGGGCCGACTTGACCAACTTGGTCCAATAGATCGGCAAGTATTCCAGCCGCTCTTCCTGAGACATTTCCAGCAGCGTGTACGCGATGACCGGGTCGGTGTCAAAGGCGCGACCGTTCAGGCTGGCGACGGCATCCAGGAGCTCTGTTGTTCTCCTCATCAGTATTCCTCCCAAGCGGACAAACCAGGACAGCACCACTCACCGTCTTTACCGTGAGTTATTGTGACTGTTTGTGCCATGGTTGCTGTGAAATTAGGTCATGCTAGTAAGGATAGATAAATGCGCATGCTGTTCACTAGGACAAGCCGTCGCGAGGTCACGGGCGGCCATGATGCGTGATATCGAGAGAAAGGCCAAGTTCGCAGTCTGTCTGTTGGCATCGACGTAATCGACCCTGTTAGGTAAGCTACGCACGCATGACCCAAATCCTCCTTTCCCGTTTTCTCTCCCTAATAACATCACTGCACGACCGCAATAGTTTTCGAAATCAGTTATATCTCAACACTTTTACTACTTGATCCCCGGAGAATATATCCGAATGCACAAGTCCTAATACGAGAGATCCGTGTTCCAGACCACTTCGTACATTTTACAATTAAATGAGATAGTTCGAATAATATTCTGAAACTGCTATACACACGCCACGGAGCTAGAGGTAAAGTGGAGTGCGTGGACCTTGCGGTGGACTAGCAAGCGTGCCAGACCCTGTGCTCGTGCAGATCCAGAAATACAAAGTCAAAAACTACTTTCATATACTACGACAAGAGCTCGCGAGCGGACATGCTGGTGATCTTCATCTTACATTGTTGAGGAGCTTGAACTTCAGCCAAGTGGTTTCCGCCATTGACACTGCTTATAATCTCCTGGCCAGTCGTTATGTTTTTACCCTTTTAATTCTTTCATAATGGCCTTTTTCTGGAGCTCTTGCTGCCTCGATAATTTCCCGCCCGTGATATATGACCTCCGGATATGCAGTCTGTCGGCATTTTACTTTGTGCCGATGTCGCAATTACCATCCTGAGAAGAAGTAACCGTTTAGGTACGCTATAGATTGCCCTATAAAGGTGGTTTGCCAACGAACTCCCCGATCCAAGGATTGGGCATCCCGCTCCCGGCATTCTAAGCGGAATCGGCATCACAGCACATTATAAGACAGCCCAATAGTCTCGGCTCTTGTATTTCTGCCATCTCCCCACTACCCTTCTCACTTAATCGACCATGGGCAACACCGTCCTTCTCCTCCTCGACATCCAAAACGGCATCGTCGACCGCGTCGGCAACCCAGCCTCATATGTCGAGCTCGTGGGCCCCACCACCGCGGCTGCCCGCAAGCACTCTGTCAAGGTCATCCACGTCGTGACTGCGTTCAGGCCGGGATACCCAGAGAACAACCCGCTGAGCATGAGCACGCCTGCCGTCGCAGCTAGCGGTGATTTTCTGGAAGGCAGCGACTCCGTGCAAGTTCATCCGGCTGCCGCTCGCACCCCCGAGGAACCGATCATCATCAAGCGTCGCGTGTCTGCTTTCCATGCCACTGAACTCGATTTAATTCTGCGATCCTCTGGCACCGATCACATTGTTGTCGCTGGTCTGATTACTAGTGGTGCTGTGCTCTCGACCGTTCGTCAGGCGTCGGATATGGATTATCGCATTACTGTTCTTCGTGATCTGTGCATGGACCGCGACGACGAAGTCCACCGCGTGCTCATGGATAAGGTCTTTGCGCGTAAGGCTGAAGTTGTCTCCGCGAAAGAATGGGTGGATAGTCTGGCGGGTAGTGTTTGAGTTGATCCTACATGTTGAGAAGAGCGCTCAAGCGGGAGATGTCTTCGGCCAAGAGAAAAAGAGAGCATTCTTGTACCTCGAAGATACCCGGATAACTTAACCAATGCAATAAAAAGCATGGGAGCCCACATGCATCCTTGGATCCCTACAATGCGAGTAGATCAACGGAGCGACTTAATTCTCGGCTATGCATTTGTGTCATGTGGATCTGGCGGATTGCATAAACCTTCATGCAATCAGTTAGTTAACTAATCGCGCTGGCTTAGCAATACAGCTGCCCCGCGTGCTCTGGACTTAACCGTTTACATCTCTAGTTCTGCATAGTCCAGAAAATGGCACGCCATACCTCAGCATGGGTCATGCGCGAACAGAGTGGAATAAACAGCCTCGAGCTCATCAAAGACCACACTCTCCGGAGGTTAGGCGAGCATGATGTGTTGGTCAAGTTGCTTGCAGCGTCACTGAACTATCGAGAAACCGCCATTGCCAGAGTAAAGACATACCTTCCCCAATAAACATTCCCGCATCTCAGCTAATCGCCATCATTCAGGGCGAACCTGCTCTGTCCTTCTTCAGACCTGGCATCGTTCCCGGCTCTAACGGCGTAGGAATAGTCGAGGCCGTCGGGCCCCATGTCCGCACCTTTAAGCCTGGTGATCGTGTCTGCACGCATCTCCCGTCACAATGCCTGCGGCGGACCCGCCAACTATGCAGGAAATTTGTGAAGCCAGGGAGGCATATGAGTATTTGCAGCAGCAGCGCCATTTCTCCAAGGCCTTTATTCAGCTACAGGGCGAGAAATAGCTGCGTTGAAGGCTATATATTCATTGCATTAGAATTACTACATCGCAGGATGGATTAGAGTAGGACAGTCTTCAGGAAATCATATGTTCTGGCACATCGCGATATTAACAACTCATGCTAGATATATTCAAATATAAACAAGGCCATTTTCAGCTGCAAGATTTACAGCTTGACCTGGTGCTTGTCCTGGGATCCTGCACAGCAAGCCGGCTCAGGGTGCAGGGTCGACTTGTTGAAAGACTGCGTCGAGGGCGGAACATCCAAAGCCGGGTTTTTGGTGAAGAAGCCATCCGGTCTGAGCATCACGCTAACACGCTCCATGGGCATGACGGGGAAGTCTTCGATGCGAGGGTTATGGGTAAGACCGAAAGCTTTCAAGATATCAATACCATGGACAAAATCACCAGCAGGGGAGAAACTCACTATGCCAGAGTACGACATCTTCATTCTCCACGGCGTCCTTTCGATCAGCCCACACCTCCACCCCATTCGAGTCCTTGGACTGGTTCGTGAACTCGCCGCCGGCATACAGCTCGCCGTCCTGGTATTTGGTTACCCAGATAGGCCGCGTCGCAAATCGAGCCCGTCGGCTTCCGAACGATTTCGGGTGTGCGAGCAACATCTGGCTCGGCATGGCGTGTAACTTGTATGCAACGGGCTTGTAGGTGACAGGGTTTGTAACACTGTCGTTGCGGAACTTGAACACACGATGGCGCTCCACGCTGGTCGATGCGCTGCCGCTGGTCTTGATAACGTTCTGTTCCGTCGTGTATCCGACCAACCACGGGTTCTGGTCATCCTCGGGCATCGGCACACTGTCTTCATAATAGACCGTATTCTTGAATCCGTCAATTGCAGGATCAATGCGGAACGAAAACAGGTGCTGATGACATGGCGCCATCACGCCTGGCCCCACGTTGGTGCCCCATGGCACTGTCTGGCCATTCTGGTTGTCAAATGCCACGGTTGATAGGATTCCCGTTGCACGAACCTCCAGCTCAATGTTAGCAGCCTGGTCGAGGATGAAGGCGAAAATATATTCGTAATTGGCTACAGTGCAAATCATCTGAACCACAAGCTGGCGGTTGCGTACGACGGTAGCCGCGTCGTTGCGGTAGTTGGTATGCTTGTGTTGCAAGCCATTGTCCTGCTCATGCATGCAAATGACGTTATTAAGTTTAATGGGAGTACCTTGGGCATCACAACGATATCCGTCGAAGTATTTGATATGACCGAGACAGTCACAGCCCAGGCTCAGCTGGTTGGCAGTGATACCAAAACCGACATCGCCAACCTGAATTATAAATCGTCAGCACTAGACACTTGGATGGCATTGAAGAGGACTTACGTCGAACGCCTGCTTACGATGATAAGGAGCACGAGGATCTGCAAGGCCGGTTAGAGACAAAGTTAATTCGAGACCGAACTTCCGACATACCTCCGTAAGGAACGGTCATTTCTGACACAGACAGACGGTAGAACGTGTTGCGTCCGTCATATGTCACATTGTGCAACACCAAGCCCTCGCGATTATTGAAGCCGACCCGGAACCGCCACTTCTGCCATTGGACGGCATTCCCGATGACAGTGAATGATGCCCCCTCGGGCTGCTGAACAATATATGGCTTGAGATCCGTACGTAGCGGTTCATCCAGCAGATCGTGAGCATACTGGACGGTGGGAACCGGCTTCCAGGGCTGCGTCTCGGTGGTATGAGAGTCTGCGCCACCAGGGAGATAGTCCATGCGCACCAGCTGATGCGTGAGCACATTAAACACTGGGGAGAATTTGCAAGGCAACGAATAGTGGTTGTTCTGCGGGTGATCGTGCGCTACAATATACATGTAGCACTGAACCAGTCGACGGGTTTCATTAGGATCATCTGTGCCGTAGATCCATGGGTCCATGCAGACCGTCATACCCGCGGGAAGTTTAAGCTTCTCGATCTCGGCTTTGACAGCCGGGTGGTTCAGGCACACCTGTTCCATCTCCATCATTTCATCGACATCGACTGGGCCCTGGGAGAAATTTTGAGCGGGGATCGTTTTTAGATACTAGGGAGACGTACCTGGACGCCCTTGGGCATTTCCTTCGCGGACACAACCGACTTAGTGTCTGCATTCAGCAATGCCTTATAGAACGAACCATTGTCCAGACGGTGGAACATGACCGCGAGCAAGCGGGCTGGCTTGCGCGGGCGAACCTCTCCGCGCCGCTCAGCCTCTAGGTACGGAACCACCTCATTCTTGGCGGGTTCGTGGAGATCAATGCGCTTGTACCGCAGTTTGACACCCGGAAAGGCTGACTCCAGGATACGCACGGCCAACTGGATCTCACCAGGGGTGATGGGGTCGAGGGGGTGAAGGCTGGTCATTCTGGGGATGCTCAAATGGTGGATGAGAGACAGCACCGAGCGAGCGATGGTGAAGCCTTTATCTAATTCTCAACGGGGCTCGGCGTGAGATATGCCTCTTCCAGCAAAACTTGCGCCAGTGGAGGCAGCCGAGCGAGGCCGTTGATTGGTGTGGGCGACGAGACGGCGCATCTTTGGCTCGATGGGGTTTAGCGCGTGGAAGGGCCTGGCCCACAATTCAAGGTTGTTCCTGTTCCAGACAGGGAGCGTTCGGCAAGTAACGCTCAGTATCTACAGAACACACCTACGAGGATGTTTCTTCTACTCACGCTCGACTTCTGTCCGCTAGAAAATCCTCGAAGCTAAGGAAGGGATGCCCCGATGGAACGGAATCCAGGGCCACTCCTGCCCCTCGTGATATCCCCTTGTAAGGGTTGGCGCGACTGAACATTCCAGAGGTGACAAAGTCCAGACCGCGCCTTGTCCATATAAAACCATGTCGCGTCGGCGCAGTCTCGCGTGTCTGTCTACTTGCAATACGACGACAACAATATCCCACAGCCTGGCTCCCGGACACTATGCACCACTAATCCTGAATTTTGTTTCATACCCTAATACTAATCACCCTTCTCGGAGCCCCAATCGTCTGTGCTTCGCGCCAATTGTTCATGATGCTGAACCCATCTATATCATTGTTGCTGCTGGCGCTCGGTACTGGGTCGGCTCTCGCTGGGATGCATGACCATCGAGCTCACGCGCACCAAAAGCGTCGAGCAAACATGATGGTGCTGCCAGCAGTCACTGTGGTCGAGGCCCGCACTGTCACCACGACGATATTCGAAAACTGCGCTGCAACTCGGCCCATCCTCACCGCGACCACTCTTGGCGAAGATCTACCACTCGCAACTGCTCATCACCTGGAAACAGAGGAGACTACCACCGTGCGAATGACGACCACTGTGACCAGAACCGCCACCGATTTTGTCACGGTCACTGCTGAACGTACCCACACGACCGAGTCCATGCCCGAAGACCGTATCCTGGACAAACCAAATGCCGTGCTGAACCTGGTAAAGCAAATCCAACCCGCGCTCCCAAAACTGCCGAAGCTGCCCAACTTGCCGCAGCTACTCCCGGACATACCAGTCAACCAGATCAGTAAGCCGAAAAGCCCAAAGCGTCTGGACTGGACTTCAATCCCTGCCCACGGGGCATTTTCAACAAAAGGATTCGGAGGGCGGACGGCCCCTCAAGACACCAATATCCAATACCGTGGGAACATCGGCAGACCTTGGGGATCAAATATCATTGGGGTCAGTCCAGCGGAGGCGCACTTGTACAAGTACGTTGTGCAGTTCTCCGGTCCCGAAACCGAACCCTGGACCGTCACGGTGTGGAACAAAGTCGGCCCAACCGGCAAGATGGACGGGTGGTACGGGCACGCAGCGTTGACGTTTGTGCTTCACCCGCATGAGGTGCGCTATGTCGCGTTTGACGAAGACTCCGAGGGAGGCTGGGCCGCAGGGCCTGGTGAGGACGGCCTGCCCACTGACGCCTGGGGCGGGTACACGACTACTTGGGGCGAGTTCTCCTTTGGAGACGTCGAGAATGGCGGTTGGTCGGGCTGGGATGTTTCGGCTATCCAGGCCCAACTCGCTGGTCAGCATGTGCAGGGCATGCGGATCTGCATGGCTGATGGGAAGGGGTGCTCGATTGTGGGACGGAACGCGAATAAAGTCATCAATGCGTATACAGATTCCAAACGCCATCGCAATGGCATTGGCGGGGCTACTGGGCCTGGACCGGTGCGTTTAGTTGCGAATATTGATTACCAGGGTTGATTATGCCTTGCTGTATATATTCCGTGCACTATCTCAGATTTAATCCACGTTAACTGGCGTTGTTATCCGCTCTCTTCATCAAGTATTTCTACGTCAAGTACTCTACCACATACGATATTGATTTTCTCGATGGCCCACACCTTACCACCACTGCTCGACATGTACGAGGTCCCTACCACCGAGGCGATTTTATCCCGGAATGTGCTGTCCTATGATGCCAACGTGATAACAGTGTTGAGGTATTGCTGCCACCATCGTTCCGATGCAGTCACTGTCACGTTTTGTGTCAGGCCATAACTGACAATATTTCGTCCCGAGCAGACTGACCTGAAGCTTCTCAATTCTGTAGGTGTAGCTGTCCTAATTCTCGTGTCAAACAAATTGCACATCCTTCTTTGCAAGCGAATCAAAGAAGCCCGTTCAACCCAATAGCCCATTTTCCTGTCTGTGCTTGTGCCGTTGGGTAATTCATTTTTTTTAATGTATTTGGTTCAAAGCTACTGTGACTACAAGTAGCTGCATCTGTCCTTAGGGATCGTTTAGGAGATCATCACAGCATTTCAACTACCTACAAGTATCATAAACGAAAGACATGCGTAGTGCAAAGTTATAACCGGATCTCGCAGCGTTCCCAGCCCTTTAGTGCAGGTACTCTCCATTCGTCTCTCGGTGGATCACATCAAACAGCGGTTTGGCACTGAACCACCCAGCTTTGTGTGTACCGACCGTCTTGTAAGTGAATGCGGCATCGGCGTCGTCGATTTTGACCGTCTCTCCACCACGGCCCGAGGCGGCGGCATCGGCAAGCAGCTGAGCATAGCAACATTTCTCCAAGCTGACGAACCAGAACACGGTCTCTTCAATCGAACGCCCAACAGTAAGGAGGCCATGGTTCTGCAGAAGAGCAGCCTTCTTATTTCCTAGCGCCTCTGCGATGTTTTTACCTTCTTCTTCGGCGAGGACGACGCCGTTGAACTGCTTGTACACCACGTGGTCCTTTGGTTTGGAACCGAGATTAGCTATAGTTCGACCAAATTATCATCGGATACAAGACGTACATTATAGAACGCACAGGCATCCTGAGTGATGATATCCAGTGGCCGTCCCAGTGTGCAGAACGCCCGTCCATGGATACTATGGCTATGAGCGGCGCACAGCACATCCGGGCGTGCGGCATGAATTGCTGAGTGGATCATAAATGCCGCGGCGTTGAGCATCCGGTTGGGACCGCCGTCGATGACCTTTCCGTGGTGGTCTACCTGGATCAGATCCGAGGCTTTGATATGAGAGAACTGGTTATCGTTAGTGGTGCGCCCAGATCCATCCCTCATCCCTCCCCATACTCACTGCAGTTCCAAACGGATTGACCCAGAAAGTACTTGGATCAACAGGGTCACGCAAGGTAATGTGTCCGGCGACACCTGGCACTGATCAGCTCACTGAACCGGCGACAAAGTGAATAGAAGTCGCACCCTCATCGTACCCGTACTTCCCAAAGATGCGAAATGCGGCCGCCAGGCGGCCCTTGAGGAACGCACGCTCCTCCATCTTATCCTTGAAGACGGGCACCGTCGGCATCTCCATTTTCACCTTGGCCGTCTCAACACCGGCAGCCTGCGATGATTCTGGTGCCTGCATTGTGACAGTATTGGTGAAGGTCTCGGTGGCGGTTGGGGGAGCCATAGTGATGTCAATAAATGATAGAAGTATGAACTTTTGAATGGATGAGAACGTTACGAGTGATAGTTAAATGCTGTTCTCGACTGCTGACAGAGCACGTCAGACCATGGAGGTGGGAGTGCCGAGGTTACACCTTTCTCCACATTATTACCCCCCTTTGACGCCCTTGGGCGGACATCCGCCGAATCAAAACGAGGGGATAGTAACCGCCTCCGCATCTGGCGGAATTGCTCCAGGAAAGTCACTTTCTGAATATATCGTCTTGAGAAGAAAGTTCTCCGTGCTCTTAGCTGGGGCCCCAAATGAACCCCGGTCGATTACCTTCCTCATCCTATAGGGAGACAACAGGACCATGACCACCATTTACCGGGCAAAGGTGATCTCAGAAGAACTCGGATCGGCCATTCAAGCAGCAGACGGGGAGAATAATATACTAGATGTGCATACATCGTGTCTGGCAGACAAACACCCCAAACATCCCCACCGCCCCTCAGCATCTTTCGATTGCTCAGCACGGCCTGCATAATCCCTTATGCACCAGCCCACCGCCGGCGTGTTTCCCAATCATAGCCCGCCATGCAAGGCGCCCTCGATCGATTCACGCCCCGACCGCCACATTCGGCGCCCTGATAGGCGTCAATCCCCTGCCGCGCTCCACCGTGGACCGTGCGATCGGCAGCCATGGTCCGGCTCATCCGGACTCTCGCCTTATCTATTCTATTTTTCGAGGTTCTGAGGAAGAGAGCTGTGGTCAATGTCGGCGCAGGGTCTACGCGCTGTGCGAGGCCGACTTTGTTGTTTCTTGCGTCCTTGAGAAGAGGCTGGACGACCTTGCATGAAATTGGGGCTCTGTCAACTCACCTCCCACTGGGCGTCGCGTGCCATGGACGACGCTAAGAGCGCTGAGCGACGAGGTAGAGGAAGCCCTGCTGTCCGTCCTCAAACAGGGCCTTCTCGTCGCCGATATGGTGTCCGATGGGCTCTGCCTTTGTTGGCGGCGACTATGACCTTTATGCTCTGGCCAGTCCCGTTGCCTTCGCCAATAGTTGCACCGGTTTCAACCCTTCCGTTCAGCTGGGATCAGCTCGTTCCCTCCTCGTCGCTGGACTATTATAAATGCGGCGATGGCTTTCAATGCGCCCGGCTTGAGGTGCCAATGGACTACAACCGTACAGACGGGAAGGGTCGCAAGTTCGCACTGGCGGTTGTGCGACTACCAGCAAGGGTCCCAGTAACAGATCCCAGATACGGCGGGGCTATTTTGATCAATCCAGGTGAGTCTGCGCTCTCTTTTCTATGCAGATATACTAACCGGTATCGCAGGCGGTCCCGGTGGTCCCGGCACCCTTCAAGCATTTTTGTCAGGTCGCGATCTCCAGAAGATTGCGGATGCAGAGAATGACCCGACCGTGTTTCCGCCGCCCAGTGGCACAGCAGACAAGTACTTTGACATAATTGGGTTCGACCCACGTGGAGTGGGTGCGACTACACCCGCAGTAGTTTGCTTCCCTGATGCCGTCTCTCAGCGGAATTGGGAGCTGCAGCTCGAGGCAGTGGGCATGTTGGGGAGCTCCGCCGATGCTCTTCTCCGAAATTGGCAACGAACTATGGCACTGAACACGGGATGCTCTACCACCGATCTGTTCGGCGAGGACGGCGAGGAGATGATGATGGCTCACCTCAACACACCCTTGGTCGCCCAGGACATGGCGACGATCATCGAGCGCCATGGCGAGTGGCGCGGACTACAGGGCCAAAAAGCGCAACAGATCCATGACCAATGCCATGGATACGATGAAACGCGCGAAATTGAAAACCGCACTCAGTGGCACCAGGGTCGGGAACAGCTGCTGTACTGGGGGCGGTCGTACGGCACGGTGCTGGGCACGACATTTGCTGCCCTCTTCCCTGAGCGGGTCTCTCGGGCCGTTCTCGATGGAGTTGTGAATATGGACACCTACTACGAGGACCGAGGGCCAAATGTCGTGGTCGATGCCGATGCCGTCTTCGACCGCTTCGCCGAGTACTGCAATACCGTCGGCTCGGAGCGGTGTCCGATGTATGTCCCTGGCGGACCTGAGGCCATCAAGCAAAAGTACCAGTCGCTCGAAGCGAGTGTTCTCAATCTCTCGATTCCCGTGGCAGCGTCGGGAACGCGTGGACCAGAAGTTGTCACATGGACGGACATGAAAGCCCTACTGCGGGTTGCGATTTACGAACCGCTACTGGCATTCTCTGTCTTTTCCCACCACATGAGTGAGCTTGCAAGAGGCAATGCAGCGCCGCTGGCGGACTTTAAGCACAGCAAGCATTTTGGAGTGTGTCCGTCCGAGGACTGCGTTCGCGCCGGACCGTGGTCGCCGGCGTGTGCACGCGCAGAAAATAATGGGCTGTATGCGAGTGCGGCTATCCTCTGCTCGGATGCAGAATTCCTAGCCCACCAGAATATCGAGGATTTCGAGTTTACCTGGAACGGATTGAGGGCTGACAGTGCTGTCCTGGGAGACTACTGGGCCACGATCCACTTGTCCTGTGTTGGGTGGCAGACCAAGGCAAAACAGAAGTTTCTAGGTTCGATTAAACCACTCCAGATTCTGAGGATAATTGCTGATAGAATCAGGTCCTTGGGGCGGATATACCGCACATCCAATGCTATTTGTGTCGAATACTCTGGATCCAGTGACACCTCTTCGCAGGTCAGTGTTTTATGTTGACCCACCCTCACACAATCCCAGAAGCTGACACTAGCAGTGCACATCACATGTCCCAGCAATTCCCCGGTTCCGTTGTGCTGCAGCAAGATTCAGAAGGGGTCAGTAATCCCTGTAGCCCGTTTGAGTTCCCTGCTGACGATCCTCTAGCATACAACTCTTGCCGCGCCATCACTATGCGTCGCAAAGGGGATTCGTAGTTACTTCCAAACTGGAATATTACCCGAGCTAGGAACGCTGTGTCAGGCTGACTTGAAGCCTATGGGCAAATCTGATCAGGCCAGTGCATTCAGCGACCATCTTGAGCCCGCGGATCGCGACCTCTTCGCTGCGCTTATGGCGGAGGTGACCCGAGGTCATTGGGCTGGATTTCCTTTATAAATCACCCTTGTATATGGGGGGGCAGTACATTTGCAAGCGGCGTGTTCTGTTGACCATGTAATGAGTTTATGATGATCTGTTGTGCATTCAAATGTTTGGATTTTTTTACTATCTTGCGCCATACCCAACATGATATTCTATGACACTGGCAGTTTTCCTAACATGTAGCAAATGCTCTCACACATCGTTCGACCGTCTGATCTACCTCAGCCTGTATGATTTTCAACTCATCGACTATCGCGCCCGCGCTTTCTGCCCTGCGCCTTGCGCGAAGCAATCTGTGTGGCCCGCTCAGGCATCGAATTCTCCACTTCCTGCATGTAGGCGATAAACTCGTGGTAATCCTCGAATTGGTTGAAGTTCTTCTGAAGCTTCTTTCGAACAACAGGTAAGATGCGGTCATAGATACCCTTCATGCGTTCCTTCTCATTTGCGAGTCGTGGCACATACGACTCCAGACCCTGCATCCAGAGAGCAAACTCCGAGACGGGTTGCTCGTCGCGCTGGGCGGCCCTCATGTATTCCCGCGTGGCATGCTCGACATTCTCTCCCTGGCGTGTCTGATAAGCGAGAAACGTCCGGAAGTCGAACCACGTCGGGTTTGCGACATGGAACTGCGTCAGGTGCTTTTGCCAGGCCGGGTGCATTTTCGGCTCGATATGCCGCAGTCCGGCGGTGATTTTTCGCGACTCCGTGTTGTAGTAGTCGGGATGGGCGGAAAAGTGGGCTTCGAGGTTGTTGATAAAGTCTTTCATGAATCCAAAGCGTGTAGTTTCATACATCGGGATTTGCAGCGATGGTGGAGCACCTGAAGGAGCCGATGGCGGTTGCTGCTGATTGCGAGGGGCTCTTGGAGCAGCACTTGGAGCAGCGTTTGCGCTACTTGCAGGCGGCTGTTGCGGCTTTTGAGAACCATTCGGGCGTGCATGCTGTGTGGTTGTGCCGTCGCTTCTGGCCATTGGAGGTGGAGAAGATGCACGACCATTTGAGAGATTTCGAGGACCCGTTGGAGGTTCACGCTGCGCGGTTGCAGGACAGTTCGTGGCATCGCGATTGGTTGATTGAGACTGAGTTCGTGTAGGCCTGGCTGTCTGGATCTTGAAAACCAATTTCTCTCGCTCAGGGGGCCGCTGTTGATTATCGCCCACTGGTGGTCCTGAAGAGAAGGAATTTACTGGAGCCTGCGGGCTACGGTCCCAAGCGGGACGCCAGGAGTCTGAAGCCTGACGTTTCGATGGTGGTGGTGATAACGACCAATCCCTTCGGCTATGGAACGACGGCCGTCGGTCTCGCGGACCAGGGGAGCATTCTCGGCGGTCATATCGTCTGTCATCATACCTCGATGCAGGTCGAGAAGGTGCCCGGGAGCGGGAATATCCAGGAGACCGTGCTCTGCGCGGCGAGGTAGGGCGCGAGAGATGGCGCGAGAAATCGCGTGGGGGTCTTCGTCGGTCGTCATTCTCTGGATATGAAGTAGATTGATAAGATCTCTCGGGTGGGGAGGCCGCTTGGCGGGTTGACAGCGGTGCTGACGGTGGTTCGCGTCTCTCTTCTCTATTCGGCGCAGCTTGAGAAGCCAGATGCGGGTTGCCACCCTGACGATCTGATAGTCCATCACGAGTGACAGCTTGACTCTGCGCAGGTTGAGAAGGCGGCTTCGGGGCGTGAGAGATAACCTGGGTGTTTTGCGATGGTTCGGGGTCTGTTGTACCCTGTGCCACTCCAACAGGGACCTTCTTGGCCAGAGCAGCTGCAGTGGAAAATTGGCTGTCTCGGGTACGGCGCGCAGTGTGCACGACTCGCGGCTTTGGCGCCGCATCAACACCGTCTGCTTGGTTTTGTGCAGCTTGCAGATCTTGCGAAGATTGAGACACTTGAGAAGGAGGTTGCTGGGCCGGAGCAATTGGAGCAGCGTTTGTGCTTGCCGCGACTGGATTGGACGACTGCTGTGCCGGCTGGCCACTGCGCGAAGGCCCCAACCACGGAGCGAAAGTCGTGGTTGACTTGGGCTGTTGAGCAGGGCTCCCTGAAGCTTGAGACCTCATCTGCGCGATCCTGCGCTCCAGCTCGGACCTATCAGGCCGAGCCTGGCGAGGAGTCGCTGCGGTTATTGCAGCAGCTGTTGGTGCGGGTGCGGGGGCATGATGGTACGTGTTTGTATCTTGACTTGCAGGAGCTGGAGCTGGATCTGGAGCTGGAGCTGGAGATTGAGATCCATTGGCACCCGTGGCGAGCTCAAGACGATGGCGCGCGGCGTTTAGCAATTTCTCTTCGAGAGCTATTTTCTCTTGGAGCTCGATCATCTGTCGCTGGCGCCGCAGCCGGTCCACCTTGTTCTGCAGGTTTTGGATTTCGAAATCCATGGCCTCCAGACCATTCATGGGCGGTGCCCCGTTGATTTGGGCGCCGGGGTGGGGAGAAGACATGGTGTGGTCATGCCCGGGGGTTGTAGATGTTTTGGTGATTTCTTTCCTGGATTGGTGCAGGAGACGCACGTGACGGCTGATCCTCTTCTGGAGTAAACGGCGGTGACAGGGGAAGTGCGATTGCCTGCCGGGGGCAAGTCAAAATAATTAGTCTATTCGAACGCGATCAAGATTAAGCTAGATCGTAGAGAGAGGTATGCTGGTGGTGTAGTATGGAACGTCTAGTCATGAGTGCAATGGGACTATATACAAAGAATACAAGTAAACAATACCCCCAGTGCTATTCAGGCAGGAACTATTTCCCGGGCGACCCAGCCAAACAGATAAACGGGCGGTTCGGAGTATCATCGAGCACATTCTTCACCAAGTTCCATACATTCAAGTCATATGCCTCGCCAATGTGGCCGACCGGGTCGAAGTTGCAAGTGCTCTGGATCCAGACATTGCGGACACCGGCCTCATCAACAAAGGCGGTCTCGGGGGGAGTGACCAACTCATCAGTCTTGGACGCAATGATCGTCACTTGATTGCTGGCCTGGACAATAGGCTGTCCGTTATTCAAGAGGTCAACGGCCGTGCCATCGGGTCCCAGATCGTTGCAGGCGGCGCAGCCAAATTCTTGCAGCACCTCGCCAACAGCCTCGCGCGAAGCGTTCCCAAAAATATAGGCAAGATCATACAGTCCCGCGAAAGAGGTGCCGTGTGTTGGAGGCGCGATCGCGGCGATTCTGTCGATGAGGCCGGCCACGCCCTCGAATTTGGGCACATACAGCGTCTGGAACCCGCCTTCGGAGTGGCCGACCAGGTTGACCTTGCTTTTGCCGGTCTTCTGAACCACCTCCTTGATATACGACGCGATCTCGGGCGCGGATTCATTAATAGGTTTCAGGCCGCCGACAAAGGGGAACCCGTCGTAGGCCCCGTAGGTGAGCGAGTAGGTGCAGTAGCCCTGCGACTGCAGCCAGTCTTGCAAGTAATTGAGATCTTCGTAGTATGTCGCGCCCAGACCGTGCAGCAGGACCACGGGATTTGAGTCGCTTTGGCAGGAGAAGTCGTTAATGCCGGTCGCGGCGACTGACGCAGCGACCACGAGGGTTGAGACCAGGGCGGAGTAGAGCATCGTGGGTGGAGGGTAGCAGAGAAACAAGCTGCCGAGGGAGCCTAGGGTTTTATGTTTTGTCCCTGAATTACATCTTCTGTTTGGCCTCGGATCCAGCCGTGCATGGAACTATCGATCGGGTTGTCGGCCATGAGTGGTGGATGGTGGTGGACCCTGGTCAGAGCGCGTTCTTAATGAGGTTTAGATCCGTAGAAGACCGATCGAGAAATGTGATGGCTCGCTTTTATTCAATGCTTTAATAATAATAGAGTCGCGCGAATTCGCTGAAATGTGATCTCGCCAGAAATAGAAATGTCATAACCCATATCATAGTGACTCCGTATTAGCCAGACCCAAGTATTCAATCCCTCTGCTTTAACTGGTATTCAGCGGCGATTTGGCGCGCGTGGATAACTCGGGCATCGCAGTACCCCAGAGACCGAGCGAGTGCCGCTTTTCGACTAGCTGCAGCACCTCCATCATAAATCTGCGCTCGGGTCCCCCATCGGGAAAGGCCTCCCACGCCACCCGGACTGGAAAGGCCAGCCGATTAATCATGTTTCCCGGCGCGGTTTGAATATACCACTGTAATGACTGGCAAATTCCGCAAGCTAACTCGTACTGCTCCGTAGGCGTGACGCGGTCTTCTACGCGCGTGTCGATCGAGGACAAGATGAGCCGCATTGAGTAATACACGCACATGGTTTGCGCAAGCAGTAAGTTTGGATAGACAAACTTGGTCGCGGGAATCTCCGCGCCGGTGCGGAGGTCCCGTCGATTGAAGACAGGGAAATTTTGCTCAGAGGTCTGCTCCTCCTCCTGTGGTGGCCCATCGGGAGAATTTTCGACACAGTCGACATACCATTGATGGAATTTCGCAGTGAGTTCCGCTATGCCATTCCACAGGGCAGCTTGTTTGACGGCCATCTCATGCGCACCCATCACAGAGGACCGCTGCTCTTTCTCGAACAGATCGGATTGCGCCAGTAGACCCGGAATATCGACAGCGAGATCCAGTAAATGGTGTAAGATGTTCTTTTCGGTCGTCCCAGCGGACCACGGTATCGTCTTCCACTCCTCCCGAGCCAAAAATGAAGGCGTCCGGGCAGCCAACGCCCCGCCAATCTAAATCGTCAGTATTCATTCAACTCGAGGAAACGAGAACATACCCAGTATGGACGGAGTTCAGTAAACAGAAGGTGTTCAACACCATACATGTGATTTTCAGGCCCACGATGTTCAATCAGGCGCACTGCGCCACGGACGTGGGCAGGTACACCGGTGAGGGCGGTGCGTTCCACGCTCTATGCTGGTCAGCGCAGGAAAAGTTGCGGTATCGGTAACATGACAAACCTCAAAAGCAAGGAGTAGAATGACCGTCACTAGGGTTGACTCGGCCTTGGACTTCTCCGGGTCTACTAGGGCGTCTTGCAGTCCGCGCAAGACCCGAGGATAAAGTCGAAACCCCGATGCCTCGATGCGCTTATCCTGGATTGACCGTCCAAAGAAGGCCACCGAGACAGCCTCGAAAGCATCTGAGATGAGCGGAGAGAACATTCGGATCTCCGCTGCCGCTCGAATAGCGCCTGCGCGACCATGCTTGCTGTCTACTTCCGGGCTAAAGGCGTCGAGGAAGCGCTCCACGAAAACGTCGACCACCGGCCGCTGCGAGTTGATAATCGTGATGGTACTCGACGATGATGACGAGTCCGACGTGCCATCCGGAGACATACGTTCCCAGTCATCATCGTCCTCGTCTTTTTCTGCGTCGTCACTCGAGCTTCCAACCGGACTGTTCGCCAACAGCCGCCGGCGAATCGGCAGGGTTGACGACGTCGGCTCGTAAGCTAGGACTGTTAGCACGTGGAGGAAGATCGTCAGGAACCACGCATACCTTCTCGGCCCTCCCATGGTCCCACCGGAGTCAAATCCTGTTTTAGGCCACCATGTGCGGCACGAATGTCCCGGACCAGGCGGTCCACAATGTGCAGGGGCGCGCCGCGAATCGACTCGAACAAACTCTCCAGCTGATCCAGCCGCTGGAGATCCTGCGCCTTGTACGCTGGGCCATAGTTAGATCAGTCAATCATGTTTCTAGCGGTGAGACCAGAACACACTATCATTCTTATCGTCTATTCTCGCGCGAAGATCTCGGATCTCCGCTCGCAAGTTCCGAATCTCCTCAGCCTGGCTGATAGGGCGGGCCTCCTCGCCCGGTGCTGTTTCATACGCACATTTCGAGGGGTAGCCATGGGCGCAGCACGCATGACAGGGCTTGACGCGGTCACACTGACAGCGGGATCGACGTTAGCTCCATGGCCGCTGGGCGACAAACGGGGGGAGGGAGGGGGCGCTTGTCTGGGGGCGGACGGGGCACCAGGGGATCCGAGCACGAGACAGACCTTGACCTTGCGCAGTCGGCAGACGGTGCAGGAGCGGGACTGGCGGTTCGGGACCTTCCTCACGCGCGAGTCGGGGGCAATTTGTTCGCCGACCATGGGGAAGGAAGTGGAGGGTGCGAAGAAAGGGGAACCTCGCGCGGGCCAACAGAACGGCGGGGATTAAGGGAACCAGATTGCCGTGCGGATGGTCCGAGATCTGCTCGGAGGCTGGGCCAGTCAGAGGAGTAGTAGGGGGTCCACTACGGGTCAGTGCAGGGTCTACATCCAGCCCGGGCGAAAATCAACAGTGATGATAGAGTGATGGAGTATACAATAATCATAATAATATGTCCCCTGGGGCATTCGTGGGGAAATAAAAGGGGAGAACTGGGGGGGGGGGGCGGGGGGATAACATCACCCTGCGACCATCGGCCAAGATCAGGTGATGCATCGAACGGAATCATCCAGTACGCCATCGAGTCAAAAGCAGCAAGTGTTACCAAACTGTCAAATGGGTTGGTCTAGATTGTTTTCAAGATTAGGGGGTGATGGTGTAGACGCCGTCCATCAGGTCCGCGTCTCAGAGTCGCGTAGGCGGCACTAAACCAAAGTGGGTCACCTATCACGATGATCTGCTGCAAAGGACGTTGGAAAACAAACAACGCGTGAAGTCGTAATTAATACAGGATTCCAATAGTAAGTTAGTTATACAATAAAATGCCAAGAATCGTGCTGGTGGACTGCGAGTCAACAGTGATCCTCTATCATCACGCCATCACCTGATACGATTACACGTGCCAAGGACATCCCCAGAAGACAGGAGCAGTTGAATCGCCCTTGAGTGGAGCGAGGAACACGGAGAAAGTGCGAGTTGGGGGAGAAAGAGTTTCTCCCCGGAGCAAGCTGTGGCAAGAGGTAAGGTTTCCTGGCGACCAGGCGATGGGGCGACGTGGGATGTCATTCCGTCCAGGCAGAGAGCTGCAGCGTCTGTGGCTCCCAATAACAGGGGCCCGTCCAAGCCTCACCGGGTAAAACAGACTGAGCGACCTGCCGAATCCAGGGTGTGCCGCCGGGCCAAGCACAGACAACACGGCACAAAGTCAAATGCAAAGCAGGGTCCACGGCCGATCGCGGATTTACTCCGAGGAAGAATGGCAGCCACCAGCATCATCCCCATAATCAACCACCGCGACAACATCGTCCGTTGGGTCACCCCAGCAGCCGAGCAAGGCATCGAAATATTCCTACCAAGGTCGGCATCATCTTCGTGACCTCCGTCTTTCTTCACGGAGTCAGTGGCTCATCTGCTCCACCGATGTAACTGGCTGCTCCAGCGTGGGGGTTCGATTATCATCCTATCACAGTGACGATGCCTAGTTTCCCCGCATTTTTCACTTTCATTCGTGGAGTTACCGTAACTCCCCCCACGTTTCCCCGGACTCAAAGCATGAAGAATGCCGTGCCCAGCCCTCAGAAGCTGGATGACCGCGGCGCACGGCCGAGGGTATAAAGCCGAGCGCGTCTCCCTTTTTCCACAACTATCCTCCCCAGCTCTTCTGTTGCCTCTGTGAACCTGAATCTCATCTATAAACCATGGCGGAACATGTAATCACCGATTCGGAGGCGATGGGCGCAAAGGCCGAGATGACGCACGAAGAGGTGGTCCATCTGGCCGAGTTGACCGAGGAGGAAAAAGAGGTCGAGCGCAAATTGCGCAAGCGCATCGATGCCCTGATCATGCCTCTGGTCATCCTAGTCTATCTGATGAACTACATCGATCGGTAAGTAAAGCACACGTCCGCATGATTCTGCCGCTTCTCCGACGCTGACTCTCGTGGCTAGGAATAATTACGCAGCCGCCAAGGTCCAGGGTCTCAAAGAAGATCTCAACCTGACCGGCCAGCAATATGAGACCGGTCTCTCGATCCTGTTCGTCGGCTACATCTTGATGCAGGTTCCATCGAATCTCATGCTCAACTATATGGGCCGACCGTCGCTTTACTTGGGTTTCTTCGTTTGTGCCTGGGGTCTGGTGTCGGCATTGACCAGTCAGGTCACAAGCTATGGAGGTATCGTTGCGTGCCGGTTCATCTTGGGACTCGTGGAGGCACCTTTCTTTGCCGGTGTCCTCTTCTATCTCTCCAAATGGTACACTAAGAAAGAACTGGCCTTCCGCATGAGTATTTTCTACTCGGGCTCGCTTCTTAGCGGTGCTTTTGGCAACCTTATTGCGGCTGGCATTCTGAGTGGACTGGCTGGAAAGCGTGGAATGAATGCGTGGCAGTGGCTCTACATTATAGAGGGGGTGAGTGGCGCCAAAACCTGGACTTGAATGGAGAGAGACTAATCATACCCAATATAGAGCATCACTTGCTTTATCGGAGTCATCATCTGCTTTATCCTCCCCGATTTCCCCGATACCTGGCGCCTGCTCTCGCCAGAGATGCGCCATGTCGCCAACCGACGTCTCGCAATCGAAGCGGCCGAGGCCGATATCGACGAAAAGGGCAGTGGTAGCCAATTCTATGGTCTGAAGCTTGCCATGACAGATATCAAAACCTACGCCCTTGCGATCGCGTACATGTGCATTACAGGAGCTTCCGGCTTCCAGAACTTCTTCCCGACCCTGGTGCAAACTCTGGGATATAACGATACTATCACTCTGTTGCTGGTGGCACCTCCGTACATCTTTATGGTGTTCTACAGTCTGGGGCACTCGTGGCTCTCGGACAAACTGAGCATTCGCTTTTGGTTCTTCGTGTACCCGATCCCCATCACGTTCATTGGCTTTATCATCTTCATGACCACCAACTCGTTCGGCCCTCGCTACTTCTCCTTCTTCCTCATGAATTTTGTCTTTGCCCAAAATGGAACCATATACTCGTGGATTGCGAATTCGCTGCCCCGCCCGCCGGCAAAGCGTGCCGCGGCCTATGCATTCATCAACTCCATTGGCAACTCCGCCAGTATCTGGACCCCTTATACTTACCAGCGGACGTTTCATGGACACTACTATATCGCGCTGGGCGTGTGCATTGGGTTGCAGACTCTGGGCTTCCTCATGGCTCTGTTCATGTACTTCAACTTGAACATGCTCAACAAGCGCCAGGAGCGGCTGGAGAACGAAGATCTGCAGCTCACGCCTAAGGAATTGAAGCGGCTACAGACCACAGCCGAGGTGGAGGGGATTGATCTTGCTGCTGCGCGGCGCTTGCAAAAGGGATTCCGCTATGTGCTGTAACGATGCTGTTGTCTTAGAGAGCTATAATTTGAAGCACGTGATGAGTCTTGTTATCTTGATTCCGGAATTAGATGTCGTATAGGGTAGTTCCTATAGTTCACTCTTTATGGGATGCAAGCTCTGTGTGGCAACACATGGATAGCGAACCGTTCACAACCGCCTCGTGCAAATCCTAACCCGAGTTCCCTACCGGATCAATCAATGCTGTCACCTGATCCACTCTCTCTCCACTTTCCCCGGATCGACACCTTCACTTCCTCTCTCTTTCTTCCTGGCTCACACCCGAGTAACCATGCAGTCCACCCTCATTCGCCCCATTATCCGACCTGCGACCTCCCTACTACTTCTGCGCTCATTCTCGGCAGCTCCCGCAATCATGGGCGCGGGCGACACTGGAGCTCCCAAGCCGCGGGGATTCCTAGCTGAGTCCGTGCCAGACTCGTAGTGCATGACGTCAGCACCTCTGACTCTCCCCACAGGAAGGACCAGTTTACACGCCGCGAGGCCGCTGAAGAGGCTATGTATATTCGGAAGCAGGAGATGGACAAGTAAGGAATTTTTTTTTTACTGTCGACTATGTTGTGCAATGCTAAATGCTCGTAGACTCGAGTCACTTCGGAAGAAGATGAAGGAATCGCAGAAGCATCTCGATGAGCTGGATAAGCACATGTAAGTGGCAGATTGAGTGTTTCGCAGCAGTGCAGTGCCTGGCGGCCTGGATACTGACGATGCACAGTGAGGAGTATACCCAGGGTCAAGGCGGCGAGCAGAATTAACCAGGAGGTGACCTTTTCATTCCACCTATTTACTGTACAGTGTTGCGTTGGGGGAAAATCCGGAAAATATCTATAGTGACCTGTGCGACACCATTCATATCCATGACAGTTTGAATCTAATTCCATTTTTGTTCTCAATGCGTCCACGGGTTAGATCTTCGCCTGCCACCGCCACCGATAGCTCAGACAAGCCCATCGCGCCATCACAAACATGCCCAGCGCCAGGATCAACACGCTACCCAGGTAAGCCACCATGGCTCGCTTGCCGACTTTCTCAAGCATCTCTCCGCCGATGGGGACACAGATTAGGGTTCTGGCTGGGGTGTTAGCGACATGCACATCACTCGGAGAATCTAATGGCGGCAAAGCACATACGCCAGGCTGACAATCGAATAGCAAATTCCAAATCGGCCGCCTGCCTCGCTGGCCTTGGAAATCTGCCCGATACACGCGGGTGCCAGGCTGAGGAAGGAACCTGAGGCTAGGCCGAAGAGCACGCTGAACGTGTACAATCCCGGCAGTGTGTTTCCGAAGGGTAGCCAGATGGTGAAAATGGCCATTGCGCCCAGTGCGATTAGTCCCGTCTGGGTGTTGATTCGTCCATATCGATCGCCCACAGCGCCGGCGATCAATCGGCCCATGGTCGAGGCTCTGTCCGACGTCAGTTAGTATTAAGTGCATTTGGTGGGAGAGTCATACACGTTCAATATGGACAGTAGGATGACACTGGTGCTCGTGCTGAACCCCTGCATCACGACATAGGTTGGGTACAGACCCAGCCCGGCGAAGACTTCAAGCTCGAGACCTGCGACCTAGTCAGCCTGCCCAAACGCCACGAACTTCACAGTTCAAACTTACTAAATATCCCCAAAGTCAACCATGTAAACCTGCTATCTTGAAAATAACGCAGGTTAATGGTGGATTTACTCCTGCCTTTGGGCAACCGAGTTTTGACCAGTGCGATCCCCAGCGCACACATCACCAAAACCAGCAGGGCTAGCAGCCGGATTGCCCATTGATACCCAACCCGGGCAATCGCCGCCCGCAGCATCAGCGGAAACGTCACGCCACCTAACCCAGAGCCCGCCATCGCAACCCCCATCGCCAGACCAACCCGCCGCTCAAACCACTGAGGCACCGTCGCCAGAGCCGCCGTGCTGAGCAGCGCCGCGCCCGTCCCGCTGAGAATCCCCAGCGTTAAAACGAAGTGCCAGTACAGACGGCATTCCGCCAGAAGCAGCAGTCCCGCAACATAGCATGTTGTGCCGGCAATGAGAATCCCCGTGGGCCCGTATCGATCGAACATCGGGCCCACCTGCACCCCGAGTCCCAGCCCGAAGAACGTGAAAATGCCGGGGATCCATCCGACTGCACTAGCAGAGTAGGAGGACAGCTGGTGCGAGGCGAAGTAGTTCTGCAGCACGCCGACGGAATTCATTAATCCGTATGATGCCATTAGCAGGCAGAACGACCCGAGGATCACTAGCCATGAGCGCGTTCCGCCGTCTGGGAATACGTCGCCTAGGTTGGGGTGCAGATGCGGGTTCGCCGCTGTGCTGGCGGTGGTGGTAATGACGGTCAGATCTGCTGGAGGCTCGACGATAGAGAAGGCCGATAAAGGAGCTTCTTCATCGTGAGGGATGTCGGGGTTTGCCGATGGTCCGTCTAGCGCTATGCTGGAGCTTGCTAATGGCCACTGTCGCTCGGTGATATCCACGTTGGGCGCCTTGTTCTCGATCTCCATGGTGCTGTCCCAATGAAATAGTTGAACCAGCGAAGCATCTCGCAGAGCTGGGTGAAATGAAATCTCTTCGTGTTGTGAGTCACGGTGATAAGCCGATGCGGGGACTGCATTAGTGCTGCGACAAAATCCACTCCGTGTTGGTTATCGCACCACATGTGTTGGATGGCGGCACGGAAATCTACTGGACTTTACGGAGACTACGATCGAGGACTTGAGGTATGCGTTCTTTCATTGCAACAGGATTATGGTTCTTGAGATATTAATGCAACGAGTGGTGGAGATGTCAATTTGTTAAATATATCTCAGTCCGCGGAAGTTGCGAAAGATCCGGTAGGTACCGTGTAGTGTCGCATACATGCTCCCACCTGCAGTGACCCAGGCGGGTCCTTGGAATCGCAGAGAGCTTATTGCAATAGGTCTCTGCTTCTTCGGTTTGTCTGCAACATTCCATTTTAGTTACAAACTTCCAACGTCTCGATGGGGATGCGTGGGCTAAGCCAACCTGCAGTTGGTGGCCATGGTGGCCTTGGTAGTCTCCCGACCTGTTCGTCGAGCATTGTTTGGAAATTGGCGAATGAAGACATTCCGGAATATTTCGAGAGTGATATTTGAAGTTTTTGATTGTTTGAAGTCATACCTTTCTATGTCCAATCCTTGCACTTTTATAGCCTTTTACATGACTGATCACATCGACGTTGATGAACTCATAGTATCACCTGATAGGCCGTGCAGAGCTAGGGCCTAAATTTATTGGTCTTTGTAGCTCCGAATTTCTATGGTTCTGTGTTATGATTCGTCTCTCCACTCAAGGTCCTTGGTAACGGAGTTGGCTGTCTGGACCGGCTGTGCTCGGACCGGTGGCAAATCCTATAAACCAACCGGCGTCAAATGACAGATGAAGTGATTCTTTAGTCTGTTTGAATAGCGCCCTGGAATATCTCCCTGACTCAATGGGCTTAATCTGAATGTCTCTTCTATGTCGAGATTCTGCCATTTGGGAGGAAGTGGGTGTGGTGGTATTGGCTTCGGCTGCCAAAAAGCCACTATTCAAACGCCTAAAACCACACCAACTGCACGAACTGGCCTGGACCGAGATTATACCAGTCTACAATCGAGTACTAACAAGTCAATTGTGTTTCGGAGTGCCTTGTCTTGTATCTTCGAATATTTTCATCCGTAGTTAGGGATTATCCGTTTGAGTGCATGATCCGCCGGCAACACCCGACCAGCGCAAGAACACGCCACACCCGGCTGCTTCTGGCCCATAATAGGTTCCGAATTTTTCCTTCGCTACTAAAAGCAATCGTATGGGGTGATTATACTGCTTCTAGAATGAGGTCACTTCGAGTTTCGGCCGAGCCTCCTCCGCTCCTCTTCTGTAGTTATATCAGTGCCTACTCAGCCGGCATTGAGCTATGCTACTAACTCTACATTTCCAACACCATCTTATTACATTCTTTACCTCTTCAAAATGCAGTACACTAGGCAAATTACTTGGGTCCTTCCATCAAAAGTTCGACAACGTCCCAAGACCCAGCCCGTTCAACAATTCCACAGCCCAAGTCCACTCCCAAAGTCTACTCAAAGAGGCGGTTCCGACCTTCTTCCATATCGACTGTGCGAGATTTCTTTTAAGAAGATCAAAAAAGAGGCCCGGTCTGCGGAACCGGATCTGCGCCGAATAATTGGATACTCGTCCTTGCAGCACATGGCGGCGGATGCTGTGCATGACGATTTGCAGCACAGACTGGATGTACTTGGGAACACAGACCCTGATCAAACCCTTCTCCAAACGTCCAGATACGGCTCTTTCATGCAAGCAGAGTATGATCTTGACACCGAGCCTTCCTGTTCTACTGAGTGGAATAAGCAATCTCTTCGTCAGTCCTTACGGGAGCTGGAACAGCTGAACAGAAAATGGGAGATAGCTCGAGTTATGTGTTTCCAGATCATTGATGCAGACTAAAAGGTAATTGGTGCCAAAAATGGACACAGCTTGATCTTAATGCTAATCCCCTGGACAGGACTCAAATTCTGTGAGCAGCTCTACTTCACCACTGGCCACAGTCCCATCTGGAATTTATCATGACCGCTCTCATAGTAATTGCCATTTATTCCTTTGGTCGAGACATATGCATGTGTTTAGCGTTTTGCTTTTGTTGTTGGCTTCCTGGGAATTCCCGCCTTTGACATGTGAGGTTGTGCATATAATTCTACATATTTTGAACGAAATATATATTCGTGCAAAAGCTAAGAAATCCGAGGTTTATTAATTGCATGTCGATTATCGAAGTAGAAATTGGAAACGATAGTTCGAGGATCTTGACATGTAAGATTAATTATGTATCTGCTCAAAATATATATTAGCTCAAGGAGCACAAAACTTTTATGTGTCCCATATCCAAGTACACGTCCAGCGACATGATCCGACGGGATGATTCAAGCGCCGACCGATCCACACAGGTGCTTGGCCAGAGCCACATGGAGCCCTGCGATCGATTGCTAAAATTTCATTTCCAGGCCGGTTCCGCTGATTCAGCGGAACTTTTAGACTCCGAGAAGATGCGGGCTCTAGATAGCTCCAAACCGGATATCCAGACTCCAGCATTTAATATCTGAGCAAGATAAGCTCTAGACCGGGCGGAGTATTCCTAGGATATCCCTGTTGCAGGAATTTATGTATCTCACACCTCACGATATGATGTTCACGTTAACAAAACCCTGTGAGTGTTCAGCTTACTCAGCGGAAGCAGCTCGCGGCAGACCCGTTTTGATTCCTGGGCGGGCCCACCTACTGCGCGATGTGCTTGCGAACAGAAATGACTACTGCGACGCATTACTCCGTATATGGATATGTCTGGCCTTTGTTTCAGCATGATTAATCATCTGCTTCCGACTCCATGGGATTGACCCATAAATATGTACCCACCATTGATCTAACGTCGGAATCCTAATGGCTGATATACATCGGGGGCTCGGGGCTGATGATGGCCGTCAACATGGTCGGCGTGGACCCACCCGGAAGAAGCCGTCAGGAGATTCCATTCTCTACAGTACATAAAAGGATGGTGGCCCCCTTGTGCATTCAGGGGATCATCAACCTCCTTTTTATCCACGATGGAAGGACTTGACCAGCTCGCTGTATCCCGAGCGGGTCCACTCGGCATCACAGATGAGACAGACAGCGCCGCCACGGTTATGGGGGACGAAACCCCAAAGAATCAACCTGAGCCCAACCAAGAGCACGACTGGAGCCTGCTGTCGCATCTCCAACACCAACACGAACGCGATCTTGCCTCCGGGTTCAAACGACAAGAGCTTGGGGTGACCTGGAAAAACCTCAATGTCGAGGTTATCAGCTCCGAGGCTGCTGTTAATGAAAACACTCTATCACAGTTCAATATTCCTCAGCATGTGAAAGAGTCTCGTCAGAAACCTCCCCTGCGCACCATTCTACACAACAGCCACGGCTGCGTCAAGCCTGGTGAGATGCTCCTGGTTCTTGGCCGTCCAGGTTCCGGTTGCACTACGTTGCTCAAAATGCTCTCCAACCGACGTCTGGGCTACAAGTCGATCGAGGGAGATGTCCGGTTCGGCTCGTTGACCCCCGACGAGGCCAAGCAGTACCGAGGCCAGATTGTCATGAATACTGAGGAGGAGCTGTTTTTCCCTACCCTGACAGTTGGTCAGACCATGGATTTTGCAACTCGACTGAAAGTGCCTTTCCACCTACCGGATGGTGTTGACTCCCCCAAAGCATACCATGAAGAGTCGAAAAGGTTTTTCCTGGAAGCCATGAACATCCCGCATACCGAAGATACGAAAGTCGGAAACGAGTATGTGCGTGGCGTTTCCGGGGGCGAACGCAAACGTGTTTCGATCATGGAATGCATGGCTACCCGAGGCTCAGTCTTTTGCTGGGACAATAGTACCCGTGGGTTGGATGCTAGCACTGCTCTGGAATGGACCAAAGCCGTTCGTGCTTTGACCGATACTCTTGGTCTTTCAACGATTGTGACCCTTTACCAAGCTGGCAACGGAATCTACGATCTGTTCGATAAGGTTCTTGTTCTAGATGAAGGCGAGCAAGTTTACTACGGACCTCGGGAGCAGGCGCGGCCCTTCATGGAAGAGGCCGGGTTCATCTGTCGCGAGGGCTCCAACGTCGCCGACTTCCTCACTGGTGTGACCGTTCCGACCGAGCGCCGTATTCGCGATGGGTATGAGAACCGATTTCCTCGCAGCGCCGAACAGCTGCGCGCCGAGTACGAGAAGTCGCCTCTCCACTCTCGAATGATCAGCGAGTACGATTACCCGGACTCGGATCTGGCCCGTGACCGCACTGCAGAGTTCAAAGAAGGCGTGGCTTTTGAGACCGCCAAGAATTTGCCGAAGAGCAGCCCCCTCACCGTGAGCTTCAATGAGCAGGTCAAGGCCTGTATTGTGCGACAATATCAGATCCTGTGGGGAGACAAGGCGACCTTTATCATCAAGCAGGCTGCGACCTTGATCCAGGCATTGATTGCTGGTTCTCTCTTTTACGATGCTCCCGATAACTCGGCCGGTCTCTTTGTCAAGTCCGGTGCTCTGTTCTTTTCTCTCCTGTACAACAGTCTGCTGGCCATGTCCGAGGTGACAGACTCTTTCAGTGGGCGCCCAGTCCTTGTCAAACATAAAGGCTTTGCTTTGTACCATCCAGCCGCCTTTTGCATTGCTCAGATTACCGCCGATATTCCCGTCCTTCTATTCCAGATCAGCGTCTTCTCGCTGGTGGTTTATTTCATGGTGGGATTGACGATGTCCGCAGCCAGTTTCTTCACTTACTGGATTGTTGTGTTCGCGACCACAATGGTAAGTTCTGGATTTGTCCCCCACATGCTGAATCTCGTTAACCCATACTAGTGCATGACTGCTCTGTTTCGGGCAGTCGGTGCTCTTTTCACCACCTTCGATGGTGCATCCAAGGTCTCTGGATTCTTGATTGCGGCACTGATTATGTATACTGGGTACCTAATTCAGAAGCCGGAGATGCACCCATGGCTGGGATGGATATTCTGGATCGATCCTTTGGCATATGGGTTCGAGGCCCTTTTGTCTAACGAACTCCACGGCAAGATTCTACCCTGCATTGGTGGCAACCTGGTACCCCAGGGTCCCGGCTATGACAGCCCGCAGCACCAGTCCTGTGCTGGCATTGGTGGCGCGACTCCCCACAGCACAATATTTACCGGCGACCAGTACCTGAGCTCGCTGGAGTATAGCCACTCCCACCTTTGGCGGAACTTCGGTATCATCTGGGCCTATTGGGTACTCTTTGTCGCCGTAACGATCGTCGCTACTTCCAGATGGCAATCTCCTTCTGAGTCAGGTAGTTGCCTCGTCATTCCTCGTGAACGTCTGGGTCGACACACCCTGAAGGTCAAGCGTGATGAAGAGTCTCAGACTCAGGAAAAGACCAAAGAGCGCCCCGATGCCGAATCTCTCAAAGACAACGAACTGAACGAGCAGCTGGTGCGAAACTCTTCTGTCTTTACCTGGAAGAACCTCAGCTATACCGTCAAGACTCCCTCCGGGGACCGTGTTTTGCTTGATGATGTGCATGGATGGGTGAAGCCTGGCATGCTTGGCGCACTCATGGGAGCCTCTGGTGCAGGTAAAACTACTTTGCTTGACGTTCTGGCCCAGCGCAAGACTGAAGGTACCATCCGTGGATCAATCATGGTCGACGGCCGTCCGTTGCCAGTTTCATTCCAGCGCTCTGCCGGTTACTGCGAACAACTGGATGTCCACGAACCATTTGCAACTGTCCGTGAGGCCTTAGAGTTCTCTGCCCTGCTTCGTCAGCCGCGGGATGTTCCCCGTGAGGAAAAGCTGAAATATGTCGACACCATTATCACTCTGCTCGAGCTGCACGATATTGCTGACACTTTGATCGGCCGTGTCGGTGCTGGACTTAGCGTCGAGCAACGAAAACGTGTTACTATTGGCGTTGAACTAGTTTCGAAGCCCAGCATCTTGATCTTCTTGGACGAACCCACTTCTGGTCTCGATGGTCAATCGGCTTTCAATACAGTGCGTTTCCTGCGCAAACTGGCTGACGTGGGTCAAGCTGTGCTTGTTACCATTCATCAGCCCAGCGCCCAGCTGTTCGCAGAGTTCGACACCTTGCTCCTCTTAGCTAAGGGTGGAAAGACGGTTTATTTCGGCGACATCGGCGACAATGGTCAGACAGTCAAAGATTACTTCATGCGCTACGGTGCACCGTGTCCGCCCAACACCAACCCTGCTGAGCACATGATTGACGTTGTATCTGGTCATCTGTCTCAGGGTCGCGACTGGAACAATGTCTGGTTGGAATCTCCAGAGCATGGCCAAGTGGTCAAGGAACTGGATGAAATAATCGAAACAGCCGCATCGAAGCCGCCTGGTACCCATGATGATGGCCGTGAGTTCGCCACGTCTATCTGGGAACAGACGAAATTGGTAACCGAGCGGATGAGCACTGCCTTATTCCGCAACACCGACTACGTGAACAACAAATTTGCCCTCCACATCGGATCTGCCCTGTTCAATGGCTTCACCTTCTGGATGATCGGAGATAGCGTCAGCTCCATGCAATTACGCCTGTTCACTATCTTCAACTTCATCTTCGTCGCACCCGGTGTCATCAATCAGCTGCAGCCCCTTTTCATCGAACGGCGTGATATTTATGACACTCGCGAGAAGAAGTCCAAGATGTATTCTTGGAAGGCCTTTGTCACTGCTCTGATCGTCTCCGAGTTCCCGTACCTTTGCATCTGCGCTGTCCTCTACTTTGTTTGCTGGTACTATACCGTCGGCTTCAGCAGCGAGTCCAGCAAGGCCGGTGCCACTTTCTTCGTCATGCTGATCTACGAGTTTGTATACACGGGAATCGGACAGTTCGTTGCTGCCTACGCGCCGAATGCTACTTTTGCCGCCTTGACCAACCCTCTGATCATCGGTATGTTGGTGTCTTTCTGTGGTGTCCTGGTGCCGTACGGGCAGATTCAAGCATTCTGGAGGTACTGGATGTACTGGATCAACCCTTTCAACTATCTGATGGGCAGTATGCTGGTATTCAACGTCTACGACACGGAAATACACTGCAAAGAGACCGAATTCGCTACGTTTGACCCCCCAGACGGTACTACTTGCGGCCAATACCTGCAGACCTTCATGGAAACAATCGGAAGTGGAATGAATCTGACCAATTCCGATGCCACTCGGGACTGCCGCGTGTGTGAATATCGCACGGGCGCCGACTACCTCCACACGCTCAATCTCAAGGACTACTACTACGGCTGGCGTGACGCAGGGATTGTTGTCATCTTTGCTATCAGCTCGTATGCTCTTGTATACGTCTTGATGAAGCTTCGCACTAAGGCCTCAAAGAAGGCGGAGTAATCTTTTTTTAATAGAACCATAGAGCGCGTTTCTTTAGAGTTGGCAGGAGTGATTTAGACACTTGTTTCTTATATTAACGCAAATAATACATCTAGTGAATAAACGTCATCATTTCTCTCGCGCCCTACTTGAGGTCTTGAAAGGCAATCGCTTATATCTTCACTTCAATATTTGGCTGATCGGCCTTCGTCTTTCCCTATTCATCGGCGTTGATACTAACAAGCTGAGACTTGCTGGCAATCTTTCCCGCCAACTCCAGCAATGTACCACTTGCCAGGATCTCCAGGATGGGTATAGTGCTATCCATAGTCTTTGATATCCAGTTGCGCAGTTCGATCGCGACATGGGAGTCGACTCCGTACTCCGAAACGCCGTTGGCAGGGTTGACACTCTCCACCGCTATCGTGAGATGAGCAGCAATCCTCTCGATGAGCATTTCACAAATCAACCCCGTAGCTTCATCCAAAGTCTTCGAAGTTTTTAGTCCATCGCGCAGAGTTATAATGGAAGTGTCGGGTATCCCTATGTCTGATTGCATGCGGAAACGGTGACGGAAATGAGAAAACAGCGGCGCGTCGAAATTTCCAAGCGACTCGCCTTCCCTCCACTGTCCTAGCCCGGTCACTATCTGCGAGACACCACTTCCATCCCGTGGCTGTAAAATGGCAGCTTCTATGAGAGACATTACGGTAGATGTATCCGTCCCCTGGAAACCTTGCCTCGCCATTTTCTCTGCTAGATCCCGGTTCTCGGCAAGATAGCCGACGTCTGTGACTGTTCCAAGATCCAATGATACAGCATGAAGACCGAGTGTGTTCCGGTATGCTGCTAGTGAGTCCATAAATGCTGATCCGGCTGCATAGGCGGCCTGTGTGGCATTGCCGATCACCCCACTGATTGAAGATAGCATAACGAAAAAGTCGAGGTTTCGGGGTAGATTGCGATGTAGATTCCATGTTCCCGCAAGTTTGGGTTGTAGAACAGTATGGTAGTCCTCCAAGGTCATATTGTCAATATGAGCGTCCTATATACCAGTGGAAGTTAGAAAATCATGGTCTCTTTGATATGTATATCGAGCCTTACCTTCAATACCATGGCAGCTTGGATAAGTCCTCTGAAGGGGGGGACACGCTGGGAAATTTCGAGTATCGTTCGTTGGGTATCTTCCTCATTTGAAACATCACAGGTTTGTACTGTGACCCGAACACCTTTCTGTTCAAGTTCTTGGACCGTTTGATGGGAGGATTCATTGGACAGTCCGCTTCGGCTCACAAATACCAAGTTCCTTGCTCCGCGTTCTGCCATCCAAAGAGCCACTGCCCGACCTATACCTCCAAGTCCGCCTACGAGGAGGTAGGAAGCTTCTGTATGGAATAAAATCTGTGGGACCATTGGAAGTTTGGTCTTCGAAGAATTAGAGATCTTTCTTCATAGCCAATTAGAGACTTTACCTTAACAGTATCCTCTGGCCCAGAAACCACAACAACATGCCTTTCGAGAGGAATTGATCTCAAAGCATCCTCAATCTTGGCCACATTATACGTCGTTATAGATGAAGGGCCGCGAAGCCTTCCAGTGCGGAAAAGCTGAAAGACCTTGGACCATATCTGGTCGGCTAGATCGCTTCTGTCTCGTCGGAGCTCGAAAAGATTGAAAGTTGAGTAAGAGATGTTCTTTGGACAAGAGGGTATTTCTAATCTGCAGTTCGTGGTGGACGTTTGACTCCGAATCTGGATAAATTGTCCAAATGAGGCCACACAGTTCAAAGCAAGTCGGAGACTTTGGTCATTACTATAACCACAGTTAATTGCGATTTCCGCCTTCTTGCCTCCATTTAATCTCAAAATACTGCTGATAAAGTGTTCCGAAGCGTCAAAAATTTGATTTGATGGGATATCAAATCTCGATGTCAGGAACGTTCTTTGTGCTGCGGTGGTAACAGTTGCAAACACCTGTGCACCCCGTACGCAGCACATGTCAACGATCGCCTGTCCAAACCAGCTGGCGGCATCGAGAATGAGAACTGCATCGTTACATTTGATTTGGGACAAGCAATGCACAGCGTAGTAAGCCGTACAGTACCCCACGGGCAAGGCTGCGGCAAATTCGAACGGCATCTCATCATCCATTTTCTGAAATGCCGATGCTCGATCGTGATAGAAGCTTCTTGCAGTCCCAACTCCAAAGCAAGCGACTCGGTCTCCAACCGAGAAGCCATGTACTCCAGCACCGAGAGCATAAACTGTTCCACTGCATTCTAGACCGAGTGTACTTTCCGCCTCCATTGTTTGATAAAGGTCTTGGATGTCTCTCTCACTAAGCCCAAAGGAATGCACCTCCACCCCAACATATCCGACAGGAATCTCGGTCGTAGTCCGGTCAGGCAGAAAATAAGGAGCCGAGAGAGTTCCTGCGGTCAGTCGTGGCGCGCGGAGAGGGAGGTCCCGCTGTCGGAATGGCTGTTCAATCACAGTGTCTGTCTCCTGAATTGCGTATATTGTCCCATTAACCACGGCGTTCTCGACAATCCTGGGAATGAATAATTTTCCCTCGCGCTCCGCATATTCCATATCATTATCGGCAATGTTTGGTTGTAGAAACCGGCAGTTGATCACGTCATATATTAATTCTGCTGTACGAGCACCGGAGAGAGGGTTTTGACCGTCGAGGTCAAGGGTAATTATCTTGCTCACGCCGGATTCCGAACGTGCCGTTCGTGCAAAGCCAGTCGCCAAGGCGGCTTCTGGGTTCGTAGACTTCATTGTGCCTCCGCGAGTCACCCAAAGTACAGCTGCGCTGCAGAGGAAGATATCCTTGATTTGTTTAAATGTCTGTTCATCGCAATGTGATAGTAATGGTACGTGCAAGCTGCTGAGAACTATACAGATACGGTTTGTTGGCTGGGCGTGAGTGATGTCAGTCATTGACACTTCGATAAACAGCGTCATTAACTGCTTTTGTAATGACCCTAAGTCAATCTCACAATACCCCTGTTCGCAGATAACAAGAACACCTGTCTCTTTTTTTAATGCAGTTATCTTATGTTTGCAAATTGTCAAGGTTCCCGCACCAGAGACGTTAACATCATCGTCAAGATTAGAGGTTGAAAGCGATAGTTCATCGAATTTTTCGGACCATTGAACTTGGTCCGACTCACTGCTGCCACCTTCCTGCACATCACCCAGCTGGTAGTTGTATAGAGCACCGAATATAAGATCTTCTATCGGGTTATGTCTTTTCTGAAGTAGATCAATGTACATCAGATAGCCGGACGGCATGAGAAGATGTTCAATCGTAGTCAGAACTTGGTGAGTAGATGAAATGCCGTATAACCCATGCGGTATAATAATAATATCGTACCGAGAATTTGAAAAGCCTTGTTCGGCGAGATCATGTTCCACATCCAGTTGCTTGCAGGATACCCAATCTAACCAAGATTCTAGCTGTTTGGTCGCCTTCTCGACGACAGATTTGTCTGGATGAGTAAAGGTATATTCTAAACAGCGAGGCATTCCCCATTTGTCGAGAATCCCTTGTAAGAATAGCTTCGTTGTTTGGCCCATTCCGGCACCTATCTCAAGAATCGTGATTTCCGGTGTCTTGTTTGCGATCAAATCTAGATATCCAGAAGCCATCGCGAACGTTTGCTGGTATGATGGGATTTCTGAGAAGATATCCCAGAGCTGAGCTTTCTGGATCGAACATAGCTTTGGGGCATGCCGTTGGATGCCTGAAGCAAGCAGGTCGCCAAGCATGCATAGCATTTCTCCAAGAGGTCCAGATGTTCTTATGCACTCAATATCGACGGACCTTGGGATGGTTGCCTCACGGTAATTTGCATCATACAATCGAAGCGTCTTTTTGAGATAAGAAAGGTAATTTCGGTCGATATTATCAATCTTCTTCATCTCATCCCCATCAACTCCATCAATAGCTGTCCTTAGACAGTCCACGGCACAAATTTCGAGCACTTCAAACGGTGGCATATCTATAGTTCTCGATCCTTGAGCTTGGTGGGGAAGTTCTGATTCCTTCATGTAGAAAAGGAACTCGGGGTCTGGCTTCCACTCAATGTTGTAGGCAATACCTGTAGAAGAGTCTGTGTATCGTTCACTTGAACCGTGATCAAGGCGCGTGCATCGCAGTCCGTGAATTAGAATACTTCCATCAGAACACTGATGCCCGGCGTTTTGATCCACTATCGCAATGGATGCAAGAACATCTCCCTGGGGTCCTGGAACAACATGAGTGCAAACGCTGAGAACATCCCCCGGTAGGCAAGTGATTCCGGAAGATAGTCGCATCTCGTCAATTCTAACTGGGATTACCGGACCCTGCTCTAATCCCATGTAGACTGGTAGAGCCGCAAATATCGTGTGAAAAACACTGTCGAGAGTACAAGGATGAATCAAGAATGGGTACTGAAATGCCATCGGCATCAAGGTCCCGGTTTCTGGAACAGTGACTTCGCCGAAACAAGTCCCATCGTGGGTCGCGTGAGCCTCTGTCAGATTGGAGAAGCAAGGTCCATATTCCAAACCAACAGTGCGGAGCTGATCATAAAGCTTGTTGGTGTCTACCACTGATATGCCGTGAATTTCTGTCTCAGACGGTATTGAAACAAAGCCATCGATCTCCTGCTCTATCATTTCCTCGCTTGCCAGAAGCATCACATCACTATTTTCACTGCTCTGCACTCCAACAACGCCTGTGCAGTGCAGAGTCCATTTGTTATCTTCTGTAACGGAGTAGATACAGAAGTTATGCAACTGGTCGAATTCGTCACTTGTGGTCTGCTCAATTTCTCGAAGCGACAGCATTATTTCGACCGGAGCTGTCTCGCTTACTACCAGAGCAAACTCTATCGATATGTCTTTTATAACAACACCAACAATATTTTGGTTTTTTGCAAGCTGAAGGGATGCCTCAATGGCCATGGCTATGTAACCGGCTGCCGGATACACAATATTCGACTGAATTTTGTGATCAGCAAGCCACGGCAATTCTGATAGTCGAAGATATTTCCGCCATCTAGGCTCGAAAGGACAGGCCATGTTATCGCGAACACCGAGTAAATCAGTTCGAGGGTGCATGCGATTTCGAAACGTTTTACTCAGTCGCGGCTCTGCCCAGTATGATCGTGTATGATTCCAGGCATATGGGGGGAGGTCGATTAACAACTGTGGCTTTCTGGTATAAGTATTTCCTACCGGAGAATTGATAGCGTCAAAATCAACTGGGTAACTGAGAGAGACGAGCAATGCCGCCGTTTTCAGCGCTGTTGTGACAGCGTGGATTTTTCGAGTCAGGATACTGGCATAAGTTATTTGCCCTGCATTGAGTTTTGGATCTGCTTGGAGGATCTGCGTAATAGGTCCAGAGAGTGCTGAGTGTGGACCAATTTCCAAAAGACAATCCACATTGACTTTTTGCGCTGCACCAGCTCGTCTCGTGCGTTTGTTGGCCGGAGTTCCTATTTCCTTTCTTTTGATGTTTGTCTCAAAACAAAGGGTTTTAACCGATTCAGCAAAAGAAACCTGCCTAAGTAAATTTGATACCCAATATTGTGGACCAAGGTCCTCGTTCTTAGCTTCTTTGCTAGTAACTGAGGAAAAGAAGGCTGGTAGCCGAGCTCGAGCACCATGGTGTGGAATTGAAGTCTGGGTAAGTGGCGTGATCCCGGAAATCAACTGGAGATAGTCCTTGGCGACAAGCTCCATATGATGAGAGTGATATGCAACATCCACAGCAAGCTTTCGAGTGAATACTTGCTTGTCGTGTAAATTCTGCTGCAGTTCATCGATTCCAGCGACATCACCGGATACCGTAATACTTGATGGGCTATTGACGCACGCAACTACTACTTTACCCGAGATGAGACGGTCAAGATAAGGCTGAACGTTGGTTGGGACCATTCCAATCGCCATCATTGCGCCCTTTGCTTCATGTTCAATTGAAACTTGGATTGCAGAAAGGCCGCGGTAGTAGGCCACAGCCATAGCATCTTCTATGCTGAGAGCACCCGCTGCGTATGCAGCAGCAATTTCTCCACTCGAATGCCCCGTCACTGAATCGGGGAATATCTTCCAATCATTCAAAAGGTCGACCAGTGCTATTTGCAACGCGGTGCATATTGTTTGGCTAAGTAGGGGATGATTCAACTCGGATTCCTCTGGCTGTTTCATGATCTCCTCTAAATAATTGACTATTATTCAAGTATTCGAAAAAATTGGGGCATAACATACCTCGAGCAGTGAATGGTGCTCCGATGTGGCGGAGATATACATCAATCTTTGCTATAGATTCCTGGAATACAGGATACGCATCCAGCAATTCTTTTCCCATGCCGGCCCATTGGGCACCTTGGCCTGTGAATACGAAGCCAATTGTAGGTGTTCGAATGGAATTTTTGGGTTTTGTGCTTGCAGAAATTGCATCTGCAAGGCTAGTAACTGAGTCGCCAACAACTGCAGTTTTCCACATGAACCTCGAGCGACGCTCGTTGAGCGTGAACGACAGGTCAAGTAGGAAGTCATGTTCACCTATTCGCTGCTTTTCAAGCAAGTATTTGCGCAGCCTCTGGGATTGTTCGAGGCATGATCGCTCGTCAAACCCAGATAACATAAATACTCGCTTCCGAGTAGGTGGGGTGCGCGCATCGTTCGTTTGCAGCGGCTCCATCTCCGTCTGCCGATGCCTTCCTTGCATCTCATGTGGGGATTTGCGTCGCTTCTGCAGTCCTTTTTGTATTCCATGAGCCATGAGGTATCCCTGTGCATCTTCAATAATGGCATGAGCATTACTTCCTCCGTATCCGAAACTGTTGACGGAAACTCTACGTGGTCTTGTGGTCTCCCAGGGCTGGGATTCAGTTTGCACCTAGCATTTTGAGTTTGAGGGAAACAGAGCTATTGTATGACCACATACCTTTAATTTCCAATCATCCAATGGTATGCGTGGATTCACGTTTTTGAAGTTGCGATTTGGAAAGAATGTGCGGTTCTCCAACATCAATACTGCTTTAATGACCCCGGCCACTCCACTGGCACCTTCAAGGTGACCAACGTTAGTCTTGACTGAACCTATTCGCAACGGATCATTCTCTGCACGTTCTGGTCCAAAGACTCGGGATATTGCACCAGTTTCGATGGGGTCTCCGGCTTGGGTTCCCGTACCATGAGCCTCCACAAAATCCGTATCGGTTGGACTAAGCCCAGCGCGTGCATAGACATCGCGGATCAATGTCTCCTGGGCAGTACCACTGGGTAATGTAATTCCGGGAGTTCGACCATCTTGGTTTGTGCCAGTGCCTCGGATCACCGCCCGGACCGTGTTCCCATCTCGTAACGCTTGGGATAGCGGCTTTAGAATCAGACATCCAACTGCTTCTCCTCTGGCGTATCCATTGGCTCTTTCATCGAAAGTATAGCATCGTCCGTCTGGTGAAAGAAATCTAAGAAGACAGGATTAGTGTCAATACCAAATAACTGGGAATCCGAGCTTAGTACTTCATCATGCTCATAGTCGACATGAACTCGTGACTGAGAACGAGGTTGACCCCGGCAGCTATTGCTGTGGAAGCATCGCCGGTACAAAGGCTCTGGCATGCCAAGTGTAATGCAACCAAACTGCCAGAACACGCTGTATCGACTGTCACGCTGGGTCCCTTGAGATCGAAGAAATATGAGACCCGATTCGCCGTCATCGCACGGGACTGGCCGGCATTGGTGCATTGGTAAATAGGCACGCACTCAGGGTCACGGAGAAGAATATCTGTATAGTCCGCACAGAAAGATCCAACGAAGCACGAAGTTTTGCTCCCCATAATCTGGGGTATCGGAATGCCAGCTTGAGTCTGTTAGAGACCCTGTGGGACCATATGGTAGTAACCATTTAGACATACCGTTTTCCAGACCTTCGTAGGTCACCTCCAAAAGGAGTCTTTGCTGGGGGTCCATGGCCTATATAAATCAATGGTATATCTTTGTGGGGAATTCAAACCACGCTACCCACCGCTGCTTCATCGCTCGTCATGTTGAAGAACGGCGCATCAAAAAGTGATACGTCCTCTTGTATAAAGTGACCCCCTTCTACATTGACCTATATTTGTTCAGTATCTTCATGATCCATACTGCAGACAATTGCCACTCACCGTCCCATGCCAACTATGGTCTGGGTGATAAAATCCAGCGTTGTTCCATCTTTCTCCCGGAATTGGGGACCATGCTTCGCGACCTGTGAGAATCATTTCTGATAATTTTTCAACATTGGTCGCTTCGCCTGGACCCCGGAACCCTATTCCTATGATCGCAATTGGCATAGACTTAACCAAGGCCAGGCAAGCCAGCTCATCTGACGGGGATTCATCGCAATGCGGGTACGGCAGGCCAGAGTTGTGAGACACTCTTGGTAGCCCATCACTGCCGGCTTGCTCCGCAGGTGCTGGCTCTGTCATCGCTTCTGAAAGGTCACTAATCGAGTGGAAAGTAGAGGTGGATGCGAGTAACAAATAATAAAAGACGATATTGGGTGGCCACTGCCCGGTCAAACGAGGAGTGCCGCCATGAAGGCAGCCGCGAGTGTGAGAGTATTTCCCCGATGAAACAGTTATTGCCGTCACTAAGGGTGCTGGGGTCTCTTTCTCGGTTTATTTATCCGTGCAAGAAAATAAACTTGCTTACTATGAGTCGAAAAGCTCCAGACGATACCAGAAACGGTGGAACACGAATTAACGCCAAGCACGCAGTCATTGGTCTTCAAGACCGAATTCACTATCTCAAAGGGCCTTCTACTGGCCGCGCAATCCAATGGTTTTGTCACTGGCTTTGTTACATCAGAATCCCTGTCATTCTACCAGGTCCCCAACGCCTGAATGGATAATTTTCGAATCGCAGCCGCCATCACGGCAACATTTTTTTTGTCGTTGGGAATATCATGGCCTTTGCTATGCACGACAAATGCGGACCGCCGTAGATCACAGATTCGATGCAGAGCTAGTGAATAGTCAAACAATGGATCCTTGGTGCCGCCGATCGTCAAGCTAGGAATTGTGATGTATCCGTCAAGCCCATCTTCTACTACCGGGCGCTCTCCGGGATCCATCCGAAACGGCGGCAAGGAGTTCACAAAAATGGCACACCGAAACAGCGCAGGCTCAGTCGGGTATACCTTGTTATGATGAATTAAGAACCCTGCAGCCAGAGTACCGCCATGCGAAAAGCCTAATATGCCATCAAAGGGGCCTTCCATGGCGATAGTCTCGTACAACAAGTCATAAGCTTCGAGAATGTCAGACTCGTCGCTGTCCTCGGGAGAAAATGTCCGTGGGAAGCGATAGTAGCTGTAGTACGGCCCATCGTAGAAGCTACCGATGCCTGGCCCAGGGTCTGAGTCGATGTCTCCTTCCAGGAAGTGGAATGTGGCTGTGTTATCTCTCTCCAGATCATTGATAAGCCCGCCTGGACGGTCATGATGCGTCAGAGATTCATTATAATACCGAAGGACAATCCCATACTCAACTGCGATCGTAGAATCTACTCATGGTTAGTATTTTACTGATTGGGAGCAGTTTCAGCACCTTGGCTAACCTTCTGGTTAGTCCCCCAGCCATGGAGACACAGCAGGCGCAGGGGCATCTTGGCTTGGCTCGCGAGGGTAGCGCTCTGGAACAAAAGTGAAAAGTCACCGACGGCTGGCGAGACAAGAAAAATGGTCACATCTGCTGTTGGATAGGTCCTGTTCCCACGCGCCTTTATATAGTATCAGGCCTAGAGGGTAGCCCATTCCCAAACATAACGAGACCAGTACTGCCGGATGAGCAGGTCGGGTTATTCGATGGTGAGTGCAACTGGCCTCGCTCTGTGTTGCGATAATGATTTATAAAACTCTCCGTCGTTCATTCCTGTGTTTTATTAAATTTCATTGCTGTATGTTATATGAGGGCTTTTTACATTTGGCGTACTAGAAGGGATATATATCGAACTGGTGGAGCTCAATACATTCTGCAACACCTACGGGAGATTATCTCCACAACCAAAACTGCATGCAATATTTGGATCTAAGAGTCATTTAACAGCTATGTTTTCAACGAGAATATAATGTTTTATTGTACCCGAGAAATCCGACTTATCTACAAAAGCGAAAGGTGCAGAGAGAGCGGAAAGTTCCAACTACTGTCGGTAACTTCCAAAGTTAGTCTAAAATATTCGCTCATTACCACCACCCATTCAGGTTTATGTAAATCAGTGGACGAGTACAAGAAAAAAATATATGCAAAATGAATGAATTTGAAGTTACCCACCCTTACTAAATACAGAATTTTCATAATCGCCGCCAAATACTACAAACATCCTGCAACGTCCTTTTCCCGCGTCGCTGTCTATCAATCCACTTGACCAGCACCTGTACGGAAGTTAAAATGCTTACCAAGCCATCTTGGCCAGCAACCCTTCAGGCCAGCGACGGACTGCTGCTTTTCTGCATTCATCCATGCAGAGAAGAGCCATACCCAGCGCTCCTGGAAGGAAATAGTGCTCCAGGGGAATCCCCGAAGTGCTGAGAACCCTCTGCAGGCTGGGGATGTAGAGCCAAATCACTGCAATAGCCAACGCAAATACTATTGCGGGAAATAAGTAGAGATTTTGGGTCTTCTTGTTGAAAGCAGGGGGGTGCTGGAAGATGGAGAGGTGCCGAGTGCGCACTGCCATGAGGTTGAACCATTGCCTAGAAATGGGTCAGCATTGAATACCCGAAGTCAAAATCTTTCCGGGGGTAACAAACATAATGACAAGGTTGATGAAGTAAATAGAGCTCGCCTCGTTCACCTTGGCGTTGTAGTAGTTAGGGTCCATTCCGGCTGGAATCTCCCCGAACTTGAACCAGAGATCCGAGAAAGGAATGCCATTTCGTTGGAGATACCAATAAGCCATGGTAAACGAGCAGGCAGTTTCGATCATTCCAATAATGGCGTATGAGTGGAACATAAGCTTCCAGTTGACAAGGCGAGTCTTTGTGGGATGGCGCGGCGGACGGAAGAGTACGTCTGCCTCTGGAGCTTCATAGGCAAGAGCGATGGCCGCAGCACAGTCGGTGAAACAGCTGACATAACTATTATAATCAAAATCCTCTGCAGTTTTGGAGGAAGACTTACCAAATGATGATCATCAAGAAGGAGGACAAGATTTGAGGAATGCCGAAGATCAAATTGGTGAACACAGGCCAGAATTCGGACCACGAGCCAGCGGGAAGAAGGTAGGCTACCGTTTTCTTGAGGTTGTCGAAGACGACCCGTCCGTAGCGGACGGCTTCAACAATTGCGGCAAATGAATCCAGCAAGACCATGTCAGCAGCTTCGATAGCGATGTCCGAGCCGCTGGCAAGACTGATTCCAATATCGGCAGCTTTCAGGGCCGGTGCATCGTTGACTCCGTCGCCGGTCATACCAACGATTTGTTCTCGGGCCCGGAGCTCGCGCACAATTCGCAACTTTTGATGAGGAGTAGTGCGGGAGAACACAATCTCGCGATATTGACAGAGCTGTTCCCACTGGTATTCGTTGAGAGCCATCAAATCGGGGCCGCTGAGTAGCAGGGCGGATTGAGATGGGTCCACCTTTTTTTCTCCTGTGCCTGCGAAACGCTCTAGTGCCGATGCATCATGAATGGAGTTCGTAGTCACAATGCCGCATTGACGGGCGATGGCCAGCGCGGTAAGTCCGAAGTCACCAGTCACCTGGTTTTTACGATTAGCCAGGGTTCGTCATTGAGGTGCATAGCGGACAAACCATAAAGACCCTGATGTGTGCCTGACGCAAAATTCGCATAACCTCAGGAATTTCTGGTCTGGTTGGGTCGATAATGCCCACAAGGCCAACCAGCGTAAGATCCGTCTTGGCCTCACTGAGCATCTGGGACTCGCATTCCGCCGATGTGGGATCGGCCAGAATATTGTCTCTTGTCAGAACCTTGCGAGCAAGCAGAATAGTCCGTTTGCCCTCCGCGGACCACTGATCCTTCAGGTGTTTGACTTCTGCGAGAGTCACTTCATTCCAAGGCTTCAATTCGCCGTCTGCGCCGAGAACGTTGGTGCATCGCTCGATCAAAATATCCGGGGCTCCCTTGACAGTCATAAGTCTTCCAAGAAGTCAGCAAACATATCGTTCACAGAAAATACTAAACATACATGTCTTCAGCGGCGAAGTTGTTGGATTCAGTGGTTGAAAGCGAAGTCTTTGGGCCGTCCGGGAGGACTGGAGTAAATGCTTTGACCATGAACTTGTTCTTACTGACAAAGTCCAGACTGAAGACCTTTTTCCATCCCTTTCGAATGTTTGCAACAGAGCCTTGGCTCTCTGAGAATCTCAAAACAGCTTGATCGGTAGCATCGCCATAGATGCGTCGCTCACTGAGTGGAGATTTTGCTGATGCAGTGTCGAATTCACCAGCGTTGCAGAGACTACCAACAGCCACGAGTTGTTGGACAACAGAAGGAGCCAGACTAGTGGTCGTGACTTCTCCTGCAACGGTTGACGTGGTGGTTTCAATAACGAAGTCTGTGACAGCCATGCGGTTCTAAAAGAAGACTTAGAATTGAAGATTTGGTGGATGGCCCTTCAAGGTCCCTCGCTTACCCGGGTTAGTGTGCCAGTTTTGTCAGTACAGATGACCGTCACTGAGCCCAGGGTCTCGACCGTCTTCAAAGACTTGCAAAGAACGTTGTTTTTCTTCATCAGGTTGGCTGTAATCGTCAAACTACTCGCAACCGCAATGGGAAGACCCTCTGGAATGTATGCAATGGCAACGCTAACGCAATCAACGATCAGAGTGGCCACGTTGATATAGTCAGGGTGCGTCTTGTGAAGCCAGCCGCCCCTAGGAAAATGTCAGTTCTTGTACATGAGGATTGGGACACCAAAGGCACGTACCAAACAGAGGCAAGAATCACAATCCAGGTAACCATAATGATGAATATCAGGACCACAAATCGTAAGACTTCCTTTTCAATGGTAGTCAGGCCGGTCTTCGGTTCACCCGCCAGTTTAGCGATTCGTCCGAAAACTGTCGAGTCACCAGTTGCCACGACAATGCCAGTGGCATTACCAGACACGCAGTGAGTTCCTTGAAGGCCGATACACCGCGTCTCCAGATAATTATCAGATGTGGAGTCCACACTACCCTTGACCGAGTTGGATTCACCTTCGCGCAGAGTTAGTCTGGGTTATATGGAGGTTGTAGATGGACTCACCAGTGACGATCGATCTATCCACAGTCACGTCCTGGGACACCTCAACGAATCGCATGTCCGCTGGGATTTTGGCTCCAGATTTCAGGTATACTGTATCTCCCGGGACAAGGTCCGTGGCAGGGACCTCTACTCGAGACCCATCACGGATCACCAAACAGGATTCCGGCAGCATTGCAGTGATAGAGGCCATAACACGAGACGAAGACCAATCTTGCCAAGCATTGAAAGCGGCTTGAAGGAGGAACACAGCAATTAGAACAACTCCTAGGGCAAGGTTGGCCACCGACGGAGGTTGTCCTAGTGGTTTCCATGAGAGGAAAACAAGAATGCCGCCGACGAGGAGAATGGATCCAAATCCTTTGAAAAGATACCCGAAGACCTTCCAGAACCAAGGGTTTGGTAGAGGGGAGATCTTGTTTGGGCCATTTTCCCTCAGACGCTGGCTGGCCATGGTTTCAGCCAGCCCGCGGGACATGTCCACGTCGAGGCGCTTCTGCAATTCTTCGACCGAAATCGTGTGCCAATCCGTGCTTTGCCATTCTGTCCAGAAATGTTAATGTTCGGTCTCCTGTAGTGACATGGATTCCTTGCCTTCGGCCAACCTGTCCCTCTCCCCTTCGCGTTTGGACCGCTGTTGTCTCTCCCCGTCCTCAATATCGAATGACCTATTACTCACATTACAACCGAGGAAGATCAGAAGAGCCACAAGGCAACATACACGCTTCGATACTGAATTGGAATAGCTGAGGCCGGTTCAATCTTTCTCAGGCTTCCGCGTCGCTGCAGTCTCAGATCGTCTCGGCCACCGTCCTTCGGCGTCGAACTGTCCGATGTTGGGGTCACACGATCGCCTGTTTCCTCGTCGCTGGCCTTCCAGCGCAAGGATAATCCCAACGGAGGCATTTGTAAAGACAATAGTGAAGGGAAGGGACCGGTCGTACGAACTTGAGACGGTGTCTATGAGCAATGCAGAACAAAGGGGAAAAAGTCCATGCCCTGCAGGGACCGGGGGTTTTTATATTGTACTTCTTTCTTTTCAATTCCCTCGTCAGGAACTCTCTGGTCCGGTTGCAACTACCTTCCGCATCTCTGCTGCGGGATTTCTTTGTCATGGTCTGTTTCTGTTGGCTGCCATGAGATATTTTGCAACTCCCAATGACATCCAACTCCAGTTGCCTTAGATCGGGTTGGCACGCATGGCCCACATTAAAACACGGGGGAGGGCTCGCTCATCCTTTCAACTGACACGGTAGGTAGTCAGTCAACATTGAGACACATCGAAAAGAAATAATTTAATTGTCCAAGTCGAATTCGTTCCCGTTGCATCCGTATAATTCGGTCACTCTGATGTGTTGACAGGGAGAAAACAACTCCAATGTGCAAACAACAATAT